TTCGCGCGAGTTTTTTTATTTATCGAAACTTAAATAATAAGTAGACAATATTTTAATTTTCCTCTTTACACAAATGGGTAGCTGACACGTGGCGTGAAGATGGATCAACTTTGGGCAGAAGTTTAATTCTGAAGTTCTCACTCGTTGGGGCATCTCTCTATATAAATTAATACACTTTGTGCATGGCTTCATCATTACAAAACAAACAAACACATATATATAATACTATTTGTATTTACATATCCCTTATAATATATACATTATTACATACACAAACACAAACACATAAATACAGCTACAAAAGATGAGTTCCAAAGGTGAAAAATCTAGTTCCACGGCGGAGCGGGAGACAAAGAAAGAGCCAGCGAGTGTAATTCCCGTAAAGAGGAAGCTGGTTAAGACTATGGCCGTGAAAGCTATTTTCTCTGCCTTTTCTTCCTCTGGTTGCAGCCGGAACCCAGCTGACTCTTCCGGCAACGGTAACGGAGGAAGCGTGTACCCCACTCGTCGTTGATCGGTCTTTTTATTGGGTTTGAAGATATATGCGCCGTCGTCATCTTTTCTGGTTTTTCGTTTTGTTTTGTTATGTTGTTATATAACATTATATATAGAAGTTGGTGTTCTCATCGTGTAAGCATTTCGTAACGTTGCTCTTAAAGAAAAATTTAAATGTGATCTATAATTCAGTTCCCGGTAGGGTGATTATGAATTATGAATATGATATCCTCTTTTGTTAAAAAGTAACCAAGTTGTGATGATTATGACGGATTGCGATTATGGTTTTTACTATTTAAACAACACTCTTTTTGATATCATTAATTATCATACGGATAGTTTCTTATTAACTTTCTAATTCAATATGCCACCGTGCTGTCTAATAATTAGGTTTAACGTGAAATCAAAATGGGAGGAGCCGAATGAAATTCTTTTGACCAGACTTGTTCTTTGTGTGTGTGGAATTGTGGAAGCATGTGGGCTTTTGTTGTATTTTTCGTGTGTAATACGGATCTAGCTATATCGACATAATCATTGATTTCTAATAGACATATGTGCGTGTATTTTTTTTTTTGTTTTTTGTTTTCTATTTTTGTTGAAAAGTTTTGAAGATTCTATTTACGGAAATCTTAATTAATAAATGACGAATAATCTGCTAAAATGAAGAGAATGACCATCAAACTTTAAAGAATTAGGTAAAAACAATTCATGCAAAGTAAAAAGACAAGTTTACTCTTATTCAATTACCAATGGACATGGCTCAGGATTGATTCATAGATGCAAGAAAGAATGGTAAGCTTAAGTGATACAAAAAAATAAAATGAAATAAATATATCTATATTTTGTATCGCTGCAAAATATTATTATTTTGATTATCTTTCCATTTTGGATTACTGATTTGATAATAAATTACAATGGGAACAGTACCCCTATACTACATAAGTAAATAGCTACCAATCAAAGGCATTGCTTAGTGTTCTTTCTTTTGATCTTTTCACAAAAACTTTTTTAACGCTTTAGTTCACCGGTCGAATCCAATACAAACTAAATCATCGTACAGATTTTCTCTTCACTCATTTTACATTACATGTTTTTGCCGCCTTTTCACTTAATAATAGTTAGATATTTGGAACAATCGAGGTGCATACGTAGATCTCGAAAACAACGAGTCAACGACCGTTCTCAGAGATTCAGATTCACCGCTCCTAGCTAGACTTTAAGAAATGTTCATTTTGATCAGTTTGTTCATTATCATCTAACTTTTTTCGTTTCATACCTATCAATTTAGGAACTGAAATTAAGTATTTTGATGAAAATGGAGTTACCCTCATAGTTCTAGCTAGTTATTCATCTATAAATTTGATTACACTTATTTAAAGAAATATGTTGGATTAAAATTATCATATGATTTGATTAAAATGAAATAACTAATTATTAACCAATGATAATTAATGATTAGTCAATATGTTATAAATAAATAATGCCAGTAATTAAAACTCAAGGTAGCTCAAAGTCGTCAGATCGAGTTTTAATTTGGAACCACTAACAATGTTCGTATCGATCCGTAAATATTTATTTGGGCTCATGTTTCATGTGACAAAATATTTGATGATATTAATATGTTACTGTTAAGTGTTAACATAAGACTAATAAGACATAAATTATTATACTTCTTAACGGCCGAAAGGTGAAAGTGGAAAGGAAAAAAAGGGAGAAAGGGAAGACCAATCCAATCTGGTCCATATATATCATGATGATTAACTCGGACAAGCATAAGTGGCTTTCAATCACTAATTAAATAACTAATTGTAGCATAATTGGTTCTTAGATATGAAGCTTAACATATCTGCCCCGGCACGTGGGGAATGATTGACAAATTAAGAAAACAAACATTCGAATTTAGAAAGATCGAGAATCTTTGAAGGCATTAAAGATTTTAAATACCAATGAATGTTTTTAAGTTTGGGGTTATGGTTTACAAAATAAGCTAAAACTAAAACACTTCGAAAGAAAAAAAATTATAACAATATATTTTTCTTCTTTAATTTCGATGGAATTGAAACAACTCATATGAATAGAAAAACTGGTCGATTAATGAACATGTAGTTTATTCGCTTATCAAATTTTTAGTTTGAATAATTAAAATAAGGTAGACGAAATTAAATAGAATAATACTATGAACAGCCATACGAGTCGCTTCCGAAGAAAAAAAAGAATGAATCGTAAGACATTATTTTAAATGCCATCAGCCCATCACTGTCTAAATGGTCCACACACAAAAATATTAATTATTTTTTGTCAAATCAATTAATTAAATAAATAATTAGAAAGTGAAAACACTCTCAACTTTGAATATATGAACAAATTTTATTGATGAGATCTGGTAAACCTAGAATATAAGTACGATCATTAACTAAAAACAACCAAACCAAATTATTAGTAGTCATTTCCCAAAATTTTGTCGACATAACACGTTCAATGTTTAAAACAATAAAAGAAATGAGAATTATCATAGAATCGCAGACAATTTAATCATTCGTCGTTTAATTAAACCAATGGAAATAAGATTATGCCGTTATGTCTGTAATAAGGAAAAATGACTTATAATACTAACAATATGTTCATAAAAAATTATCTCGTTTTGAATTGATGATTAATTGGTAATATTGTTTGCCCATCTTCAAATCCTTTTTGCTGTTTGCAGCGGAAATCCAACCTTAATTTCCAAGTTGGTGGCCTCCTCATTATGACACACCACCTTGATAATTTCTTTGAAAAATTCAGTATTTAAGAAATATAGAGTTGTTTGCTTAATATATATATATAAGTCATAAGATGCAATAAAGAGATATTTTCTATTGAATTAATATATATGATAAATAAATTGGAAATAAGATCATGTACTATATGTTGTGTAGTCTTAATAAATTATAAACCAATTAACGTCTTCTTGGCAAAGAAGTTGCCCCCTGACACTTTGCCAGTTCATTAGTTTATTCTCGAAGTCTAATAAAGTAAAGTTAAATATTTCGTTAACTAACATATAGATTGTGATGTAAAATTATAAACTTATACACAAAGAGTGTCTTGGTTCATCCATTTTATTAATATAATCATGGTGATATATGAATGAAAACTAATAAATTATTGGTTAACCACTTCATTACTTGTTCACGCCTGATTAGTACTCTACAGCTGTTTCACGATATTGTTAACAGGAATCTCCAAAATTATAGTATTTCGGTTTTATTTATTTATTATCTGAAAAAATATCGCAAATTCACATCCGCTAGCTATTATGGTCTAATAAAAATCATAATTTTGTTTCACTATATCATGTTCTTTCATTTTTCCACAAAAATCTTTGACAATACAATCTCTAGATCTAGATCATACCACTATTGAATTTCCAGAAAATAAAATGGGGTCCTTGGCAGATCTTTGTACTGTTCCTAACGACCAAGCATATATACAGGTATATGGTGTGAACACAAAAAAAATCTTTTAAAATGGACAGAAAGAACAAAAACCAATTATGGGAAAAACAAAGAAACAAATGTAGAAAAGGGGCTTTACTCAAGCTCCTAACTTTAATTATCCTTACACGTACGATTACATATTATAAAAAAAGGATATAGTCTAGATCCATTGTACAAAATCGAATCTACATATGTACGATTATAACTTTAATTGTTATGTCTCTACACAATTATTTTCAACAAGGTCACATCTATTGATCCTCCTTGTAAATATTTACTCGGTGGAACCAAACATTTTGGACGCCAAAAAAGGGGAAACAATATGATTAAAAGACAAGTTTATTAGAAAATCCTTTACCAGAAAAAATAAATAATAATAATAAGAATAATCTATGTAGAATAAGGAATAAGAAATTCTTTTTGACTCTATTGGAGATGTACAGATAAAAATGGGTATAAAATACTAAAACACGATTTATAATTATTTATTTTTCCTTTAGATAAGAGGCACGATTATATAACAAATATAGTAACATATATGTCGAATGTTCTCTTCCCATTGCATTGTACTAACGTTAGACCCTGATACTTCATTCCGAAGGTGACGCCTACTCATCGGCCAAGTAAATAAATATAATAAAATAATTAATCAAATAACGGCGATGCATGGAAATTTCTATTATAATGGTTTTCTTATTTTATATTATTTCTTCATGGGCATACGTATACACATACATCCCAGAAAATATCGAAATATTATGGAAATTAAATGTAAGTTTCGCTTTAAAAAAAAAATCTTCTTAAACTTAAATCATAAGTACAAGATATCAATTAAATTTATCCTTTTTGCAGCAATGGGTGGCTGACACGTTGGACACAGAGCAACTTAGAACATAAGTTTTTTTTTTTTTTTCTTTTTGAAACTGGACTTAGGGCAGAAGTTTGATTCTCATTTCTCAAAAATACTCGCTTAGGGACATCTCATTTTTCTATATAAACCAACCCATAGTGTGCATGGTTCTTCACAATTACAAAAGCAACAAAACAAACACATACACACATCAACATAAACAGCCAAAAGATGAGTTCTAAAGGAGAAGGCTCTAGTTCTACGGCGGAGAGGGAGGTGAAGAAGCAAGCAGCGAGTGTGATTCCCGTTAAGAGGAAGCTGGTGAAGACTATGGCCGCGAAAGCCATTATCTCTGCCCTCACTCCATCCGGTTGTGGCCGGAACTCTGACTCTACCGGCGACGGCAAAGGTAACGGAGGGCGCGTGTACCCCGCTACTCATCGTTGATCGGATATTTTCTTGGGGTTGAAGATATATATGCCGTCGTGATCGTATTTGGGTTTTCTTTTTATTTTATTTTGATATATTTAAATGTTGGTGTTCTCGTTGTGTTATAGGCTTTTGATAATTATGCTTCTCTCTTTCTTTCTTTTTAAGGATTTAAATGTTTCTACAGTTCAGTTTCCGGTAGGGGTGACGAATGATTATGATATCCTCCTTTGTAAAAAAAAAAAACAAGTTATGATAATTATGACGGTTAATTGTGTTTATGGTATTAGTCTTAAATATTAAAACACTCCTTTTGTTTATCGTATAAATATGTAATCATTTATAGTTCTAATTAACATTCCAATTCAATATGCCACCGAGCTGTCTCTATAATCGAGATTTGTAAATGTTAATTTAGAAGTATCCTCTCACTCTCAATTATAGGTTTTGTCGTGAAATTAATTTTGAGCACTGAGCAGTACAAAATTCTTTGACCAGACTTGTTCTGTGTGTGTGTGGAATTAAAGCATGTGCGTGGGCTTTTGCTGTACTATCCGTGAGTCAGATTACAGACATGTGTGCGCGGGAATATTGACATAATTAGTGATTTTTGACTATATATATGCATATGTACGTGGACATAATTTTTTTTGGTTGAATCTTTGACGAATGACGAGTTTATATAATGAAAGTTTGATTTTATTAATTTCCTATAATTGTTTTTGGAAACTTCCCTACATTTGCAATAATTTTTTTTGTAATAAAGTTCCAAATTATTTTACATTTTGAACTTATAAGAAAATAGATTTTTAAATAATTTATTTACCTTAACTCAATAAAATTAAACAAAGAGCATAAGAAATCTGCAGGTTGTCTATCGTTTGTACCAACTAGGAAACATTTAGGCCCACGACAGCTAATATATCAAGCCTATTTGACCAGCGACATGTATATATATATATATATGGTCGAAAGGCAGCTTGGTTAGCGCCTGCTGAATATACTCAAAAGACCATGTCATAACACAGTGTAAACATAATCTTTTTCCATTTCGGATCTAAAGTAAAATTTAGACAAAAAAAACTGGAGAAGATATGTCTTTATTCCAATTAATATAAACTTACAAAAAAAAACTTAAATAATACGAATACCCTAAACCATGGTTGAGTTTAGTAAACCGAACCAGACTTAAACGAGAATATATCTCTAATAGATCTTTAACATTGGTATGAAGATTAGAAGATAGATTACTACAGTTTTCGAATCTATAGAAGAGAAGAACAATTATATGGAGCAGGCTAATTATTTCCACATTCGGTCTTTGGTCCTCACATTAAAAAGAAAGTCATTACTTTACCGCTATTAAAAAAACATGTCTTTGACTCCACACAACTGTATCCAAAATACGAATCTTCCAAATTACAATTATGATTTCCTTTCTAATCTTCCGTTCAACGTTCACACTCGCATCTTTGACAGCAAAATCCTTCTAATCTCTTATCTATATATCCACATTTCACAAAATAAATGACCTTTGGCTTAATCCTGTAATGTTCTTAAGTCTTAACAATCAAACGATATATTTTGGTTAATTAAGGAAATAAACCATGAAGAAAAACAAAGACATGAATTGGCACAAAAGTTGATATGGTTAGATTCATTGAACAATAGCGACCAATCTAACTAAAGACGCATGCACTTATTTTCTACAAGTTCTTGGCTATTGATCGGGACTCTCTTTTTCTAAGTTTAACTTTTAATGCATATATCTTTTTAGTCAGTAAGGAGAAAAACAAACTTTTTGGTCAATAGTCAACGTCAAAAAGGATTTGAAAATATCGTTATTAATCAAGAAAGCGAGTCTTGAATATGAATTCATGGTGAAAAATTAGATGGACTCGGTGGTTGGAACGCATATAAGATATTAGATAGATGTTTAAATGCCAAAAAAGCGAAAACACTAAAGCTAAGATTAAAAACGGGTCTAGTCACATTCACTGGACTTTTTGTACTTGTTCTTCAGTTAGTTTCGAAACTTCACTAATTGTTGATTAATTAATTAATCAGAAAAGAGTCGTGAACAAAGTATAAACTTTTACTACAAGTTAGTTTTTTTTTTTTTGATAAAATCTTTTGTTACAAGTTCCTTGTACCGATGGGAGAGTGAGCCTTACTTCCCAAGGTTGTGCCTTTTACTAATATATGAAAAATTGAAATACATTAATACAAGATAATTAATTATTAATGTCGGGGATGCATGGAATTTTCCTAAAATAATAAATATTTTCTTTTATTTGGACTGGCGGGAGTTGATTGTTAAGTTTCGTATATATACACACATACATTATATAAATATCCAAATAAAATGTAATGAAAATTAGCTGTAAGTTTCACTTTGTTTTTCCTCGTTGGTACTAAAACACTTATTAGTAGAAGTTGTTGATAATAACATTTATACATAAAATAAGAGGCTGACACGTAGGTAGTGTGAACACGGGCCAACTTAGAGCACAAGTCTAGTAACAGTAGTCACTCCTCTATATAAACCTCAGACTCTCTGCAAAATTACAAAGCCACACACAGATATACACATACACACACACAAACACATACATTCTTACATATCTAATAGTCTGAAGAAGATGAGCTCCGGAGAACTGAAGCCGTTCAAGAAGAAAGAAGGGAGTGTGATCCCAAAGGAGCGAGAGTTGGTGAAGACTAAAGCCGTCAAAGCCATTTGCTCTTTGTTTCGTCCTTCGTGTGATGGTAAACAAAGTTCTCAGCCATCCGGAGACGGTGACCGTGACCGCGATGGCAAGCGCGTGTATCCCACTCGCCCCTGATCGGTCTTTTTCATGGTGTTTAAGATATTTTAGCCGTCATGATCTTAAATGGGTTCTTCTCCCCCTCCTCTGTTTATCTGTTGTTTATAAGCTTAATTAGGCTAAAGATTCTCTGTTTTTCCTTTTTTTTTTGGCTTTTTTTTTTTTACGATCTACAAGAAAGGGAGATGATGAATGATGGATTAATATCTTTAATACTCTTGCTATGTAAAACCAAGTACTATATTTGATCATGATGCGTTGTGATTAATTATGGTACTAGTCATTAAAAGTTAAAACATATCATTTTAAGAAAAAAGCATACTCTGTTTTTATGGTGATTATCATGTGTTGTAGTTTCGAATATAAAATATGCAAACGTGCCTGTCTCGAGAGATTCAGAGTTTATGTGATAATGATTGATCTAAGAAAGAAAAAGAAAAAAGAAAAGTGACGAAAAGACTGGATATATTTAACATTAAAACCAAAAAAAGAAAGTGGATATACAAACAAAATTAAATAGATAATACTATAATAGGTATCCATTAATCCATATAGTAATTAAGTAAAATACTAAAAAGTTAAGGGGTACTTTTGGAAATTAAATACGGGTGCAAATTATGCATAAGACATGCGTAGGACCAAAACTTGTCCTCTATGTGGACTTGTGGAATTGTCAGCCGGCTTATGTTTTCATTTTTCTTTAAGAGTTTGAATATTGACATTATTGGACGTCAAACGAAATGAAAATATTGAAACTGTTGTGGACAATATCCGAAATAAAATCAATTGTGTTATGTTTTTCGCATCCAAATAACACAAATCTTCAAAATCTATAGTAATTACTTTCCCCTATAACAAATATATTTTTGTGAACAAAACATCCTTACAACTTAAGCAGTGTACTATTTATGTCATGTCCTGAATATATATATATATATATATATATATATATATATATATATGTGTGTATGTGAATTAAAGATTTATCTTTGAAAACGAAAGATAAAAAGAAATAGCCAAAACCTGTAATTAACAAAATAGTAGAGAAACATAACGACTCAAAAATAAGAAAAGAATCAAAACCACGAGATGTTGAAAAAGAACATAACAAAACACAAAAACCTTCGTGTCTTTTTCAATTAGGAGACATTAGGGGCCTACCAAAGATCCAAAAACCTTCGTGTCTTTTTCACTGGTGACCTGCCAGAAGTCTAGTTTCGTCGCTGCTGTTCATTGCCTCATGAATCTCCGTTTTTGATTGGACATGAAAGCATATTCATGTTTTCCTACTAAAAATAGTTAAATTTTCTATAATTTATTAACTATCAAATTCAAGGATATAAACAAAAACATAATACTATATCGTCAAAAATAAAAGACTATTTTTTAGGCTCAACTTTTAGTTGCGTAGACAGATGTTTGACATAATTAAGTAACACATGAATTTAAAAGGATAAGTATATTTGAAAGTTAATTAACTCTATCGATTGGTTTGAACACTCTATAACCCGAGATATCTATCACACCTATTGCCTGAAAATGGGTAACTTGTGTTTCTCGAGACTTTGTTGTTTATAGACTAACATAAATGGATCTGGGCTTCTAAAATAAATCCAACTTTTATTGGGCTTAAATTTGAAGTTTAACGGTAACAGTGTAATAATACTAACGGCTTTATACCCGCCAACCAAAATTCGAAAATTACCTCACTTTTTCTCTCTTCCACTTTTTTTTTCCTTAAATCCTTTTAATATAGGATCACGCCTAGCTAAAAAGTCCACACATACAAAAAATACACATTATATATACAATAACTCAATAAGCATCTCCATTTCCTGTTTAAACCAATCCCTTTTAATATTACTTTCTCTCCTAAAGATTTTTCAAAAATATTCGAAATCAAACTCTAAGGAATGGGTTGTTGTATCAGCAAATGCTCTCCAAAGACGAAAGATTTCAAAGAAGCAGAAGAATCTCATGAGAAGTATTGTTATGTTCCAGAGAAGCTGTTTATGTCGCGTTGTCCAAGTCGTGTTTCTCCACTTAATCTTCCCGAGAAGAACCGGTTTAATCCTATCCCTGTCCCGGATAAGTTTATACATATCCCGGATAAACTCCTTCCTCTTTCTCCTCCCGTAAAGTTGGCATCTTTCTCTCCAATCCAACCTTCAACCACAAGCAACTCATCTCTCAGCTCATCAAGCTCGTCACTTTCGACAGCTTCTTCAATCTCGGTTTCGAAGGAGAGATCTTTCTCCAACGATTTCTTGCGTGCTTGTTACCAAGAGAATTCACATGTTGCTCGAATTCATTCCTTACGAGAAGCTTCTCTATCAATGAAAACCACAAAACCGGGATATCCTAGCCGGTTTGATTCTCCGGTTATACCAAACCGGTATTCAGCAACACCAAACAGAGCAAATGAAGATCCTAAAAGAGGATCAAATTGTTCTAAGAGAACTCGAGAGCCATCACCAAACCATCGTGCATTGACACGACAAAAGAGTTTTCGTCTAGATCAAGAAAGAGTTATTATGTCTTCTTCATCAAACACTTTAACCAAGGGAAAGTTCTTGAAATCTCCATCTCCAAGCAGAAGATATGAGGGACATTTCTTGAAATCTCCATCTCCAAGCCGGAGATTTGGTATGACGGCGACTGATTTGACGGTAAAATCAGTCGCTTCTTGTGTAAGGAAAGATAGTTTAGATCTGTCTGGTCGCAAGACTTGTCATAAGAGCAACAGATCAGAGCCTCGGATTCATCGCATAAGTTCTAAGATCGACGAAACAATTATCAGAGAAGTAATCACAAACCATAAGGAACCAGTGGTTCCAATATTCGAAGAAGTAGTCGGCAATCCTTTGATTGATTTGGATTGCTTTATCTTTCTTTAAGGAGAAGCTTTTAATTTTAATTTTGTTTGGAAGATGTGTTTGTGTGAACAGATAGTTTGTGTAATTGTGTGAACAGATGTGTTTCCATTTTCTTTTGTTTATTATAGGTTTGTGATGATCAAGTAGATCAAAACTCTCATACTTACTTTTTTTTCAAAAAAATCTACTTTTATCTGTACGTATTTGAAATAGTTTGGATTGAATACAGCTACGGGAGCTTATTATTGCAATGTTTTTTTAGTCATACTTTTTCAAGTTTCAAATCTTCAAAAATTTTAAAAGAAAAGAATTGCATTCAAAAGCAAACAAGAAACCACTACAAGGTGGGCTAGTGGTAGGACGGATTTCGTGGTTGAGGGGTTAATCCCAATACGCCCGGGTTCGATTCCCCCTTGCTACATACTAGTGGCCACCAGGGAATTTACATGCGGACTTGCTCTGGCGCCCGAGACCGAAGACCGTTACCTGGCCATGACCCACCCTCGGGTGTGCGTCCGTGCCGTAAGGGTTCGGTCTCTAGTATGGACCACCTCGGTGGGGGCAGGACACTCGGTTATCAAAAAAAAAAAAAAAGCAAACAAGAAAAACAGAATAACGACGATACGCTGCGTTTTGGAACCTGGAAGTGTTGTTCATTTAATACGAAAACGCAGCGTTTTTGGATTTTTTGAAAGTCTTATTTTCTTGGTAGACAGACAAACAAAAATCTATTTTGATGTCTTATCCAAATCCAACCAATGAGCAAGCAGATATAAATTGCAATGCAACAACACTATCCCACTCTATCTTCTATTAGTGTGTTTACCATTTTTCGTTACATCGCTCGCTTTTACATTTTCTTGAATTAGCTAGCCATGGTGGCACATTCACTCGTTCCTCTCTCACCGGCTGCTCACGCCACCAGACTCTCCTCTCCATCGCGGCGGTCACTGCCGCAGGCTCCTCCCGTCGTCCTTGCAGTTCCACCTATTAATCGCAGGTGATCAAATAGATAACTGTTGGAAAATTTTATTCAAAGTCTTAGAATGTTGTTATGCTTGTTTATTATAAGTAGAGTGAATCATAATGTTTTTGTACTAGATTAGATTTCTTAAGTTTTCGTCAATGATTAAAAATCCAATCCACACCGGTATTATCCAAAAGCACATTATTCATCAACCCAAAAGGCCAAAACCGGCTAAATCGACCGGGTTGGTTTAATTCAAATTGATGTTTAATTTATATTATATTTGTAAAAAAAATTTAATTATGTTATTTGGAAAACGGAAATAATTGTTAAGTTTTTAATGATTTATATTTTTATAAAATTAGTTATTTCAAAAATAACTAATTTGTTTTCCAAATCCGATCAAACCGGTTGGACCGGATCAACCTCGCATTGACTCCCGGTTTGGTTTTTAGTACCATGATCGTTGTAAGATTCCTAAACAAAATCATAAATGGAAGAATCTCTATGCAGGACAATTTTGGTGGGGTTAGGGGGTGCACTATGGAGTTGGAACGCTCTGACCGCTAAGGAGGAGGCAATGGCGGCAGCAAGACGGCCGCCTCCACCACCACCTAAGGAGAAGAAAGACCCGACCGTGAGCGGAGTTCAGGCCAAGGTATTGGCGAGTAAGAAGCGCAAAGAAGAAATGAAGGCTTCCATTGCTAAACTTAGAGAGAAAGGCAAACCTGTTGTTGAAGCAAAACCAACTTCTTCTTCTTCAGAATAGCATCCAAGCAACAAAATTTAAACCCTTTCCATTAATTCATCTGTCTACCAAATTCATCCCTATGATGTTAATTCACTACCATTATATTTCAATTTACTCTTATGCTGATTTTGTGGTAGTAAATCCAAAAGCATTCTAGCTTGTCAGAAATCATCTCAAACAATTTTGGTAGTTATTACAAACTTTTCAAAACAATATTCGGAAATCAGAATCATTAATAGCTGAAAACATATTTAAAAGAAGAGAAAAAGTAACTTATATTATCTTTCATGTTGTACACTTATTTTTCCAAATCCGGCAAAACTACCAGATTTACACTTTGTATTACTCTGTTACAGTTTAATTAAATAAAACCTGTATTTTAATTTCCAACGTAAAGATCTTTCACTTATTATCAATGTTTAAGAAAGTGCTAGGCACTATAAAACTACTAGATTACTAGGTTCATATTTGAATTATATAAGATTCATATATTATGTTTATAAAGTCATTGCAATCGAGTATATAGAAATCGAATCCGCAACTTTAGCTTGGAAGACTAAGGGATTTAGTCGATTTATCATTTTTATATTTTTACGTGTCTAATTAAAAACCACTTTGGTTTCATTAGCCAACTTTATGATGAATATTTTAGTTTTAGTTTTTCATGTAATTATACCATGAATTATTGTTATGTGTTATATTTTATATTCGAAATAACTTTTGAATCTCTAATTTCAGTGGTTAAAGAAACAATGCAACCGTGAAAATAAATAAATATTTTTTACTTTTGAAAGAATTTCTACTTAAAACGTTGTTAATTAATTTTTTATTAAATTTGATTTTAATTTTAATTTAAAAAAAGGTTTTAATTAAAAAAAAAAACTATATCCGTCCATCGGACGGATCCTTATCTAGGTTGATATAAAGTCAATTATGAGCATATTCTGAGGAAATATTGATAAAATATACAACATTATTGTGTCTCGCGTGGGTCTTGAAATTTTGCCTATAAAAACAGAGCAATAGAGCAAGTACTAAACACATAACTCACCAGAATTTACCCAGAGCAAACAAAAAGACTAAGAAAAATTACGAAAGATATTTACCAAACAAAATGTCTTCCTCTTTCTCGCCCATATCAGCGGCTCTTATTTCACGCTCCCATGCAGCCAAGAATCTCAATAAATTGATCGCGGGGCATGGACTAGATTTTGGTTTCGCCAAAAGCAGAGCGATAAAGGGCATGAACAATGGAATCACATCGCTGTTAGCTGACGAGTACCTATCGAACAAACTACATGATCTAAAAACGGAGTACCTCATATCTGATAAAGGTGATAAATTTATTCTGCCAAGCGAACCACATGACTGAGATTATCAAAACAATTTTATGCATCAAGTAGACAAATTATGAGTTTTGTTGAAAAAGCTTAGTTAATTTGTATTGTGAATCAAATCTAAGTTTTAGTTATTTTTACAGATTTTGCACATGTTGCTGGCCAATTTTGATGTATTTAGTTTTGTAGACAATTTTCATTTATATCGTAATCAAATTAAATTACTGGTCGTTTTGTGGACACATTTAGGCCTTGAATGGTTATGGTTTTTTAAATGGTTTTTGGTTTTAGTTTTCATTTTTTAACCATTCAAGATTTTGAAAAAAGTGATTTTCCTAAGAAAAATAAGGAATCTAGATGAGTTTTTACTAATTTCTTAACAAAATCCAAAATCTCATTTCAATGGAGTTTTGAGAATTTTCTCTACGATTTTTTTTTTTTTTTTTAATTTTCTGTTTGTTTTTCTAATTTATTTTTACATAATCCAAAAACCAAAATCTAAAATCTAAAAACTAAAATCTAAAAATCCTCTAAAATCTCCCAAACATTCATGGTCTTAGTTTATATTGCGGACCATATCTAATATATCAGGAGAACATGCATTTCGCGAACTAACAATTGTATAAAATTTTGATGTCCAGATCTCAAGTATAACTATTTGGCAAATTAACAAAAACTCAAAGAAACCTCTTGATTGCTCGTAGTTTACAGAAACGCCACCGCAGTGTGTATTTACTAGTTTCTCGTCACGCTAATCATATGTAAATTGGGCCGGACACGAATTCTTTTTCTAAACCCATAATGGGCCTTCTCATAATTTTATTTCTTTCCATAAAACGATACCGTTTCACTAACACCAAACGTTATGATCTCGTCATCTTTGCAAGATCTAAGCGAAGAAGAAAATACCTTCAAACATATAAAGAAGCAAAACGAAGAAACAGTGAGAGAGAAAGAAATGGCGAGCTTAACTAGTAATAAGCCTAGAAACTTTGGTGCGTATAGTCACTACGCTACTCCCTGCACTCGCACGCACCAGATTGGAGCTCTTTTTCTCGTCGTCTCTACCTTCTTCGTCACTAGGCTTTTCGATCAGTGGTTCTCAGAATCCAATTCCGTTTCTCCGGTGATTGATCTCCGCCGTACTTCTTCTTCTTACGGAATCACGACTTATAACGGTATTCTACGGTGGCCGGAGCGAGGGTATGGGTCTCACCTTTCGCTGAAGATCTTCGTTTATGATGAGAATGAGATCGACGGTCTTAAAGAGCTATTGTACGGTAGGGATGGTAGTGTTAAGACCACCGCATGCTTGAAAGGTCAATGGGGATCTCAGGTGATTCATCTTCTTCTTTCGAATTTCTCAATTTCAGTTTGAATTAACGATTTAGTTATGGAATTTCTGGAATTAGCAATGTAGTTAAGTGTGGATTTGTTAGCTACTTGTGATTCTTATGGTTTTGTTTTGATTATGAATATGGTGATGATAGGTTAAAATTCATAAGTTGCTTTTGGAGTCCAAATTTAGGACGATTAAGAAAGATGAAGCGGATTTGTTCTTTGTGCCAGCTTATGTTAAATGTGTGAGAATGTTGGGAGGTCTTAATGACAAGGAGATCAATCAGACCTATGTTAAGGTGAACCAAATCATCACTCACTGATTCAAATTGTTGATGCTGTTGTTATATTTTGTTTCGAATTACAATGATATGTATGGTTGACACTGTTCTATGATTCACTAGGTTTTGAGTCAAATGCCGTATTTCCGAAGATCTGGTGGTCGTGATCATATATTTGTTTTTCCGAGGTATGTGGCACTTAGTCAATATATAAAGTTGTTTTGGGGGAACTGTATCGTTTTTATACTTACTTTGACATTACTTTTCTTTGTTATGCTATTGTAGTGGTGCTGGAGCTCACTTGTTTAGATCCTGGTCAACATTTATCAACCGCTCTATTATCCTCACTCCCGAGGTACTTAGCTTGCTCTCTGCTGAGGAGTTTCTTCTATTTTGAAGTATATTTGGTAGTGAAGGGCCAGTGTGAAAGTTCTTTGGTCCATATCTGTCTCTTCTGACTTTCAGAGTTTTCATTGGCATTTTTACGGGTGGTTTCGAGTAAACTGAATGGTCTATGTGCCTACTTGTAGAATAATACAGTGGAATCATTGAGCTAGGTTCTTAGAGTTTTTTTTACAGAAGCATGAATGCTTCAATGATTGTGGATGCAGGCTGACCGGACTGACAAGAAAGACACAACTGCCTTTAATACATGGAAAGATATAATCATACCAGGAAATGTTGATGATGCTATGACTAAAAATGGACAACCTGATGTTCAGCCTTTGCCTCTGTCAAAGAGGAAGTATTTAGCAAATTATTTAGGTCGTGCCCAAGGGAAGGCTGGTCGACTTAAATTGATTGAACTATCAAAGCAATATCCAGATAAGGTTAGTCGCATATTATTTCTTCAAAGACTACTTAGACACGTTTTTCATACACCATCAACGATCTGCCTAAGCTATTGCATGTTATTCGATGTTTTCTTTTCCTTGCTTGCGTCTCATGAGTGGTTTTGTGAACAGTTAGAATGTCCAGACTTGAAGTTTAGCGGAACCGAAAAGTTTGGAAGGACAACATATTTTGAGCATCTGAGGAACGCCAAGTTCTGCCTCGCTCCTCGTGGGGAATCATCATGGACACTTCGCTTTTATGAATCATTCTTTGTGGTCTGATCTCTATTATCTCTTTACCCCAACGTTTGATTTCACTTGCTTTATTACTTACCTTATGTAGTGGAATATTGTGATTTTATTTGTTCAGGAATGTGTCCCGGTTCTTTTATCTGACCACGCCGAGCTGCCTTTCCAGAATGTTATCGACTATGCCCAAGTATCCATCAAATGGCCATCAACTCGAATAGGCGCAGAGTTTCTTGATTACTTAGCTTCAATATCAGGTAACATTTAGTTACTTCAGAACCGCTTTTTCTTTGCCAATATCAATGGATTTGCTCAGGTTCTTGAGATTGAAGAACTTTTTCCCGGCATGTCTTTCAGATAAAGACATAGAAGGAATGATAGCCCGAGGTCGGAAAATTAGATGTTTGTTTGTGTACGGTCCAGATTCTGCACCCTGCAGTGCGGTTAAAGGGATTCTATGGGAGCTTCAACGCAAAGTGAGACATTTCCAGCAATCGACCGAGACGTTTTGGTTGCACAATGGCAGTTTTGTGAATAGAGAACTGGTCCAGTTCAGTAGCTGGAGACCTCCTATGCCTCTACCTTGACCGGTTTCAACATTCCACTAGAATATCTTGTTTTTACGAAAAAATGAATGATAAAGTTGAGTACAGTTTTTTTGTGAACTTGATTTTTTGTACATACCACAAGAATCTCTTCAGTGAAATTTGTTTGACTCAAATTCGATAAAAATATGACGAACCAACAAAATTGATAGCTCTTCTTTTCGATGTTTACGGTTTATGGTACCATAAACAAAGCATCTCTCAGAGGAATGATCTAAGATTATGCAGACAAGGAGGGAGAGTAATATGTTACAACTTACAAGCTATGCTTTTAGAGATCAGAGTCATATCCGCATATCGGTCAAGCACAGTGATTGCTACATGTAATTTTTACCTGCAGATTGATCTAGACGGATCAAAGGACACTCATGAGTTTTGTTTCGACATTTGATTTGGCTGAATAGAAGGATCCAGATAGATGAAAGAGATGGTTGTCTAAGGAAGGACAAAGTTTTGTTTCAGTAATCTACCGACAAGGAACCAATAATATAATCCCACAAAACAGAGTTCCACACGGAAATCAGAATGAGTCCAAATCAGTTTTCTTGGAATGTCAGTGATGTTAATCCTAAAAAGAAGCTTCCGTGTATACACAGCTCACCACAGTAAATACTAGGAACTTTCTATTTAAAGTAACTAACAACGATGTGGCTATGGAACATCAAATATTGACATCTTCCTAACACAATTATTCTGCTTTTGAACAATCGATTCGATTGTAAAAAATCCCATGGAAATCTTCTTGTATGAGTTTAATCGTTTGTTTGCTGCGATCTTTGGAAAATACCGAAAGCATTTTAAGTTTATGAACTTGATTCCAAAGTTTGGAGGACGAACTTGTAACTCTGTGGTGATTGGAGATGATAAGGCTTACAAGTTTGGTGGTTACTATAAGTCCATAAATACAGACGAGGATCATAAGAAGCCAAAAGTAGGTAAGAAGAGTGCAAAGACATTATTACTATTACACTCGAAGGTGCAAATTGTATTCAAAGAAATGCAGTTATCTATAGAAATAGGTCGAGAGGAGAGCCCTACCTATGAGGGCAAGCTAATATTTAATTCTAAGATTTTATAATCAATCTCTTCATAAAAATGTGTCCCCTATCGATGAGTGTAAGTGTCTTCTTTGTATATATCGTTATCCTTGATTCGATCGTATAAAAAATATCTCTTTGAGCTTCGATTCAAATATACATCAAGAATATGAAGATCGGAACAGAGAGATTTATAAGGATTGAAATTATCTTATTGAATAAGAGGAGAGTGTTACAACTATTTATACAGAGGCTACAAAGTAACTAGGGCAAAGTTAAATCTATTATTTACAATTAGATCCTTAACTTCTTATTAATCTCTATACTCCTATACACCCCCTCAAGATGGAGGTACTTGGGTAACTCCAATCTTGTTGCAAGCATGTTGGAATCGCGTCCGTGGTAGAGGCTTCGTGAGAGTGTCGGCTAACTGATCATTCGTCGTGACATGAGAGACCCGGAGCATACCATCCTGGATTTGTTTGCGAACAAAGTGGTAATCTAGAGCAATATGCTTCATGCGAGAATGGAAAACCGGGTTCGCGCAGAGATATGTGGCACCAATATTATCACAGTATATCACCGGAGGTGATGGTAACGGAATCTTGAGTTCAGTTAATAAAGAACATAGCCATCGTACCTCAGACGCTGTATTCGCAACGGCGCGGTATTCAGCTTCAGTTGAGGAGCGTGCAACACCTCGTTGTTTGCGTGATGACCATGAGATAGGATTGCGTCCTAGATAAATCAAATACCCGTTTGTAGAGACGTAATCGTTGGAGTCACCTGCCCAATCAGCATCGGAGAATGCATGAATTGTCATGGGTGATGATTTGTGAAGGAGAATACCATGAGTAGGTGTGCCCGCGAGATATCTCAATAAGCGTCGTGCAGCCTGCCAATGTTCCTGAGTAGGTTTGTGAACAAATTGAGATAGTTTGTTTACCGCAAAAGAGATGTCGGGGCGGGTGAATGATAGGTATTGAAGACTTCCAACAATTGATCGGTATTGAGAGGCATCGGGTAGAGGATCCCCACCATTGAGCGTGAGTTGCGTGGAGGCTGCCATGGGCGTAGTGACCGGTTTGCACTCAAGCATATTGTTCTTGGTTAGAAGGTCTATGATATATTTGCGTTGCATAAGGTGAAGACCCACAGCAGAACGCGTCACTTCTATTCCAAGAAAATAATGTAGATCGGACGGATCCTTGATAGAAAACCGATGAGCAAAGGATTCAAGGACGTGATCAACCTGTCTTTGACTGTTGCCAGTAACGATGATATCGTCAACATAAACAAGGACATAAGTGATGTGATGACCTGAAGATCTTATGAATAAGGATGTATCGGCCATGGAGTTAACAAATCCATCAGTGAGAAGATGTTACTTCAAAGCCATGTACCAAGCACGGGGTGCCTGTTTAAGGCCATAAATTGGTTTTCTCAATCGACAGACAAACGACGGACGATCTTTATCAACAAATCCTGGCGGTTGTTTCATGTAAACCTCTTCCGTCAATTCACCTTGAAGAAATGCATTGTTGACATCGAGTTGCTTGATTGGCCATGATTTCGTCACAGCAACTTCTAGAACCAAACGAATGGTAGTTGACTTGATAACCGGGCTGAACGTTTCAGCATAATCTTTGCCATATTGTTGATGAAAACCCTTAGCAACGAGTCTCGCCTTGTATCTCTCTAGAACACCACTTGACAGAAACTTCGTTGTGAAAACCCATTTGCAACCAATGACATTTTGTGCAGCTGTAGGCGGTACCAAATCCCATGTCCGATTTATCGCAAGAGCATCAAATTCAAAGGAACACGCACGACTCCAATTTTTGTCTTTCAACGCTTGATGAATTGTCGTTGGTTCCGGAGGACGAGTGATATTTCCTGCAACAGATAAACTGAATTTTTGGTTGGGTTTGGTAATATTATTTTTGGCTCGAGTTTGCATTTTGTGGGTATTTTGTGGTGGTTCTACAATTTGGCTCTGTGGTTGTATTGGAACAGCTCGGTGGGAAGTGGGATTATGTGTTTTTGGTTGTGGCTGAGTCGTAGGTCGCGACTCATTTTGGCGTGGAGCAGTAGGCTCATGGGAATCGGGATTGGTCTGGGTCGAGGATTGCGACCCATTTTTATTTGGAGCAGTGGGCTCCGTGGAGGAAGAAGAGGAGGAGCTAGAGTGAGAATGCGATACCTGTGTGTGACGAGGCGATGATGACGGCGATGACGGCAGGTGAAGGTCCAAGTTAGGGGTTCCCGTTGTCGAAGTCAGAGGCGACGGTGCAGGCGTCGTGGTCCTGGCTGGTTCAGTCGAAGAAGACGATGGAAGAGAAGTGGTGTTGTGGGCTGTATTAATTGATTGGGCCTGATTAATGTTTTGCTGGCCTGGTGTTGTTAATGGGCCTGTTTGATTTAGGCCTGAATTTTGTGGCCCAGCAGTACCTTCTTCATCTTCATCGTGACTAGTAGGCAACGCAGGGGTGGCTGCTCTTGTGTCAAGCGGCGGAGATGACGTTTGTGGAGAGGCCGGTGTCAGCTGCGACGGAACCATGGTCGAGATTGTCACAGACGGAGAGTGAGTCACCGCTGGGTTCGCCGGCGGTGTAACAATTTGCGATGGCGTTTCTTTACGAAATGGGAACCGTGACTCGTCAAATTGTACATGCCGGGAGACATAAACTCGACCTGTTATTGGATGAAGACATAGATAGGCGCTCTGAGAGGTTGAGTAACCAACAAAAACACACTCTTGGGATCGCGGCTGAAGCTTAGTAGTCGTATATGGCCGTAACCACGGAAAACAGAGACACCCAAAGATCCGTAACTTCTCGTAATTAGGATGAGCACCAAATAGCTTTTCAAACGGAGATGACATCGAGAGTACCGGTGTTGGCATCCTGTTTATCAAATAAACCGCAGTGGCAAAGGCATACATCCAATATTTCAGCGGGAGTGAAGATGTCGTCATGAGCGTGAGTCCGGTTTCCACAATATGTCTATGTTTCCGTTCAGCTAGACCGTTGTGCTCCGGTGTATGTGGCGGTGATGTGAGATGTGTGATGCCATGTGTTGCAAGAAAGCTTCGAAGTGCCACAAATTCTCCTCCATTATCCGAAAATAGCGTTCCAATTCGATTCTCAAACCGGTTTTCAACAAGGGCTTTAAAGGCTGGGTGCAGAAATGGACCCGATGAGTGCACTATAGATTAGCTTATCCTGTCGCTTCCATTTGGTGTAGGCAGGATTTGGAGATGTTACGGATCCAACCGTAACAGTGGCAGCGGGACCTTCGGCGTCATCGAGATGGTTGGTGAGTTCATAGCCATCTAGGAGAGAGTGGACTTGTAGTTTCCACACAATGTAGTTTGTGTTGGTCAGCTTTGTTATGTTGGACATATTGATGTGGTGAACGGTGTTTGCGTTTATGGTGATGGCGGTATTGTTTTCTGTGTTAGCCATGGTGACGGCTCACGAGAAAGAAGAAAAGAATTTTAGGTTTTTAGGAGCGAGTGCTCTGATACCATATAAGGATTGAAATTATCTTATTGAATAAGAGGAGAGTGTTACAACTATTTATACAGAGGCTACAAAGTAATTAGGGCAAAGTTAAATCTATTATTTACAATTAGATCCTTAACTTCTTATTAATCTCTATACTCCTATAAGATTGTGTATATTCAATGATCGTCGCTACACTTTATCTTTAAGGTCTAGAAGTTCAACTCTTAAATGCCCAAATCCTAAAATGAAGTTTAACAATCGATGTGTTATATTTTCTTATTTAATTTTTTTAATCAAATAATATATACTAGTTTGTGAAAGCATAATAATAATCCATTTTTTGATCTACATCTAATAATACATTTTAGATTCTGATTTAACGTAAAACTGTGTTATCAAATTTTGTGGATAACAATTTTAAAGGTTTTCACTCACAAATTAGGAATATAATGAGTAGTTTCTTGCAATCGAGTTTCTTAGACCAAAAAAAAAATCTATAAATCCTGAAACATATAATTCAATCTCATTCAAGTTTAAACCAACTTTTACACAGAAGATTAGCTAATAAAATGGGCAAATGGCTCATTGACAAAAACAATTGAAAAACCCTATAGCCAAATTAGGTTCGGCTAGTGAGTATCCTTTATATTAATAGGCATGTTCCTTGTAACTCTTAACCAAAACCTAACATCTTCCCCTCTTTACTTCTTCTACAAGACTCTGACGGCCGACAAGAAAAGAGTCTCGGTCACGCTATGGACATATTTTTAGAGTAAGCTCTATGGATTTTGTACCTTAATTTTCTGCTTCAATTGTGGCTTGGGCACAGTGAAAATGATTTGGGGAAAAAAGGACGAATGGATTCTTTTTGTATTTAGGGTTTCGCAAATTAGGTGGGCGCCATGAGAATTAGGTTGTTTTCGGCTTCGATTGGTAAAAACTAAAAGAGACTGTTGCTTTGGGTTGCTAGCTGTGTTTGTGAATTGACATGTTGTGAAAGTTATTCTTGTGTTTCAAACATAAATCATTAGCTTTGGATCAACTTATATCTACAAGAGTGTTATGATTTTTTTTTGTTTTGTTTTTAGCCCTATAGATATAGAGATATAGATATGGTGGTCTTATGATCTATTGTCTACCCTTATCAACTGCAGCATTTCCTCGCGAGTCGCAGCTAGGAAGGCCGCGGCTTTACATGAATCTCGGCGCAAAGAGCTGCTGCTATTAAGAAAACCTTCAAGACTTTTCCTAAGGATGTTGTTTGAGCGGTTTACCGAGGAAGCAATGAAAGCTATAATGCTGGCCGAAGAGGATACCCGCAGATTTGGCCACGTATATGTAGCGACTGATCACATACTTGTGGGTCTACTACTTGGCCCCGAAAACATTGCTGCAAAGGTTCTTGAATCCATAGGAATCAATGCTAAAGATGTGCGTGTGGAGGCTATAAAAATAGTTGGGCAACGAGGATTTAATGAGCCTATTGAGGTTGAAAAGATGGAAACCAGGGCAATAAATATCCCATTTGGACCCCGTGCTAAGCACATTCTGGAGTTGTCATATGAAGAAGCTCGGAAACTTGGTAAGTACTTCTCTATTTTTTATATGTCAAAATTTAGAATCTTGATATGTGACTTTCTAATGTTCGGTTGATAGGGCATGACTATATTGGATGTGGACATCTTCTGCTTGGTATGCTTAGCGATGAAAGATGTTTAGCTGCTCAGTCTCTGGCCAATTGCGGTGCAAACGCTAGCAACATGCGGACAGAGGTAAAAAAAACAGTTGCATTATAAATAGATTCCAGTCGATAAAGAGTTAGTTTGCTTAATAAGCAGACTAGGCTCTCTAGCAAATAGTACTTAATACATGTCTTTGCGTCAAATTAGGTTATACGCATGATGGCGGAAAACAACAATGAGACAGTATTGGAGAGAAGTTGTGAACCAAATGTTGTAGATGATGCTCAGGTTCATCGATCGATATCACATTAATAAATAAATGCTTCCCTTAATTTGTTAACCTATTCTTACATATATTTCTTCTTTTGAGTTTATCGAAAAAAACACTGAAGACTAGGTACTTTCGTTGTTATTAGATTGATGAGGAAGTAAGAGAGCGTGAAAAGAAAATCAACCTGAAAATTCAAGAGAGGTACAAACTTATGTGTGAAAGCCCAGATTTTGAAAAGGTGATGATAGCTTTGGCTTTTTAACAATTGGCCTACTCTTAATGCCTGAACGTAAGCAATATTATTGAGTTTTTCAACAGGCTGGTTTGCTTCTTGGCGAGATAAAGGCTCTACGCGGGGAGATATATCATCTACAGGCCAAAAAGGAAAAGCAGATAATGTGGAGCAGAATGTGGAGCTGTTGACACACATTGTTGTTGGGAACAAGTGGACTGGCAAATAGATGTGGGATGAATAAACGTGATGTAGCGCATCTTTCGTCTTCATAAGTGCACATTTCTCTTGTTAAGTTAATTTCAATTGCGAGTTTTTCTTTTATTTTAAAGGTTTTATGTCGAGGCCAGTCCGCTTTGGGATCATGTAATATGATTAAGTCCGGTGTGCCTAAGGAACATAAACGATGTGACATCTTCCTAACACAATTCTTTTGCTTATAATTAATCGATTCGATTGTGAAAATGCTCATGGAAACCATCTTGTATGATCTGAATATTTTGTTTGCTGCAATCTTTGGAAATCGGGCATATACCAAAATCGTTAATAAGTTTAAAACTTAGGTGAATGATTCCAAAGTTTCGTGGACGAGCTTGCAACTCTGTGATGATTGATTGGTGATGATAAGACTGATACAATTTGGTGGTTACTATAAGTCCATCAATACCAAAAAGATCATAAGAAGCTAGAATCCAAAAGTAGGTAAGAGGAGTGCAAAGACATTATTACTATTACATTACAACGTGCAAAGTTTTCAAAGAAATGCAGTTAAGCATAGAAAGTTAGAAAGGTCGAGAAGAGAGCCCTACCTTTGAGGGCAAGCTAATATTTAAATTCCCCTACCTTTGAGGGCAAGTAAATATTTAATTCTGAGAAGTTATAATCAATCTCTTCATAAAAATGTGTCCCCAATCTATGAATGTAAGTACCCTTCTTATATATATCTCGTTATCGTTTGATTCGATCGTATCATGAAAACTCTTTGAACTTCTATTAAAAAAATAAAATATATCTGTTGAATTGTTACATCAGGAATATGATGATCGACATAGAGAGATTGTGTATATTTATTGATCGTCTCTAGAGCTTATCTTTAAGATAGTAGAAGTTCCGTTAGCTCACTTTTTTTTATCGTCTCTATAGTTTATATCGTTGTCAAACTCTTGTTTAAATGAAGTTTAAAATATTGATGAGTGATCACTACAAAATAAAATCGAAAATGAATGAATACACCAAAACAATTTAAAACGAAAAAAAAAGTTTTTCTTTATTCCGCTAGTTCCATTCATTCTGATTTTTTTCGATATTAACGATCGTTCTAACCAAAAAGTACACAAAGGTGGTCCAATTTCTTCAAAGAAACAAATTTTAAAGAAAGGACAAGGAAGGTCGAATATGTCTGGAAAATGAAAGAGCTACGTGACTCGTGAGAGTTCTTACGTGCCATGCCATGTGGTGCTTGCTGATACCAATCGTATCCTTATGTCATCATCATTTCACTCTTCTTTTTTTGTTTATCCTTCTTTAATATTCTTTTCCTTCTCTCTCTCTCTAGTTCAGTCTTTTGCTTTCAATCATTGAGAGACTGAAGATAATTTGTGCCTACTTCTCAAACCAAACCTCAATTCTCGATTTTCTCTATTATCGGTGAAAATTTATTAAAATTATCAGATAATTTGTGCCTATTTTTGTGAAAGCTTACAATATAATGCATTTGTTCATCCACATCCAAAGATTTCAAGCTTATGCATTTTGTATTCGGATTTAAACGTAAAACTGTGTCCAATATTGTGGATAAACAATTTAAATGGTGTTTTCAACTCACAAATGATGAGAGAGCATGCATAAACGTATGCATGTTGCAAACTGAATCATCAACCAGTCTAGTAATGATGGTACTGTGCTACATTTTGGTTTTGCCTTCATGTAGTAATTAGATCACTTCTCTTTGTTCTAGGTAATATCAGAATCTCAAAAAATCTTGATGTAGCCAACGACAAGAGAAAGCAAAATATAGTTTCAGTGGGCGAATGATGATAGATTTTTTTTAAAAGCTAAATATTGCATACATAGCTAAATTGTTTTCTTGAACTATACGTATTATAAAGGTCTAATGAACACGTACGCGAGGACAGCCAATTTCATTATTTTGTCCTATAAAAAAAACCACCGATTTGGTTATCTTCCATAATCAACTCAACTGCCGACGTTGATCCATTAACCTTAGCCTCACAATCGTAACCGAATGGAATTTTTGTTGGTTTTTACTTCGGTTTATATTAACACTATTATCAACCGATGGTTTGGGTCGAATAGAATAAACTATGTACTCGTGGTGACTAGAAAACATTCTAGCAAGATCACTCACTATACTAAAGAGCATCCTGCGGCTGCGGTTCAACGGTATAGAATAACTGAAATTTATTGAAACTTATTGGCCCTTAAATAAAAAAAAATTACTTGAGAGTTTGTTTAGGTTTGGTTTCGCTGATGTAACTAGAAGAAACTTTCAAAGTTATCGAATTTTATCCAGAATCTCTATTAAAGGTATAAAGGGAAAAAAAGCTAAGTTTCATATATATCATGGAGAAGATGAACCACTAGCTACTGCAACGCAGAAAATACAGGCTCGGGCCTCGAGTCACATATCAACGTCACGCCCAGAACACTCTGCCTTCTTCAGAGCTACTTTTAGTATCAAACAAAAAAAGAAAAGAAAGTGCTCTTTTTTAGGTGTTTATTTCATTTTAAGTATTTAACCATAACTCTATAATATAACAATCTACACAAGAAAACCACAAAAATTGTCACAGTGGCTCTCTAACTGAAAGAACGTCGATCCAAAGGGTCGTGTTCACTTCTCAAGGACGAAAAACAAGTATATAAAAAAAAAACTTCGTTTTCCAAAAATAAATTTGGTAATAAGAAAAAATCTGTATATTACTAGATTCAAAATCATGGGACATTTTTCATTAAAAAAAAAAAGGATGCAGTAAAAAAACTACGAAATTATTTTGTTAGTTTTTCTCTGAACTGTAATAGTTCTTAATCATTTTATTTTTCAAATTTTATTGATATACACTACAAATATACTAGAACAATGTAATTTTTTTTAATTAATACAATTATTTCAATAATTTAATATACTTTTTTAATTTTGTAATTATTGGTGTTTCGCGGTGAAGCGGTTAATAACACACGCTGATTCTCGATATATACCTGAAGAATACGCTTGCCGATACAGAAACAAAAAAAAAACACTTAAAAGCTCATTTTCTCTCACTTTCTCTCTCAGCTTACGAACAAGAAAAAAAGAAGAATCTTTAGTCACCTTTGAGATCAAAAGATGAACATCGCTCACACCATCTTCGGCGTTTTCGGTAGCAACCCATTTCCTAAACCTCTCTCTCTCTCTTTCTATCTTCTTCGTCTTCTTCCATGAAAAATCACTCAAGAGTACTAATCGTTTTTGTCGTCTTTCTACTTTTACAGGAAATGCAACTGCTCTGTTTCTGTTCTTGGCTCCTTCGTACGTATCAATCCTCTCTCTTCTCTCGTGAACCGATTTATGATTCTTTCGATTTCTTGTTGTTCTGTTCTGATAAAAACTCAAAGATTCCTCTTTGTTGGTGAATGAAATTTAGGATAACATTCAAGAGAATCATCAAGAACAAATCCACCGAACAGTTCTCTGGTATCCCTTACCCAATGACTCTCCTCAACTGTCTCCTCTCCGCTTGGTAACTAAAAACCACTCTTTTACCTTTTTAATCTTCCATTAGAGTATAGCTCTGTTTCTCACTTCCTCTGTTTCTGGGTTTCTCTGTTTTTTCAGGTATGGACTTCCCTTTGTGTCAAAAGACAACACACTTGTGAGCACAATCAATGGAACAGGAGCAGTGATTGAAACAATCTACGTGTTGATCTTTCTCTTCTACGCACCAAAGAAGGAGAAAGTTAAGATCTTTGGTATCTTCTCTTGCGTTTTGGCCGTATTCGCAACAGTAGCTCTCGTCTCTCTCTTTGCTCTCCATGGAAATGGTAGAAAACTCTTCTGTGGTCTCGCAGCTACTGTTTTCTCCATCATCATGTACGCTTCTCCACTCTCCATCATGGTAAGCAAACTCAAGATTGGATCTTTTTAAAGTTCTACTCTTTTCTTTGGATTCATTTTGTTAATTTTGTGTTTGGTTGATTGATTTAATAACAGAGATTGGTGATAAAGACGAAGAGTGTAGAGTTTATGCCATTCTTTTTGTCACTCTTTGTCTTCCTCTGTGGTACTTCGTGGTTCGTTTATGGTCTAATCGGTCGTGACCCTTTTGTTGCAGTAAGTTACAATTTCTCTATCTTTTGTTGTTTTCTTTGGTAAAAATCAAAACTTGGTTTCTAAATTTTGGGTTTTGTTTTGGTGAAGATCCCAAATGGGTTTGGATGTGCATTAGGGACACTGCAATTGATACTATACTTCATCTACTGTGGAAACAAAGGAGAGAAATCTGCAGATGCTGAGAAAGATGTGAAGTCGGTGGAGATGAAAGATGATGAGAAGAAGCAGAATGTGGTTAATGGGAAGCAAGACCTTCAAGTTTAAAGCTTTTGAGGATGATTTGGTTATGTGATTTCGTATTAACTCTTCTTAATTAGAGTTTTTCTTTTCGTTTTGTTGGAATGTAAAAAAAATGATGCTGAAAAATGTTGTAAGATTTCCTGATTTCCTAATGATAACTAGTGTGATTGATTGAAGAAGACGATGATGCCATTTGTGAGTTTTTCTCATTCGAAGAATTTAACCATTTGAATCACACTTATGGACAAATAGGCTAAGAACCAAAACTCTAATTATTTTTATATAATAGAGAAAAAAGAAAGAAAATTTGTTCCATAAGTGTTAGATTAGCTTTAGAACCTGTGATCACCCCTGATCTCTGGTAATAATACATGGAGATGATTTAACCAGTTACACAATAACCCAAGATTACAGTAAAAACTAAAAAACATAACAGTGTTTTTATGAAACATAATGACTATGCATGCTCTGGTCACTTATCTTACCTCCAAGCTGAAGCAACGATTAAGCTTTTCTCCTCCCAGCAAAAATGGAGCTCACCCATTTCTTCTTTAAGCTTGTACTTATTGCAATATTGTTGCTTTATGAGGTTCTGAATATTGTTGGTTACTCTAGCACTCATTGGTTTTGGATTGAATCCAGCCATCATCATCCTTGCTCTCCATTTTCCAGCAGCCTCGTATCTCTCTATTCGTTCTTCTCCTTCGCAAGCAACAATGTTGACTATGTCTCTAGCGAGACATTGTCTTTCTACATTCATCCTCTCTTGGCTTTCTCTTGGAAGTGTCATGTCTAGAGATTCGAAAACCGCTGAGTAGTACTCGTAAGCTTCTATGAATCTGGGGAAGAATGGGGAAGTGTTTGTGTTCACGTCTTGTTCAACGACTGTGACGAGCTTCGGGTTTAAGCTTTTGACCATGTGGAGTAGCTCGTCCCGCTGGTTTACTGTTGTGACACTCTCGTCAGGCATGTGGTGAAGCTGGAATGCAAAGTTCACAATTAAGGTTTCTCCGGGTTTGCAACCGAGTGTTAATGGAGAGACAATCGAAGTCTTTGAAGGCACTGCTTTGAATTTGAAGGATACTCCATTATCCTCTGCGAGTTGCTCGAGTCTTAAACCGATGATTCTTAGCCCTCCGATTGAGCGTTGGACTGATTCAGGGTCATCAATTCCGGTTAACCTCAGGCGAGGACGTTTACCGGGTAACTCAGCTACACTTCGTATCAGTGTCATGTATTGGTTACCTTGGTTTATATCGAAATCGATTATGTGAACTTCCTCTTCACCTTTTATTGCTTCAATTATCGCACCGTTAGCTGCTAAAAACCCGAACTTGAAACAAGGGCAGACTTCAAACAGGACTTGCATAGCTGCGAGCCTCTCATCCGAAGGAGGCTCTTTGCATTTCAATGCTCTGTATATGAATTTTCCGGAAGCAGCCATTCTTGCAGCTAGACCTTCCACCATGTACGCTGCAATTCTCTGAGAAGGATCTCCTTGGATCGAAACAATCTGCCTCAGCTCATTTACCATTGACAAAGCTTCTTCTGATTTTCCTTCGGATAGCGCACGAGCACAAGATATCAAGATTTGCTTTGGAGTGGCTTGCGACACCACTTCTTTGCTACTTACATGAGAGTTGGAATCTGCAGATGATGATTCTTTGGGCGAGTCCTGATGCTGTTCGCTTTCGTTTTGGTACGACCATTCGCTGTCAATCTCCATCAGATTATCTATTCCAATCATTTTATCATCTTCATCGCCGAGAAGCGCTCTTTCAAGCTCTTCAATCTTTGACCTCATTTGCTCATCATCAAACTCCTCCACCACATCCATGCTCGGACTGTAAGAAACTGCTTGGTAATCTCCCAAAAGCCTCGTAGATGAAGTAGAAGTTGAATCAAACGGTAACTGAAATTCCATGGAACATCCAAGAACCGGTCTTGACTGATAAGGATATGAGTCTAAAGAGCCAAATGAGCTAACCGAAGCACCGGAGCCAATAGGATGTTGAACAAACTCATCAGTTGGCGAATCGAGAAAGTACTTCTCATAACTTTGGCTTGGGTAAGAATCATCAGTCAGACAAGGGTTCTTGGACCTGTCTTGATCAAAGATTTGAGCAGAAGTGACTCCATTGTTGTTACCATTCTCATTCAACGAGTAAAGCTTCGGGTTCCTATATGAGGATGGCTCTGCTGACCTCACTAATGACATGACTCTCGCTTTGATATGTTCTCTAACCACAGTTTGTTCCACCATTCAGCTGCAACTAGAATGTTCCCAAATATCAGAATCTTAAAAATGTCACACACAGAAAAACATAAAGCCACTGTGATTCTAACAAAAGCTTGTTAAATCATGCAAAAAGCCCCCAAGAGACCATTCCTAAAGACTAACGCTTTGTTACTAATTCATCATAGATAAACCAAGTATGGACCTTAATGATCAAAATCTCAGAGCTGATTCTCCAAAGCAAAGACTATCATCCAAAATCCATTGAGAATTGAAAAGAATTATGGAACTCTTACCAAACCCATGTAAAAATTATTCCTTTGATACCTACCACAACTATGCAATTCTCAAGACCATAACCGGTTAACCAAGAAATCTCTTCCATAGTCGCAATTAAGAACAATCAGAGCAACTAAGATCTATATCTTAATAGTAGATTGACTGGTTTAAACAGCTTGCAAACGGATTAGGATCCAGACTAAAGCAAACAAACATAATCGAACAAGTTAGAGCAAGGACTTAAGGACCAGGAAACAAAAATCAGATGATGAAGTCAAATACCAGGAGATAGATTTGAGGAAAAGGGTCGGTCTTGGATTATGGAGGATGCCTAAATGAAGAAATTGACAAGAAGAAATCTGATATAAACGTCGGAAAAGCCTAAAGGAAGAAACAAAGCCTAAAGGTTTGACCTTTTGGGTCTTACTGTTTACACAGAAGAAGACAGAAATGATAAAAACGCTTTGGCTTTGGTTTCTGATTTTTCTGGCTTTGTTCTGTGTCCTTGTGGTCTTTGTTTAAAGATGTGTTTACTCTTTAAAGATTCATACTTTTAAAGACTCGTGTGGTGTTAGGTTTTACCTGAAATAAAAAACACAAGTTTCAAAAAAAAAAAAAAATTAATATGGAAGAGAATTTATATTGTTTTCTGAAGAAGACCAAAATCTAAATTTTTTGGTAAATTGCTTACGAGACTTTATAAATTCTTTGAATTTTTTCTAAGTCTACTGTTCCAGAAGGTAACTGAGATTAGTGTTTTTTTTTTTAACGTCTAGATTTATTATTTATTGTAAATTATGAGAACTGTTACATAGACGATTCTACAACGGACAATTTCTTCCGACCCTTATTAGATCCACGACAGACGACACTTCCTTCTCCATGCTCTTGACGGACACCTTCAATGATCCACGACCTGACGACACTTCTCTCTCTGCGTAGAATCCTGGCGAACGGCTATAATTGTACTTCGCTGGAGATCTCCTGCACACTTGCCTCCTTTAATCTGCAAATTTATTAATAAATCGTAATATCTGGGACTCGAACCCCAGACCTCTTGGTGTAGAAGCATTAATTAACCCTTGGTCAACCAATGGGCCAAGGGGGCTTCGACTGAGATTAGTGTTTAATAAATTAAAAAAAAATTCAAATATCTCACTTGGAAAAGAATACTAAGATATAATTAGCAGTTCCGTGTCCGATTTGGTTTTGATCAATTTCTGTTGACCAATTAAATTGTCACTCGGTTTTAATTTTTGGGTAAATAGTGTATTTCATGTACTTTTTTTTTGTTGGTGCAAAGAAATATTTGATTTATGATGTTGATTTTAGTAATAAGAGGAAAAATATAAACCGTTGGATATGCCTGAAAAATATGACGGAAGCGATCGTGGGGTGACGAAGGTGCCTACGACAGTTCCCACTAACATTTGGATTAAATAATTACTCACAATATCATGCTGTTAGTGCAGCTTAACGTGTTGATTTTTATGAAATATTCAAAGGTACTTTTGTCAACTTGAGAAAGTACTATTTATCAAAAAAAAAAAAAAAAACTTGATAAAGTACTTTATGTTTTACCAGAAATTTACTGTTGTATTATCTTATCTCACTTATCTTAATTACTGTTTTTTTGTTTAATTTTACTAATCCAAAACAAAAACTTGAAGGAGAATTTTTTTTTGAGAAATTATGATTCTTAAAAACCGATTTTTTTTTCCTAACATCATTTCATTTGTTTACTAAGTTCGGTTTAATTAGTTTGATTATAATTCTTATTCAACTACGAACCCACAACAGAAATTTACGTTGAACACTGATTCCAATTGCATATCTTTGTTATGTGTAATAAGATATTTTAAAATTTGTTATTTATGATGTCCTTTTTCTTTTGTTTATTTAGCAATAGCTTAATTTAGTGACTTACACACTATTGAGCGGATTATTTATAAATACAAATACAAGTTTCCAAAGTTTAGTGGGACATATAAAGTCTCCAAGTAAAATGATTGTTTACCGCATAAGTAATGATCATTAACCAATGTGTAAAGAATCTAATTCCAATTTGTTTAAAGAAATTTTTGTATTTCTTTAAAATATGGTGAAGAATGAGGATACTAAACATTTGACGCAGAGTCTTTATCAACCTTATCCTCGCAATACCCACATAGGACTGACTTCTCTCTCTCTCAATCTTATCCACTACGTAACTTCTATTTTTATTTGTTACAAATAAAAACCTTAATTTTCATTTTAACAATATTATATATTTAACCATTATACAGAACTTAATTTCCAACGGAAAAGTTTACATTGCTTTCGTATGCTATAAGCCTATAATGTTACCATATTGGAATTCAAATGGAAGTTTCTTAAAACAAATGATGTTACTATAGCTAGTTGGTTGTTTTTGTTCTTTTGACGAAGTATTAAAGTGTGAATAGAATAATATCTTGCAGAACAAAAGCTTGCTTTGGAATTCAAGATTATTAGAAAGCTTGTTAAAAATCCAATTACGTTTTTTTGAGATTACATTTTTTTTTGGGTACAAATGCAATTCTCTCTAACCTCGTAAACTGTGAAAATTTACGAGTCAAACCGCTGATCATATATTAATATATGATTTAAGTGATACGGATGGTACATATGTTAATTATGTTTACTTCTCCATGATTTATGAATTAAGAAAAGATTATCACTAGGAAGTGGGATGTTTGGTTCTAAACGCATGCAAATCCGGCTGCTCCATGGAATTATGTTTTGGATTCATACAAATAATTTCTATATGTTTTGTAAGAAAAATAAACTGCATTTAAGATTTTACATTATCATGAATTCACCAACTAAATCAACTTAAAACAAGATACATTAACAACATAAGCTAGCAAATCAACAAAATATATCAACAACAAATGAATCAACATGGATTTAGAAGTAATATTTTGATAAAGATATTGCATGGCGAACATTTAAACAAGATATTTAGCAACATATTTAAATAAAACCAAATTAACAAATCTATCGAACATGATACAAGATGCTAAGATCAGAAATGTATATTGTTCAAATGACATATTAGATAACATGTGAGATGTCAAAATAGTAATAAAAATAACATGTAAATATTATTGTGTTTGATCTTGCAAGTCATTAATTGTTTGAGCAATTTATGTTCAAAAGTAATACTAGCATTAATCATCAATCCTTTGAAAAACTTCGTCACATTATCATTCGATTATACTATTTGATTGATGCAATTGTTTATGTGTGCTATAATAATTTTTCAAAGTTATTATTTAACTGCTAAATTGTGTAAAAAGTTGTCAATTAAGTTTCTGATATATGACAAAGTACCACAACTTTAAGGATGGCGTATCCACGATGTATTCAGGATTGTGCATATTTGTATGGTCTCTAAACACCTAGGAATTTAGAATGATTTTTTTTTGAGAAATTCAAATTATAAATCAAAGTTGATGAGAACGAAAATAATTGCAAATATTCCCTAACGAGATTTTAAAATCTTATATATTACTACTACCGTACTACTGTTAAAGAAGAGATTTTTTCTTATCATTATTAAGTGGTCAATCCATCATCTCTTATCTCTCACCATGATTATTTCAAGTCATTAAATATTCTTAATCCCTAAATATATAAAAACCCTTACCAGATGTTTGTTCGTTACTCAATGCCCTAGTCGCATTTAATGGGTCTTTCAAACAGCTAATCAAGCACCGGAATCCACAGTCGATCTCTTTTCTTCACTTGCGCTTTCACCAGCAGAGTACGGAGAAATTTGATCCCAAAGTTACAGTTAATTTCTTCTTTGATCTGATTCTACATTATCATGAATTCACCAACTAAATTAACTTAAAACAAGATAAATTAACAACATAAACTAGAAAATCAATAAAATATATCAAGAACAAAAGAATCAACATAGATTAGAAGTAATATTTTGATAAAGATATTGCATGGCGATCATTTAAACAAGATATTTAACAACATATTAAAATAAAAACAAATTAACAAATCTATCGAACATGATGCCAAGATCAGAAGTATTTATTGTACAAAGGACATGTTAGATAACATGTGAGATGTCAAAAAAAATAAAATAATAACATGTGAAGATTATTGTGTTGGTCTTGCAAGTCATTTAATTGTTTGAGCAATTTATGTTCTAAAGTAATACTAGCATTAATCATCAATCCTTTGAAAAACGTAGTAATTTTTCAAAATTATTATTTAACTTCTAAATTGTGTAAAAAGTTGATAGTTAAGTTTGTGATATATGAGAAAGTACCACAACTTTAAAGATGGCGTATCCACGATGTATTCAGGATTATGCATATTTATATAGTCTCTAAACACCTAGGAATTTAGAATGAATTTGTTTGGAAAAAAAAAACCCAAATAATCATGTAATTCAGAAGGACTACTTCATGGTTCTTTAAAACATGGTGGTATTTGTTCTCCCATGTAGATTGAGCTACACCATGATTCAATATCATATTCTCTTTTCTTAATGTTCCAAAATTTCTCCATGATCCATCGTTGTGTCTTTGTATCTCACAGCAATTCGAGGTATTGATACGTGTAACTAATCAGTTCATATCTCTGTCAAATAAATAGATATAGTAGTTAGTTTGCAACAAAACATCTCTAACGTGAATTTAAATATGACATAAAAGTAAGATTAAATTACTTTTTCTAAGCCAGAGAGTGTGAGTTCCATGGAAATGATAAACATACGGCCTACTAAAGTGCAATAGCATCCACCAAAAGACACTTTGACCTTTAAAGAATTTGTCCATCCTTCGTTCTTGAAGAATGCGAACAAGCTTTCTTTACCCTCCGAAAGTAAGTACAACATTTGACAACTAGTTAAATGTCTGCAAAAAAAAACATCAAAGAGATAAAGGACACAAGATATATCATAACACACTGAACTAATTTGACAAGATATTGTTCTAGCCTTTCCAAATAAAAGTTGGATGATATAGGAGGAAAAATCCATAAAAGTTCAAAAATATGACCATTTTGAGTTTTTAGCTCGTATGATATAGAAGGATCTCATCTTGACATTCTCCTATTACAAAACTATTTTGCAATATATAATCACTATTGTCAAATATCAGTATGCAATGAGTATAGTCAGTGTAAATATTTTTAAAAAATCATCCATTCTAATATTGACTAGCCATTTTTAAAATTTTATATAAGACCAATTTTTAAAATTTTATGTAATGAGTATAATCAACTCGACATAAGGGATCTCGATGTCAATTCTTTTTGAACATAAATTGCTCACACAATTGAAGTTGATGAAGACTAAAATCAACGCAAACTTTCTGAATATAATGATATTGTATTTTGAAATGGACCATAATTTTGTTTAATCTTTTTTTCTTCTTAATTTACTTATACAAAGATAATTACATGATAACAAGGCTACACATCTAATTAAGGTACATCAACTCGACACAAGGGATCTCGATCGATGTCTAAATCCCTTTATTTGTTTACAAACATACTTACCATACTCTTTTTTTGTATAATGACGTTGAATTACAAAAGAAGTTAAGGAAGTATATATAATTAGTGAATGAATGCATAACACCACGACCATACATATAAACGTGCGTACCTAATCAAAGGATCTCCCTCCACCTATGCTAATAAACATATGACACGTGGATATCACTGAATTAAAAAAACTTTCTCTTCTTCTTATTTATTACGAATTTACGATTGATAGATGCAGTGATCTCTTGTCTTCACTCTCCAACGGTTTGGTAATATCTTCAGAGCTTCGAGAATGTCAATGTTAATGGCGGCCAAATCCACTTCACTCTTTAGCTCAAACCCAACAATTTCAGCTAGAATCGGGCAAAACCCTCGCGCCGTCAGATTGGTTTATCCGACGGTGAGAATGCAGTCACGTGTTCACCGTCTCATTGAAGAGCATGGCGCTGTGCTTATTCCCGGAGTCTACGACGCATTGTCGGCGGCTATTGTGCAGCAGACCGGATTCTCCGCCGCATTAATCTCCGGTTACGCTCTCTCCGCCGTAACTTTGGGAAAACCCGATTTCGGTTTGATAACGTACGCCTGTTGCTTTTTTTTTTTCTCATTTCCTCTTTTTCTTCTGTCGTTTTATTCGTTTTGTTCTGTCGTTTTAGACCGCCGGAGATGGCAGCAACGGCGAGATCAGTGTGTGCTGCTGCTCCAAAGATTCCAATCATTGCCGATGCAGGCAAGTCCACAATCTCAAATCTCAAACACTCTTCTCTTGCTCCTCTAAGTGACTTTAATCATAGTTGATCTTTGTTTGCTTAGAGATCATTGCAATTTTCATTGTTCTTTACTGTAAAATTATCTTGAAGAATATCACAAGTTGTTCTGTTCTGTTCAAAAGATTCATTCTTTGACATTGTTACAGATACTGGTGGAGGAAATGCTCTCAATGTTCAAAGAACCGTTAAGGACTTAATCGCAGCAGGTGCTGCTGGTTGCTTCCTTGAGGTAAACTACTCAGTTATCGTATGTGTTAGTTTCAATTTACTCATAGTCTTATGTTACTCTCTCTCTTGTGCTATCTTGGTTGTGTTCATTAGAGTAACTAAAAGACAGTTTCTTCATCTTGACTTGAACTAATATAATTTCGGGTTCCTGCAGGACCAGGCATGGCCAAAGAGGTGTGGTAAGAGACGTTATCTTCTTGTTTCATTCTCTGCAAAGCTATAAGCTTTTGTTAAAGTCCTCAAAATTGGTTTTAACTCTTTTGCTCTCTATTTGTCATTTGTGTAGGACATATGCGTGGCAAAGAGGTATTAGTTTCATTTCCTCAATCCTCATCCTTTGCTCCCAAAATCTATAAACTGATGGCTTCTTATTTGGAAACAGGTCATACCTGCAGAGGAGCACGCTGCTAAAATAGCATCAGCAAGAGACGCTATTGGAGATGCTGACTTCTTTCTAATCGCTAGGACTGATGCGCGTGCACTTTCCGCAAAAACAGGACTTTCAGACGCCATCGACCGTGCTAATCTTTACATGGAGGTTGTGTATAACTAAATCATGTTGTGTTAACATTACTAAAAGCTTTAACTTTTAAGAAGCCAGAATATTGGTGGTTAATAAAGAGAGATTGGAAAAATGTGCAGGCAGGAGCTGATGCTTCCTTTGTTGAGGCACCGAGGGACGATGATGAGCTTAAGGAAATTGGAAAGCGCACAAAAGGTTACAGAGTGTGTAACATGCTTGAAGGTGGACGCACACCATTGCATACGCCTGATGAGCTTAAAGAAATGGGTTTTCATTTGATCGCACACCCACTTACCTCGCTTTATGCATCGACTCGAGCTCTTGTCGATGTTCTCAAGATTCTCAAGGAGAAAGGAACCACCAAAGATCACTTAGAAAAGATGATAACTTTCGAAGAGTTTAACCGTTTGGTGAACTTGGATTCATGGTATGAGCTCGAAACCAAGTACTCTAACCTCAGAAACGCTCTTGGGGAAACAAAGTGATGAGATTCTGACAACTCTGGCGACAATGGAAGCTCTTGGACAATGTTATCTTTTTCTCATTTAGAAATGAAGCTGTTTGTACCATATCATATCAATAAGATTGTGTTTTGGGTTAGCATTTTCAATAAAGATTGTTCATGCTTCTCCGACAAACCAGAGAAGCCATGTCTCTAGCATCTCTTGAAATACCAGCCAAGCCTTGTCTTCCAAATCCAACACTGTACAAACCGTTCTAATTCCCTTGCAGTGATCCAGGAACTTGCGTCTCGGCATCCCATTCATGCTGAACAGATTTCCATCATCGACCTATGCACATCAGAGCCATTAAACACACAAGAACAGAGTTTGTTTCCTCTGTTTCCCGGAGAATTGTGTCTGAAACTCTTTTAAGGAATCTCAAGGTAAATGATTTACTGAGCCCATCTATGACAACAACCTATATCTTAACATCACGTAAGCTTTAACTATGTGAAGTACCTGTAATTAGAACACAGCCACAGAGGTCAAGGGTCCTGAGATCTGGCCAACCATAAGCTAAACTTATTACCCTATCATCATTGATATTCTCACACCATCCCAAGTTTAATGACTCTGCAACAGATTGTAATAATTCCCAATAGGCTGCACACATGATCAAGGTGAACAAATTCTATCAATTCTGCCACTCTTATGACAAAAAAGAAAAAACTAGATTGAGAGAGAGCATTGAGAAACCTCCAAGAAGGAATAAACCCAATTCAAAACACATTGTTCTAAAGATGATTACCAATTACGAGTCTCAGATGATCAAAACACATTGCTCTAAAGATCATGCTATTGCAGAACAAGATTCATTGTTTTCAGTACTTAAAAACTTGTAGTATGATTTACATTACAAGAAGCAATGATAGACGATGTATCAATCAACAAGTTAGATTTTGAGGAATTGAATAAGAAGATACGACTTGATAAAAAAAAAAAAAAAAAGAGAAATCCATTAAGGTCATAACATAGGTTTGAAGTTGCAAGGGTTTAAACTCACAAGGGCATTACAAGTGCTTGGGAAAATAAAATATATATTAACAAAAAAGAAAAGGGACAATGCATCCTTAATTAGCTTTGGCTTTGACGAGTTTCTTGTTCTTGCTTTTTCTTTTAAAACGAGTCTTGTTCTTGCGGAGGAATCACATCTTCCAACAACTTGATAGGAGGAGGAGCAGCTGTCTGCATGCTGAGTCAAGTAAAACCACATGTATGAGCTACCTACCACAAACCAGAGCACCCATATAGCTAGTGCTTAATTAGCCAAAAAGGAAAGTTCATACCTTGAGGAAGTGGAAGTAGTTGCCTCAGATAAGTGTTCCTCCTGTTACAAGAGAGAGAATCAATATGAATTTAGCCGAGCTAGACAGAAAAAAAAAAAAAAAAAAAAACTGGTTAAAATATTTAGTAATAACCTGAATTTTAGATTCGGCGGAGGCTAGCTTATCAGATTCAGCGGGTTTCTTCCGTTTTCGCTCATAACAGTGGCTAAGATCATACGACGAACGATATGGAAAACGACCAAATCGATTATAAGAACGAGAGCTACTTGCGGTAAATTTTCGCATTCTCGCTCGCACAAAAAGGGTTAATTTTCTGCTGCCCTAATGTGGTTTTTATTGCAAAGTAACAAGGAAACCCTAGCTATCTCTCTCGAAACTACTATGTCGTTTTTTCTCACTGAAGAGAAAAGGGGAGAAACAACAACACGTTTCTAATTCAAACAGATCAAACAGATCTTGGGCCAAAGAAGGCCCAGACAGAGAAACTGAAGACAGAATCATCTACTCTTGTCGATGTTCTCAAGATTCTCAAGGAGAAAGGAACCACCAAAGATCACTTAGAAAAGATGATTACTTTCGAGGAGTTTAACCGTTTGGTGAACTTGGATTCATGGTATGAGCTCGAAACCAAGTACTCTAACCTCAGAAACGCTCTTGGGGAAACAGAGTAATGAGATTCTGATAACTCTGTCCACAATGGAAGCTCTTGCAATGTGTCATCAATAATGTTAATCTTCTTTTTTCACTTGTTATGAAGTTGTTTGTATCATATTCAATAATTTGTGTTTTTGACATGTAAAACCTCAGAATTTTCTAAATTATTTGGAAAGCTTGTTCTTACTTCTCTGACAAACCAGAGAAGCAATGTCTCTAGCAACGTTTTGAGCATCTCTTGAGATACCAGCCAAGCCTTGTCTCCCAAACCCAACACTATACAAACCATTATTCCCCTTCCAGTGATCCGGGAACTCGCGTTTCGGCATCCCATTCGCGTTGAACAGATCTCCATCATCGACCTGTATCACATCAGAGCCATTAAAACAAGAACAGAGTTTATCTTCTCTGTTTCTGTGTCTGAAGTTGCAACAATACCTTAAGCCATTTTGTAACGCTGCTTTTGTAACCAGTTGCAAAGACAATGGAGTCCACATTTTTAGTGTTTCCATCGACGAATTCAACTCTCTTCCCTTCTATACGTTTAATAGACGTCACAACCAGAATCTTGCCGGACTTAATCTCTCCGACGCAGCCGACGTCAATGGTAGGTGACCGGCCGGTGATTAGCTTATTCATGAATGGGCCATTTTTGGGTCTTACAAGCCCATATCTTGAAGTATTCCCAAACCTCAGCTCCACGAGTAACAGACACAAACGGTCAACTAATTTTACCGGGAAAAACCTGAGCAACGACATTCCTATCCGTACGATCCATCTCGTCAACACGTGCACCTATATTTAATCACACGATATAATGTTTTTTATTCTGATTAATTGTTATCAAATTTTAAATTTTTTGTAATCTAAACTTACCGGGCTACGAACAACGATGGAGACCTTAGCGTTGCACTTAGACAGATCATAAGCAATCTCCATGCCGGAATTTCCACATCCGACGACCAAAACATCTTTTCCGGTGAACTTCTCGCCGTTCTTGTACTCACTTGAGTGCAAATACTCTCCTTGAAAGCTCTCTACAAGCCCCGGAATCTCTGGAATCACACCTTCGCCATTCTCTCCCGTCGCAGCAACCATATACTTCGCCGAGTAGACTTCTATTAACGCCGTGGTTTTATTCACCACCTTCACGATCCATTGACCATCTTTGAAGTAGGCAGATTTGACGTTCCGGTTGTACCTAGGGATTACGTTGAAACGTATGGCGTATTCGTCAAGGTAATTGATGAAACCTAGCTTAGAGACGAAGGTAGGAGTGTTTGAGGGGAATGGCATGTGAGGGAGTTGACAGAATTGCTTTGCGAGGTGAAGCTTGAGACGATCGTAAGACCTTCTTTTCCACAGAGAGGCACTGCAATCATCCCTTTCCACTACTATGTTTGGTATGTTTAACCGGTTAAGACAAGCTGATGTTGCTAATCCGGCTGGTCCTGCACCGATAATCAGAACCAGAATCTTGATTTCTTTCTCCATTTCTTGTTGTTGCTGTTGTCAGTGTTGTAGTGTATATTTATTAACTCAATTGCAGAGTTGTACTTTACTCGGTCAACACATATATATGACTTAAAATCTTAGGTAATTAAATTATTTAATTTTAAGTTGATTACTCTAAGTAGTGAATCATAGGATATGTTGGAAGATTTAATTTGTAATAATTTTTGCTATTTTGGCAAGTGATCTGCTATGTGGAAGTGTGGAAGTAGTCTTTATATTGAGTCAACACACGGTTGTCATTATAAGATTTCCTTAATTACTCTATTCAAAACTTCTTAATTAACTTTTCCATAATATTTATTTTCCCAAATAGCACTTTCCGTACTTAGGTACGAGTACGGAAGAAAAAATGAAGCACGACATAGATATATGGTAGGGATATGATTATTACAAGGCATAGAATTGCTTCACTGTCGTTTTGTGTTTGTGTCCTAAATTAGAAATCTGAGATTGACAAACGAAACTGTTATGTGTTAAGAAACTATATTAGGTGAATCATCTCAACAATTATTCCTTCATTTTGACCTAAAAATTCTAATCAAAAATTTAAAACTCGGATTAGAACCGCGTAAATACCGTTTATGATGTTTTCAGCATATCGTCACTTCCCAGCTCACTGCGATATTGACTTCATTATGTGGGCTTAGCAGGCCTATAATAAAGCCCATTTTAGAATTCCCAGTCGAAGAAGTAGCTGCTCAGATACCATCAATTTCAATAAGACATCAGCTTCTCCTCCACAGAAATCTAGTCATAATCTTTAATAGACCCTGCTACTTTGAAGATCTATTAAAGCAGATTTTTTGTTTACCAAGTTTTTATCAATACAAATTTCAGCACTGATCAGCTGGAATTTTATACAAATCAGAGAGTTTACATGTAACTTAAATGTTATAGCTTTAACAAAAAGGTTCTATGGTGTAGTGGTTAGCACTCTGGACTTTGAATCCAGCGACCTGGGTTCGACTCCCGGTAGGACCTTCTTTTTATTTTTATATTTAAAAGGTCCATTTCTGTCTACCATCCTCAAACAACTACAATACTGCATCCACCATTTCTAACAAAGATTATGACTTGTGGATCTTTAACAATCTTAGGAAAGGCTTTTTTGGTAAGAGGAATTCTACTTTCAATAGTAAAGCGGTAACAAAGAGAGGTCTTACTAAAAAAGTCATAAACATAGCACCAAAATATACAAAAGATCTTCAAGACAAAGAAAGAACAACTCCAAAAGCTTCTAAGGTTTCACATACACCTTCAAAAAGCTACTTCGTTTATAATACTTATCTCCATCAACATGATGCTTATATATACAACATATCTATTCCTCTGTTTCAATGAGCCGGATGAGGAACCGCATTGTGCGCACGATGAGCCTGAAGGATACAAGCACAGTGGACAGTTGTTAAGTTCAGACAACCGCTCATGACAAGCGAATGCCTTCCTGAACATGTGTGAAGCGCGGGAAAGGAATCACAAACAGCTTGAACCGCTGAAGGTGTGAGGGCAGTGCATTGGCTAATGTTGAGACTTCTCAGTCCTTCTTCATCGTATTTGCCTTTCTTTACTGATTTCCATGAACCCGGTTTGTTCTTTACCCCGCTTTGAGCTAGCGAGTACATTGCCCTGTCAGTTATGTTTCTGCAATAGTATAACCCCAGTGACCTCAAGTGGACACACCAGTCTGCTAGAGCTACCACACTCTCATCTGCAAAATAATACATGACAAAACCGAATTGGGCCTCAAGATCAATGGCTTTCTGAGTCCATCTATAACAACCTACTAGTTTTGTTTAGTACAATGCAATTATCAAATGATAGTGATCTGCAGAGGGAAAAACTAATGATCTTAGCTTCGATTAAGCTTAACTATGTCAAGTACCTGTAATTAGAACACAGCCACAGAGGTCAAGGGTCCTGAGATCTGGACAGCCATAAGCTAAATTCATTACCCCATCATCACTGATATTCTCACACCATCCCAAGTTTAGTGACTGCATCTGATTGCAGTTATTCCCAATAGCCTGCACACGTTAAGATGAAAAATTTCTATCAACTCTGCCACTATTATGACCGAAGGAACAAAAACAAGTTTAGGAGAGAACATTGAAGAAAAAAAAAGATTTACCTCCAAGGCATTGTCAGTTACAGCTTTGACACATCCGCAAAGATTCAGAACTTTAAGCTTTCTGCAGAATCTGGTCAAATACGCAATAGCAGTGTCGCTGAAGGAAGTGCAGCCACTAAGGTTGAGTTTTGTGAGGTCAGGGCAACAATGAGCAAGTGCATAAAGTGAACGATCTGTAATTTTCAAGCTTTTGCTGAGATCAAGTTCTTGTAACTCATGGCAGTGATTTGCTATGGCCTCCACTGCATCGTCCTCTAGTTGTGGTTTGTCCTGCCGCAGTATTAAAGTCTGCAGCTTTACAAACTTGGGAGCAAGAGAAAGAACCAAGCTGTTCATGTTGCTGTTGCACCTGGTAAAAAAAGAAGAAACAACATCAGAGAGTGTAGACAAAGACCAATATCTGAATACACTGGAAGTGACACTAACAAAGCTCCTAGTGTTGCAATTTCAACGATTGAAGAATCATCTTCAGATCATTCCTCTGTATTAAAGAGCTTGGTTTCACCTCCTAATGAAACCAGCTTTTACACTTTTTACCATCTAGCCAAATTATAGTACCAAAAAGTTATCTAGCTTTTACACTTTTTTACCATCTATCCAAATTAATCATCTATAAACTGCTCAAATGTTCCTCAAAACAAAAGCAACAAATAAAAGATCTGATCTTTACACAAACAGACAATAAATCAACATGACCCTAAGCCACAAGATGCAATAAAGACTCTAGAAACTCAGCTCCTACTTCAAATCCAAAACACCAACACAGAGAAGAGATGAGAGTGCCCTAAATACAAAAAGGGTTTATAGGTTAGAAAAAAATTCATACCAAGAGAGACGGAGACGAGTGAGGCCAAAAGAGATAGCATCTCTCCAGCCACAGCAAACACCAGAAGCAACAATGACATTACGATCATCAACAAGGGAAAGGATCCTCATCAGAAGCTCCACAGGGATGTCTCTCCACTCTTTGATCGAGATTCCTTCCATCTTCATCTTCTGAAAACACTGGTCCAGCTCCATGGATGCTTCTCCTCCCATCACCATCTTTGTTTAATGACTAAAATGAAGCGGTGTTCTTGATCCTATCACCACAAAGGAAAGAGAGAGTGAGAGAGATAAAAGATAGGATGGAGAGAGAGTGAAAAATCTGCCATTTACCAATTAAAGTTCCATATTTTGCTCTGGTTTCTAGATTTTTCCAGAAATGAAACAATATTCCTCCATTTGAAAAAAAAAAAACTTTTTTTTTCGAGTATTGATAAATTCAGTGACTAAAACGTAAAAGCAGAGGATTTGCTACAAAGAAAAAAGAACACTCTCAAAAGAAAAAGATCATACCTTTGAATTAGTTTCTTCGTCCCTCTTTCTGGGTTCTTGTTGTTTCCTTCGACTTAATTACTCTTATTTGTTCCTTTGAAGTATTTCACAGAGCTAGAAAAAGATAATAACAACAAGAGAGAAACAAATAATTGAAAAATAAAATGGAAGGGAAAGAGGCAGCAAGAGAAACGTGTGGGTAATGCTTTATGACACGTGTAATATAGTGACTGGCTGATACGTTTTTTTTTTTTTCTCAATGATGGATTTTATTCAATAAACTTATTTGTTACAAGGCCAAGGAAAGCCCAACACTAAATGGATTACGAAACAAAAGCAAGCCCAGATAGAGCCCAATAATGCACCGTTACAGCAGAAGATTGGATCAATAAAGATCACCCAAAGACACGTAATAATACACGTGTAAGATGAGCAAAAGAAAGATTCCCATCGTCATCCTTCGCCATCGGAGATATCGATTTTCCGGTGAAGAAACCACCGTCGTAAGTAAATCGTCGGTAGATCATCGTGATAGAAAGCATGGAAAGAAGAGAAGATCGGACTACGCCGAAGAGAACCTAAAGCTAGCCATCGTCGCGAGAACCGATCGATGCCAGACAAAGAACTATCCAACCATCGCTATATGAGCCGATAGTTGATAGGCAAGAGCCGGATAACAAACCGGACGGCCAAAAAGAAGAACAAGTCGCCCCCTCTCTCTAAGAAGTAACGTATCGAGCCGATTTAACTGGCTGATACGTTAAATGTAGTATTTTGATTTATTTAGTTAAAACTGATTTCGTAATTAAACATTCATTGAATTTATAAATTTTAATACGTAAAACTATCCAAACATTTCTTAAGTAACATATTTGGTAATGATGTTATGAAGGAATTATTCTTTGAGTAATAAAATAGAAGAAGGAGATGCGTGAATGTGTGTGTCAAATTCAAAAAGTGGACAACTGTTGTTTTTGATAAAAATCGAAACCGCAACTCATGAGGTCCACTCATTTTTATGAAGCATATATGCACCCCAAATTTTAAGTTATTGGATAACTTCCAAAGACAATCACACAATACTATTTTATGATCATATTAGGAAGATGATATTTGGATTCACTTGTGCTAAAAACAAAATAGAAAGATGTCATTTGGCTAGGTAGGCACGTTTTTTTCTTAACGATTAACGAAGCCCTTACCAATTCTCAATTCACTCATTTAATTAGCTTATTTTTATAAAAAAATAGTTAAATTTATAATTAAGGCCGCTATCTCCGGTTTGAACCGGTTAAGGGTCAGCCGGACCATGAAAATAACATTCTCAAGGCCATTTCATGATGCTTCAAATGCTGGTCTCACTACAGTCATAGTCGATTCATAGTTTGTACTGAGAAGTCGATATCTACACGATAGACAGATACATCATGATTCATATATGTGAATGAGATCTTCAACTTCACAGTTCCTCTATATTCAAACATGAAAACCAGGAGGATAATCTTGAGGTTGTTTCTCTACTAATTCCTTTAAACCAAGTTCTTGCTCTTCTAGATTCTTCGGTTTAACATCATATACATCGTTAAACAACTCTGTCAATGGTTGTTTCTCCCACTTCTCCGCCGCCTGAATCGCTTGCAGAAGCTACAAACACACAACCGACTAAAAGGGTTAAAATGACTTCAACCTTAACATTAAGAATGTAGCGGTTTTCGGAATCTTTACCTGTTTTCTTGCGTTAGATCTTAGCTTGGATTCATCTTCCTCACTCCACCATCCGTTATCCTCGACCCATTTCCTGAATCTATTCACAGGGTTTCTCGACATTTTCCAGTACTGGATTTCATCGGCCGCCCTGTATTTAGTTGAATCATCTGATGTAGAATGATGTCCTACTCTATATGTCATCGCCTGCCAAAAAAAAAGTAACAACAATCTCATTTCACCAAAGTCAAAAGTTGTAAACTTTGAGATAAATCTCTAAATTGATTTTTTACCTCAATGAGAACAGGTCTTTGTTCTGTTACAGCCATTTCTCGAGCTGAGCGTACCGCACTGTAAACCGCGAGTGCATCATTACCGTCCACACGAATGCTTCGGATCCCGTAAGCTTGACCTTTCACAACAATTCCATCGCCTGTAATCAAACCACATAAGGTCACATTAAAACAGAGGAATTGTTATTGGTCTCTTTTGTAATTGAAAAACAGAGAAGTTAGTTTCTTACTTCTAAACTGTTCTGAGATATGAGTACTAATCGCCCAACCGTTGTTCCGACAGATAAACACAACCGGAGCTTCCATTACCGCCGCGAAGTTCAATCCGGCGTGGAAATCTCCCTACTCCCCAAAACCAGACCACCAAAACTATATGAATTTTCAATTCTTGAAATGCTGATTCTTATTCAAGAAACGAGAATTGAAGATTACTAAACCTCGCTTGTGCCACCATCTCCGATGAATGTAACTGCACAAGCATTCTTCTTGTCCATTTTCAGAGAATAACCAACTCCAGCAGCTTGAGGAAGTTGCGTGCTGAAGAATCAACATCACAAAAAACATTATCAGCAAAAACACGAAAACAAAAGAACAATCAAATGACTAATAATATTCAGAGATTCTTACGCGATTGGAGAGGAGATAGTGAAGTAATTGAGACGATTGGAACCGTAATGAATCGGCATTTGTCTGCCTTTGCCATAATCAGCTTTATTCCCAAAACACTGATTAGCAAACTCCTCCAACGTGAAGCCACGCCATAGAAGAACTCCAGGCTCTCGGTACTGCACCAAACATTGAACTTCCCGGTTAAAACAAAACCGAAACAAATGTGATTAGAGCTTTAAACGCACAACTGCTTACTTGAGGTAAAACGACATCGTCAGGACTGAGAGCAGCTGCAGAAGCGATGTTAATGGCTTCTTCTCCGACAGACGTAAGATAAAACGAGATTCTTCCTTGACGTTGAGCTTCGTAGAAGATGTGATCCATTACTTGTAGCGTCGCCATTTGTTCGTACATTCTAACAGCGAGTTTCTCACTCACCTTTTCAGTCAGAAATTATATCGGTTAGTGCTAAACCGAACTAATACCAATCTAATTTACATTCTCGAAATTGCTGTACCGGAATAAAATCGCTATCGGGGATAATTCGTCCGTCTTCGTTAAGAATCCGGTAACACGGAATTCTCCGAGAAGATGATTCTGGTATGAATTTCATTTCAGATGTGTAACCGACTTTGCCTCCCGGAAAATCCAATTCCTGGAGAATTTCAAATACGGTTTAATGTGTAAAGTATAAAAAACTATTGGGGCATATGTGAGAAAATTCAGTAAGAACAAGGATCATAGTGAAAGTTACTATAGACTGCTGTGACTAAATGAATGAGACGTACACGTACTCAAATCAACCAAGAAAAGTGGGACCCATACAGCACTTGATTTAGTATTATTCATACGTGTAACTTGTGGTCCCCACTTTTACTTCTCAATTCTAATGCGACGTGGTCCCTACCTTTACCATGACTTGGGCGGATGTGAACTGTTGTTGTTGTTGTTGTTGTTATGTAATGGAGTAATGTACTATGCGATCTCATACCGGATCAAAACCGACAACCAAGTAAATTTGTAAAAATAATTTTGTTTTTAAAGAATTTTAAAAATCTAGAAGATATTTTTTTTATCCTAAGGCAACTAGTTTTACCTAAATTTGGTTTTAGTTTCATTTTTATATCTTATAAACCAAGAAAATGATGAATTTACACCCAAAAAAAAAATGATGAATTTACACCAAAAAAATAAATAAAGGAAAATGATAAACCGGATTGAAAGCCTTTAAACCGAAGCATCTGCTTTCAGAAGAACTAATTAATTAGTATTTCTTTCTTTATTTACAATTGAAGACTCGTGATTCACGCTAATCTGTATGAACTAATTCCCAATTTAAAATAACAACTATAACACCACGTGATAAAGTAGGATTATCCAAAAACCAAATAAAAATACCTGACCATCGTCTTCATCAATCTGCTGAACCAAATGATCAGCCTGTGTCTCCACGGCCGTAGACTCATGACGGAGGCTAGCGACTGGACTCAAAAACGACGTGGTAGATAACTGAGAAGTTGTTGTAAAGAAGATCGGACGAGGAGAGTAATCGCATTTGTTGAGAATCGCCGACAAATTCAGATTATGTCTCAAGCTAGAAACAAGGTTTTTGGATCTAGCAAACCAGATCGCCATGTCTGCCAAAAATAAGGACGAGAAAAGAAGAGGAGAAGAAAATGGAGAAGAGTAGACGAAGAAGAAGAGAGAAGTTGTCGTTTTTAACGATGTTTAAGGGCAAAGGATTAGAAGGACGACAAGTGCATGTATTTCCTTGTCGGACTTGACATGTCATCCGTATCCATCGCCAACTTCTTTTTTTTTCTTTTTCTTAAAAGGATTATTTATTTATCTTCCTCGCTTTTGGGATTTTTAGTTTTTACACTAATTATAGTGGACAAAATACTATTGAAAGAAAAAGAAGAAAAGAAGAAAAGAAATTAAAATGAAATATTGACAGAAGTTATAACACCAACACCTAGCAAATCATTTAAAGATTTTTCAACAACCAAACCAAACTGTACTTGTGCTTTTTATTGATTTTTGATCTTTATCCAACGATACGATAGCAAATTTGTAAAGTCACCTACTTGCGTGTCATTTATATCTTTCTTTGAATTTGCCATGACGTCCGTGAAAAAAAAAAGCAGAGAAAACAAATAGATTTTTATTGATACCACGTGAAAACATTTTTCCATTTTTAGATTAGTTGAAAGTTACACAACAATCACCAGAAAGGATTTTATATATTTTTAGATGGTGGAATTGTTATTTAAAGAGACTCATTGGTATGTAACATCTAACCTAACAGTAAAGCTTTGTTGGACCTAAACTTGAATTTATGGCGTGGACTCACTAATATCATCACTGGTAGGGAGTTATTAGTAAGAGACCTAACTTACCTTTTCCTATAGACATTTGGTTACATTTATGTGTTTCGTATCTAAAAATGTGGGAACAGAGTTACGAACTGACTTCAGATTGTCGTTGATTTTGTGAATGAATGCATCTCTTAACTGGTTTGTGTGATATGCTCTCCTTTGAGCAAATTCCACATTATTTAATGAACATGTCGCTAGTCACTTCACAATTGTTCATTTTGTTGAACAAACCAATTGCCTCAAATTCATGCTCACAGCTGATTTGTAGCATAAATCCTGGTACCATCAAGTTCCATGCCATTACATCTAATTGTACCATTGTGTCAAACACTTTTTCAATTTAACTCAAAGTTCAACACTTCATCTGAGTCGAAACCGATGATATTCATCATAGCAAACTAAAATAATTCGGCAATACTTTTTCGAATTGAATAACTTAGAATTGAAATCGCATAATTTCATAGCTAAAATCACTCGGAAAATAATAATCAAAGTGTTCAAGTTAACCTGAAAATGTTTTATCACCGATTTAAGTAGGAAATAGTGTTTGAAATTTAGGATTCGATATCTTATTAAAATGGTTAAATGTGAATATTGGATTATAAGAATTTTAAGATAATGATAACAATATAAGGAAGCCTAGACAAGTCTCCATCCATATTTTGTTATTTGTGTTCGCCAGATTCCATGGTTCCAAGTCCAACTGCAACGGCTGGAGTCCTCCCACATATTCCAAGACATTTGAGACACTCTGCAACAATGGAAGTGGGTAGACAGTGCTTATGGCACAACAATTGGCACTCTTTGTCCGACTTTGCATCACCTCCTATCGTAATTAACGCCATTAGTAGCATCGTGATCCACACCACACTCATGATCTTCATCCTCATTTTGTTTTCTAGATCTCTTCTTAATTTTATTTTCTTACAAAAGTAAATTCTATAGGTTATATTATGATTGATTTAGATTTAAGATATACCTATATGTATACTGCTCATCCATTTAAAAGCATACTATAAAAATAGAAAATAGTTGACACATGGAGTTCTACCATTTATTGGCCATATATAGTTATACTTTGTCAAAGATTTTTTTTCATATTTAAAATTAATTAAATTATTGGTATTCAGACAAATTAAAAATGGTGATTTACTGAAACTTATAGTACTAATTATAAAAAGTTCATCAATATCTAAAATTGTGTAATGCTAGATTTTCTGTTATATTTTTATTTATATGATATGATTTTTCCTATTATAGATTTACATGTCCAAATTTACCACACAGAAAAGAAAAAGAAAAAAAAAAATCATGAAAGTGGTATGAGTTGTGGAATTTTTCTTGCAAACTCATATATTTATCCCACATCGGAACTTTGTAGTTTTTAGTTTGTGTATATATACACAAAGATGAGAGCAATTAGTTGTGTTCGTAGAAAGGAGAGATGGTTGGCATCTCCTCTGACAGAGACGGGATTGACCTTCGGGTCCTTTGAACACATCCGGTTAAGGCTCTCCACTTTCGGGTGGATCTTACCCAATTTTTTTGGGCCTTTTTCAGTCTTTCTAAGATTTTTTTATTGGGCCTCTCTGTACTCAATTTCATGCTAATTGTAATTTTATTTGGAACAACATCCCAAAGTCAATTCTCTATTTCTTTCATAACTATAGACGGCCATAAACGAGGAGCACGTTAAATGATTACTATATAAGATTCCCTTGAAATCTGCAACGGAACACACACAATAAAGTAATGAAACACGCAGTTTATCTTGTCATCTAGTAGTACTAAACACGCTTAATCGTTGATTATTCTTTTCTCAAAAATCAATAGACTAATTTACATCACAGAAGCCAACGCTCCTAAAAAGACAGAAATATCACCATTTGTACAACTATTTATTGTCAGTCCAATTGTAAGGATCTACTATTATCGTGAAACAAATAAATTCTTTTAACGTGTTTAGTTTTCTAACCTGTTCAAGTGTGAGCATGCACGAACATCAATTGATGACAATTGACGAGTACTAATCAACGTAATCAATTACTACTCCTCTAGAAGATTTTATGTGCCAAAACAGAAAAGAAAAGGATGACTTTTTAGGGAAAGATGATCTAGAAGCACTTGACTTTTAAGAACTCTAATCCCTTAAGTAACAACACTTCCTCAAATCCGGTACGAATACGATTTGCAAATTAAATTAAACCCCAAATTGGACAGCAACAACAACGTCCTCATATTAAATAGGGACTACTTAACCACTCTGAGAACAACGTGACGTTTAAATTAAAGCCCAATAAAGATTTTTAGTATATAAAAAAAAAACTTTATTTCTCTTAGAAATACAAAAAACCTTATAAATTCCAAGTATATGCTATAGAACAGGTCAAGCAAGTTTTTCTTGTTAAAAACTTGTTTCTGAACAAAGCTTGAGTTTTTTTAAAAATCCAGTCTTGCAAAATCATCACGATGTTAGATCCTTCAGCTAAATCCTTCAATACCCATTTGTGTTTTCCAAGTATTCCGAATGATGATCACTCAGATTCCGGCGTCTGTTCACCTACTTTGTGGAGAACCAGTCCGCCGAAGAGTCCTCCTTTTCACCGGCCGGAAGATTACTGGAGTCTTTCACCGGATTCTAAAGCACAGGCTATAGCTCGTGGTCAACGGGAGCTTATGGAAATGGTTAGTAAGATGCCTGAGTCGTGTTACGAGCTTTCATTGAAGGATCTTGTTGAAGTGAAGGTGAATCAAGAGAATGAACGGAAGGTGTTCGATGAATTGCCTAAGAGAGCAAATAGGCCGAGTAAAGTTGTGAGGAAGACGAAGAGTGATAAACGGATTGATCCGAAAAGGAGTGGAGGAGGAAATAATAGTGGGTTTCTTCTCAAAATGATGTTTCCGGTTAGTTTAGGAACTAAGAAAGATATGACTAAGAAGAAGAAGAAAAAGGAGGAGGCTTGTAAGGTTTCACCGAGACCTTCGATCTCTGAGGAGACTGTGAAAGCAGAGGATAAAGAATGGTGGAATAGAATGGCTGAATCAAGCACAAAGAGGAGTGGTAGTAGCAGTAGCAACAACAGTAATAGGAGCCGAAGTAGCTTAAGGTATGTTTTTAAACTGAAGAATCAAAGTTATCATCTTTCATATCTTACTTGCGCAATACTACTTGGATTTGCTTTGCTAATCAGATTTGTTCTAATTCATTGGATTTACTTTTTGTTAAAGTCTTGATGATCATCTTCCTCTAGAGTTATATACTTCGTGTAAAAGAAAGTTTTTTGTTTGCCAAGAAAGAAAAAGCCTACTTTTGAACTGTTTTTTTCATCACGTGATTCCTTTACAATCTTGTTGGTTGTATGAAAATGTTGTTGTCAAGTTTAAGACCTTTTGACAAAGATTGTGAATGGTGTGATTGAAGAATGAAGCTCTTTATCTTCCCTGTTAATAATGAAACTCTTTAGATTATAATTCTAAGTGAAGTTAAGATTCAGGACTATCTATCTAAATGATTCCTACTCGCATTAAGCAAATCTCATTGCCATTTTTATTGAAACTCTTGGGGTTTGATGTTTGAATCTGTCTGATGTATATTGCAGGGATGAAAAAAGTAGCTGCTTCTCTTTTCTTACATTCAAGAGACTAATTCCTCAATATCTGAAACAAAGCTTTCTTGGCTTAAGAAGCAGAGCTTGATAACCGCAACACTCGAGTCTGCGTTTGCACTCTAATCTTCTGAGGAACAGCTCAGAGAACAGACACGAAGATGATCACTTTTCCGATAAATTTTTGCTTCTGCAATAGCTTATGTATCTTTTATGGATACGGTTTTAAATTATGTAAATAGAGAGATTAATGTGCAGTCTCTCAACTCTTGGATTTTGAATTCTAATGTACAGTGGTGTTTAGGAATCTACTTGATTATTTTTACCTTTAGTTATTAAAAGCCTAAAACCAATAATAATAATCTTTGCCTTAAAAGGAGTGTCATTTTTTTGTTCAAAGAGAAAGCTGATGTGAAAAATTGGTACCAGAATGGTCCCATTGTGGACTTATGAGACAGAATATTTGTTTGGAGTTGTTGTTCTGTCCAAACGCGCGTTTTCGTTTCCTGCGTTTGGAAAACGCGTTTATCCGCGGTTCGCGATATAAAAAAAAAGTCAACAATGAAAGCGATTTGGGTTTAAAATTAGGAAATTTCTTGGTACACAGTTGCTATTCGCTAATGATCATTACTTACGACCTAAACTTTATTATATTAATTTCACTAATGATAACGAAAAGAATAGTTAAGATTCTTTTTTATTTCCGTCACCGACTGTTACTTTAGCATATAGTGAGACAAAAGCCAAAACACAAAGAAGTCGCAGTTGATTTATGGACGGCTAAGGCTGCTGATGACCTGACACAAAACTCCGATCGTGTTCGAATACAAGTTTAGATTTTTCCGACAACCCTTTTAATTATTTCAATATTCTCGATCTTGATACGCATAAATCTTCGCTTCGTCTATCATCTGTTCTCAAGTTTAGAGTCTATAGACAGGTAAAGGTCTTTACTTTTGTTTTGGTTCAATTATGATCTCTGTTTATGTTGTGTTCTCTATCTTCATTGTTTTCCAGATGTATACACAATATAGGTTTAATTTGAAACTCTTGCCAATACTTTGATTCATACTTTCTTAATTGAGTTGTGTCCTTCAATTACAGTTTATTGGATTTGGTAATTTGCTGGCTTAATCTGTCCTGTGTATCCATTGAATTGCCTTCTTTTAAGGGTTTGTTTTATAATTGAATGCTTCTGGCGTCGTGATCTGGTCTAATTTACAAGCTGGTTTGTGAATTCTGAGAGACCATTGTTTGTTTTCAGAGTCTGATCACAGTTATATTGATAAAGTGTTTGATCTTTACCTTGCTTGTTATATCTGGAATTAAGAGGTTATATTAATGGTGTTTGAACCTGTGTTTATACTTATAGGAAAATTGGAGCTTTAGGGTTTGATTGAAAAAGCGATCTTGCAATGGCGAATAATGCGGCTGCTTGTGCTGAGAGGGCTACGAATGATATGCTGATTGGTCCAGATTGGGCTATCAACATTGAACTGTGTGACATTATCAACATGGAACCAAGGTAAAGTCGTTTGAATGACGATAGAGATCTTCAGCACCACAGTTGAATTAATTGATATCTTATTGAGTTTAGAGGATGCTTAAAGTTTTGACCTTGTTTTGTTTCTGTAGTCAAGCAAAAGAAGCAGTGAAGGTGCTCAAGAAACGGTTAGGAAGTAAAAATTCTAAAGTCCAGATTCTTGCTCTTTATGTGAGTGTTTATCTTTTTTACTCATTGTTGGATACAATGCTTTGGATTGTACTGATCTTCTCATTCGTGAATACTCGGGGGGGTTGGTTCAGGCTTTGGAAACTCTGAGCAAGAATTGTGGCGAGAGTGTGTACCAGCTCATTGTTGACCGTGATATTTTACCTGATATGGTTAAAATAGTGAAGAAAAAGGTTTTTATTTACCATCTCTCACTTGCTTGTTATATTTCAATTCTGTTATCAAATCTTCTTAACCTGGAAATTTACCAACTAATTTATGCAGCCTGACCTGACTGTGAGGGAGAAGATACTTAGTTTATTAGATACATGGCAAGAAGCTTTTGGTGGAAGCAGCGGAAGATTCCCTCAGTATTACAATGCTTATAATGAACTCAGGGTATAGTACTCGAGCCTTTTATGTATATATTAATAGTATGACTCCAAGTTTTGATAATCGTTTTGCCTTTAAAACACTTCAGTCTGCTGGAATTGAATTCCCACCTCGAACCGAGAGCAGTGTACCGTTCTTTACTCCGCCTCAGACTCAGCCTATCGTTGCTCAGGCCGTTGCATCAGATGAAGATGCTGCTATTCAGGCCTCTTTGCAAAGTGATGATGCTTCTGCACTCAGGTATACTCTTCTTGTAGAGTTTTCTATTCAAAGTTCTCTTTCTGTCCAATTATTTTGTATTCCATGTCTTAAACATGTTATATAGACTTTAGTATCTTCACTTTTTCAGCATGGAAGAGATTCAAAGCGCTCAGGGATCAGTTGATGTTTTGACAGACATGCTTGGGGCTCTTGATCCAAGTCATCCAGAGGTAGATTTAATGGCTCTGTTGTTTGATCTGATTTGTAAAACTCACTGTTCTAAATGCTGTGACAGGGTTTAAAGGAAGAACTTATAGTTGACTTGGTCGAGCAATGTCGTACTTATCAAAGACGTGTAATGACTCTGGTGAATACTACTTCGTAAGGATTCCTTTGTTTTCTCCTTCATCCTCCTGTTGTTTCCTCCATTTAATAGATTCTGTTAATAGTGAGAGAGATTCTCCTTCCTTTTTCCAGAGATGAGGAACTTATGTGTCAAGGGTTGGCACTGAATGACAATCTGCAGCGCGTTCTTCAGCACCATGATGATAAGGCAAAGGGATCCTCTGTTCCTGCAACAGCTCCCACTCCAATACCGCTTGTTAGCATCAATCATACTGATGATGATGATGAGTCAGATGATGATTTTTCTCAGCTAGCTCATAGGTAATGCCCATCCCTTACTCATTTCAGTTGAATCCCAAGACTTGGATTGCTAGAATTCAATGAACTCATCTCTGCAGGTCGAAAAGAGAAAGTGCACGAGGGACTGGACAAGGGAATTTCAACCCTATTCTTCCTCCTCCACCATCTACAATGAGGCCAGTACATGTTGATTCTGGTGCTATGGACTTCCTCAGTGGTGATGTCTACAAACCTCAAGAAACCTTCGAGAGTGTAAAGCCTCCGAGTACATCCCAATCATCAAACCATGACTATTCCGCTCCTATTTTCGATGAACCAGTTCCCCAGAGCAAATCCCCTGAGCAAGCTTTATTCACCAAACCAGTTTATGACCAAACTGAACAATTGCCTCCTGCTCCATGGGATACTCAGGAACCCAGGAAGTATCCACCCTCAATGTCTGCTAGAACCAACAAGAGACCAGAATACTTCCAGCAAAGTGTTCCCCAACACTCAAGCAGTGGCTCTGAATCATCATACGATGATCTTGTGGGACAATCCCGGAATCTCTCTCTGAATCCAACAGCCTCTGCTGCTGCTGTCACACCACCAAAGAAAGATGATAAACCAGAGGATATCCTTTTCAAAGACCTGATGGAGTTTGCAAAAACCAGGACATCATCATCTTCTTCCTCCAAACCCAACAATCAGAACAACAAACCGTTTTGAGACAGAGCTGCCAGTTGTTGCTTCCGTACTATTCTTTTTTCCTTCACGTGTGTACTTGTTTCCTTTGATTGAACATGGATGATAAATACCGTGTTTCTTTTTTATCAAATAAAATAGTGAATATTTAGAGATCTGTTATTTGATAGAAATGTCAAAATTTTATTTTAGGTAAATTTTATTTGATACAAGTAAAATTCTCTGTTTTTGACAACTCATGAAAGCAGAATACAAAGATTCTGAAGTTTCTCTGTATAATCTAAATATTGGTAGAAAGTAACAAAAAAAGAAAAAAGAGTTTCTCTACCAACAAGTTCTTTGATAAGTATTGGTTCCTCTAAGCAAGTCTAGTATAGATCTTACAGAGATCGGTCCCATGGGAGAGAGCCAGGAAAAGGAGCTGAACCACAATACTTGAACAATCCTCCAATTTCAGGGCAACCATTAGGATAAGGTAGAGTCCTGTGGAAAGGGTCACGCTTCAGCTTCTTACGCCAAAGCGAACCAACACATCCGTATGGATCATCTTGAAACTGAGATCTAACCATAGCCTCGCCTTTTAGAGCGCCTTCTTTGGATGATAGAGAAGCTGGGGTTCCTAAGTAAAAGAATCTTGATTCCGGAAATCCCATTGCTGAACGATGCAAATGCGCAAATCTCTCCTCCTTAAAATCATAACTCACTACCTGATCCAAGCATGAAGGATACATCAATATCAGAACAATGACAAACATTTCGCTTACTAAAGAACGCGAAATTTGGAAGCAAAAGGCTTTACTGTTATGTTTTGTGGGTAGGACCCTGTAAGCTCTCTGAATCGACAAACGCTAAAGAGAAGATTCTCAAAGCTGTCTCTAGCATGCTCTTCCGTCAATGCCCTCGACCTCACCTCATCCTTACCTGTCCATTAACACAACCAAAACAATCAAACCACATTTTTACCTTCAAGTTAATAAAGAGCAGAAACTAAACACAGCAGTTAAAACCAATAAGACTCACCAAACCATCCTTTAGACTCAGCAACAGCCCAATAACTCTGAGCTTCACTACGAGGTCCTGCATCTTTACGAGTCTCTCCACCACTGAATAGAAGCAAAGACTCATCATCTTTCCCTGCAGCTTCAACGCCTTCTTGTATATGACTCAAGAACGTTGCAGCTTGACCTGGATTCTTCTGATAAGACTCCAAGAACCACGAATCCTCCTTATCAACTTTACCACAATCACTACTCGTATAAACAGAATGTCCAGCTACCATCACAAGGTTTTTCAGATTGGCAAATGGATAACCATCGTTATCCAAATCATTCTTCTTATAATAACTAACCGTTGATCTAAAATGGTTCTCGTAAATCGACGATAAAAGTATCAGAACTGTGATACCAAACGAGAGGCAAACGATGAAAACGAGAATCGGATGCAATTTGAACATGTGGTGAAGACGATTCCCGAGAGATTTGATCATTTTCGAAAACGAATTCTTAGGCTTTCTAGATTTTCTGATAGTTCCTGATTCTAAATCGAAATCACCACTTCTTGAGTACGCATGAAATGCCTTACTCGATCCAAATGAATAACTTTTCATGATACAATCAAATCCAAAGCTCGAGACCAACAATGTGGCGGATTAAGCATAGCCAGGTCAGATTTAGGGAGACTAACTCGTGGGATCATCAAAATCTCGAAATTTAAGAGAAAGATGGAGACTTTGATCAAACCCAGATCATTAACTTTGAAGATAAATCTAGAAAACCATTAAAAAGGAAATTCGAACATAACCCAGGTGAAAAAATCCAGAATTGAGACAGAGAATGTAACGGAAAACTAAAAACTCACGGGGATTTATTTTCAGTTTCCGGTGAATTATAGGGAACCAGAGGCAGAGTTTTGCTTCAAATCCGTTGACCGAAAGTGTGAGAATATTTTGTCGAACAAAATCGAAGGTTTTTTTTTTTGACAATTAACGATTTGAACAGTGGTAATAAGAAACTTCGGAGAGATGTTTTCGACGTGAGCGAGGAAGAGAATTGGAGGAGATTGTTAAAAGATCATGAACGTTTTAAGCCCAGATCCACATCTTGGTCCACATGTAATGTTAATGGGTTAATCATCAGTTTCGTTAGTAGCGTTTATCTCCTTTTTACGGATTTGTAGTTTTGAATTGAATTGAGTTATTTTTTTCTTTTGCGATCCAGATTTTTAGTTTAAAGAGAATTGAGCTTATTAATATACATATGTGATATGTCACCAAAGAAATACTAGAACATGCATTTGTAAGCATAACAAAGATTAACTTTCCTTGATTTAATTTAGAGAAATTTGCTAAAATAACCAACAAAAATTTAATAATTAACAAACTAACCAAAGAAAAAAAGCACAACAATATTCTCTGTATAAATTATAATATATACAATTTTACCCTCATGCCACATCATCATCTTTTCTTCTGTGTTTTCTCCCTTTCTCTTCGTCACTTAATCTAAAACTGGAAAAAAAAAACCACAAATTCCTGTCTTCCTCTTTCTTCTCTTTATGACCTCTGCAACTTTAGTCACCATTATATTCTTAACTATTTCAGAAAATCAACCGTTACTCTCAACGGTGACGCCTTCAATCCTTGCCGTCACAACATGGGTTCGCCGTAACGTAGATAAAAAATTCTTAAAGCAATTTGATTTCTTAAGTTTGTGAAATTGCAAATATGCATCTGATTGGTGGGTATTAAACCGAGAGATTAAATCAAATAATTTTAACTAATTGAGTTTACAAAAATTTCACATGCGGATCTAATTTTTCTAATTCACCAAAAATTCCAAAAGAAAGTTGGATTCCACAAATAGAATAGAAACAAGATTTGACCAAAATAATATAACTGGGATTGATGGGAGAATAGTAAACATAGAAGAGAAGGGTATAAGGCAATTGATAAGTTTTTCATAGTAAGAATGTTTAATGTTTTGTTCTACATATTCCATTTCATTTTACTATATACTATTCCATATGTGTTCTATTTACATTAAAAATTGTACTTTTAACCAAAAAATTGTATTTTTATATGTTTATGTCTGTTTTGAAAAATTTAAATCATAATACATGAAAAAAAAATTCTAGTTTTTTGTTACAGAAGAATCATAAACTTGAATCAATTTTTTAAAACAAAAAATTTGAGTGAAAATTGAAAAAGGGTAAAAAAAAAGAAAAGAGGAGAGCTTCTCTCTCCTGCCACCTCAGCCTTGAACCACCAATGATGGAGCTCTTCCTTCCACCTCAGCTGAATTTCTCCCTTCTTCGGCAACACTAGTTTAGTCTTTTCCTTCCTTCTTTATGTTACTTTCTTAATTTTTTCAAACATAATGCTATATTCTTAATTAAACATTGGATTTTGGTTATACAGCTAATTCACCCTTTAATTTAACCCACACATACACATTCTAGGATTTAGACCTAAGCTCTAAAACCGTAACAATAATAAATTAATACAAATCATTAGATTACACGTTGCAATATTAAATCCATCATACTAATTAATTAACTTGTATAGACTATAACAGATTCTTTTCATTATCATATACTATACTATTTGTTAAGTTTTGTCAATTCATTCATTTTATTAAAGATATATGAAGAGCCTGTAATGTGACACGTTCTCACCTCTTATTTGTCCTTTTTTGTTACTTGACGGCATTTAACCTAATAATATCAGTCATTTAGCCGGTTGTTTTAATTTTTTTTTGATAAAATCCGGTGTTATTATGTTAGTCGATTTGCATTGGCATCATGTCACATGTTTTTAATATTGCAATAGACTCCACACTAGCTACGAGATATATGAGAGTCATTTAAAATTTGAGTAGAGTACTTTAAAAGCTTAAGACATGTATACGTGCATATACAGAAGAAATTACATCCATAAATCCATTTTACAGACGTACGTAAACGTATATACAAAAAAAAGGGAGAAATCATTTTAGTTCGGATGATTAAATAAATAAATCTTACTACAATGATATACATATATAGATATATACATTTTCTTAAACTAAAATTATCATTTGAGTGAAAATCCACTAAATAATTAAATTATTTTTCAATCCATCACCTACATCGATCTTAATCTGCTCAGCCCGTATTGCTCCTGAAAGAGAGAATAATGGAGCACCATGCATGCTAATTAATCAATATGTATATACATCAAAAAAAAAAAAATTGAAATCATATGAAGGACTTTAACTGTCTAATATATAAACCAACATAAATTATGTGTTGATGGTAATTACCAGAACAAAGTAGATTTCTTTGAGAATAGGTGTCAACAATGAGCTTAAGGTATCGATGTCTTCTCTTAAGGTATCATAACTCTCGTCTCTTGCACCGATCGCGTCCATGAACGTCTTGTTGTCAGGCACTAGCTTCAGACACACCTTCATATTACATATTCCACACGATATTACATGTATGTCCACAAGAAAATTTAATTTATATGTTTATAACATTAACAAATGATGGGATGATGCGATAAGAAAATGATGTTAGTAAGTATGATATAAAGCTAGAAGGAGAATGATCATGTTGTGTACTTTGAAAGCAGCAGAGGCGATCCATCCATGATGCGGTTTTAAAGTCGTCATGTAGCATTCCTCTACAAGTTCTTCCATTTTCGACGACATCTCTTTCGACAACAATCGTAGTAAACCAGAAGTAAAATCCATTGTCCTATGTGATGTATAGAATATAGTAAGAAAGAGAGTCATACACTTAATTAAGTATAGTGCTAATAGAGAGAATGTGCATGCGTGAAGGGCAAACTAATTATGAAAAGTGCAATTTATGAGTTAGACTACAATATCCTAATGTGCATGCATATCAATTGTTATGAGAATTCTATAATTATTAATTAGTTGATAAAAGCATACAGTGAATATTGTCGATGAAAAAAAAGTAATCAAGGTAAATATACCTAGTGAGCCAAAAAAGAGCTCTACTGCAACTAGCAACCATCTTGGATGTTCCTTCCTCCTTTTCTTTCTTCAGAATCTCAACCAAATTGGAGTAAACACAAGAATCTGTTTCACAAACTTTCTCTAATCTCTACACCACCCAAATCAGTAAATAACAAAAACATAAGTAAATGACAATTCAAGCACCCAAAAAAAGAGGGAAACAAGATAGCCATTTTATAGAAAGTCATTTCAAAATAGACTAAAGTCCTCATGAAAGCAACCAAATAAGGAATTATATAAGGCTGACATTGAATTATTTGAAGAGATCTTTACCCAAACCAAAAGCACTGAGAAGATATCTATTGCGCGTTCTTATCAACATAAAAGTTTTATCAGATTTTTTTTTTATAGACTTATTTATCATTATTATTTAAGGCCGACCTTACATACATACATGCATACGTACACATGATGTTGATGAGTTTCAATCAATAAAGAGGACAAATCAAAATAAAATAAAGGGTCTTGTCTTGTCTTTATATGCATGAAGTTACATTATCTTTAGTTACCTGAATATTTTGATCAATGTCTTGTCTAAGAACAGCCATTGTCGGTCCTATCTTATCTGCAAACACCAAATTAAAACACAAACAGCTCAGGACAATCATTGAGTTGTGCTTATTATGAACTTCAGAGAAGATCCAGATTCCTTAGGAAAACAAAATCAATGAAGATAATATAATTTTCCAAGAAAAATAGAAATGAAGATACCAAGAACTTGGATGATTAAGTTGCAGAAAGAGAGAAGAGGCCTCAAGGGTATATGTGTAGCTTCAGTGTTATCTGCAGGTTTAGTTACGATGAAAAGAGAGAGCTCTTCAATGGCGGTTTGAAGCTCTGTCTTCTTCTTCTCCATCTCGTATCTCTTTCTCTTCATGATTTCTTCTCTATCTCTATGTTTCTTCTACTTTATCCCTCTTATTACAAAGACCAGCGTTGTATATATATATTAGTGTAAATCGCTTTGACTTTAAATCATCAAGTATTTGCCCCAAAAAAAAGAAAGACTTTAAATCATCAAGTTGGTGTTATCTTTTGTATTATAAAGAGAAGAATTAAATATAAGAAAATAAAAGACATTCAACTTTAATACGTTAAAATTGTTCCTCGTTATTATATGATTGAAAGTAATTATAATATTGTTTTGGGTTAGAAGCGGAGACAAGTAAACTTCAACAGCAAATTAAGACGGTCCATATATATAACTCATATAGATGTATGCATATATTCATATAATATATGTGTATGGCATGAAAATAGTAATCGACTAATCGCTTAGATTCCTTAGATTATGATGATGGTGACCCACTTTTTGACCTCTATTTTTTGTTTTATGGTTCTTATCGATCCAAAGATTAAATAGAATAGAATGGTTGATATTAACGAATAAACTAACTGTTGAAAACACTAATAATATTTGATTAGTGGGCTTAGGGTTCCGTTTAGATGTGCTGGTTGGTCATAAGGCATGCAAGGATGAAATAAAAGGAATCTTCTCTCACTTTCTTAATTATTTGGATTGTCAGCTCTTCGTTCATGTATCCAATCATTTGCACCACTATGCATACTTATATTAGTGTATATATATATTTTTATCAAATCGAAATGTGGTTTTGAGATATTAAGTATAGTTCATGTACAACTTTAATTTGCTTCAAATTTACCTTACCCAATACGACAATTTCCTTTGTATCAAACATTACTTATCATACTGTACTTTAAATTAAAGATAATTTAAGTATCATTAGTATAAGAACATACAATGCAAAGCTCTCAAACTAATTACATTTCAACCATCACAAATCCACAATAAAGAAAAAAGCTCTCAAACGATTCAAACCTAACAAGGTTTTGTAAAATTATTAAAACAAAAAAGGTTTTGTTATATACTACCAAATAACTTCGTTTTTTTCGATTTTAAATAATTTTCGACAATTTTTTTTGTTTTTTTTCAAAAGTAAATATATTCGCATGTTGGTAATAAGAACTTATCCACATGATACGATAGTAATATATAAGAAAATTTAATCCAATCCTATCTCGACTCTTGACGTACCACCGTATCATGTGGTTGATTACTCGAGTTAAACCGTCGATGGACAAAAATTAAACACGTACATGTGAATTGTGATTATTATATGATGGTTTATGATGATTTTGCTTTTCTTATTTCTTGTCCTTTTTTTTTGCCACTAACATTATGATACTTTTTAATCGTATAGAAGTAAAATTTTATTTGTACAAGACTATAACTTGAATTTACAGTAGCATATGTATAAGGTCTTCCTGAGTCCCGATCATGACCCTAATGTAATAGACAACGAAAAAGAGAGAATGTCCTTTAATTATAAATTTATAACTTATAATAAGGTGGTTTATTATTTGAAAATTAAGTCCATATACACAATTTAGGACTCCATTATATGTACTGCTATCTTTCAAGATAATTAATGATTGATTTTTCTGTATAGAACATATGGTATTAATTAGTAGAGTCGTACTAATAATATTCTTATTATTATTATCATATATTGATAAATATTCTTATAATTCAAACAAGAAAACTTTATACAGATTAATTTATCTTAGCTACAACGAGTTCCAAATATGTGGGTGGAAGTTTAATTATAAAAAGTTTAGTAGTTCTACAGTTTACTAATAATGTTTTCTAAATTTTAATTTGTTGTTATGGTGATTTATACATCTAGTTATGTACAAGTAAATCGCTTATATATCGCAAGGTTTGAAAGCAAAACGCCTACGCCACCTCTAACATCACTAGAATCAAAATATATTATCATGGTTAATTAAATAAATTACAATATTTATCATGAAGGTTGAAATAAATTGGTAGATTTTTTTAATAATCACTTAAGCTAAGGCATTACGTTACCGACTTATTCCTTTCTCTTCTAGATGCTAAACTGTAATTGCTTTTTTTTTTTTTTCTTCTTCTTTTTTAGTCAGCCTCTTCTAGTCTTAATTTATAAATAACTATTTAATTTCTATTTTCGGATATTAAAAAGAGTTTGATTGAGAAGTAAAAAGTAAAAACAAAAGAAAAGATGTATTAATTTGACCATTCATTTATGAAATATTTTCTTTGTTTTGTGCTAAGACATTGGGCTAGGCCTTATCTATATCGGCCCATCATCTAGACACGTCTAAGATACTGACGCGTGTTTTGTGGCTCCGGTAGAATTAAAGAAACATCAGCGACTACAATGGCTGCCTCCACCGCCGTAACCACCGTATCATACGGAGCTTCACCTCTACTTCCTTCACAAACCGCGTTAGCGATCACTTCCCGGAGACTTTCTTCATTCTCGCCGTCGAAAAGGTTAGACCTCAGTAATCTGCGGCGAAGAGTCAATGCACCACCGCCAAGGCGCGCCGTGGTTCGAGCCGCTAGAACTGAATCAGCCGGAGTAAAATTAGGAGCTAGAGCTCCCAATTTTGAGGTAAAACTTTAATATGCGCGTCGCGGGAAAAATCATGAATAACGAGGAATGTCTGATCTTAGAGAGTGAACTATATAGCTTCAAGAGCCGCTCACTGGAAACTTATGGAAATTAGAAGACTTTGAACTGTATCCATCTCTACTGGTGAGTGTATCTTTAATCTGTTTAATATCAGTTTTCCATAATTTGTATATAAAGCTCTGTTCTTGTGTTCATGATACTGTAACTCTTGTTAGGTAATGTTCATCTGCAATCATTGCCCGTTTGTGATTCACTTGAAGAAAGATATTGTAAAGCTCTGCAATTTCTATATGAAGGTACCAAACACTTTGCTTCTCTGTTGTTATTTCCATTGGTATTAGAAATCTTAGCTATATTGTTCTCTTCTGCAGAAAGGTCTTGCTGTTGTTGCGATATCTTCAAATTCTGTAGTAACTCATCCTCAGGTTTGTGTTTATTACTCTCTAGTTTCAGTGCTTATTTGTTGAGATGAGGTTCTCATAAGGTTGTTCCATTTTCAATTTTCTTTCACAGGATGGGCCTGAGTTCATGGCAGAGGATGCAAAAAATTTCAAATACCCATTTCCTTACTTATATGATGAGGTATTCTTGTCTGGTCACTGCCTCTTTTTTTTTCTTTCTGAAATTGTTAGTTAATTAGACGAATTTTCTGATTTTTTCGTGACATTTTTTTCCTCTTGCCTCAGTCACAAGAGGTTGCAAGAGAATTTGGAGCTGTTTGTACCCCTGAGTTTTTCTTGTATAAGAAGGTAATTTGTTATCATGTCTTTCACTGGAAAAATGTCTACGGATTTTGGTATATTGTGAATTTGATCTGCTAAATCACGCAAAGATGAACTCACAAAGCTCTTATATTTGAAATATAGTATTATAGATATATGCTCAAGATAGCCATTTGTTGGATTGGGATAGTTATTATATGAATTCCTTTTCAAGCTCAAACAAATAATACTTCTTATGAAAATTGTGTCTTGTTTTAGTGTTTGGTTTATTAACTCTATCTCAACTTGCTCTCGAATGTCAAATGGAGCAGGATGGTCGTAGACCATTTGAGCTGGTCTATCATGGTCAATTTGATGATTCCCGGCCTAGCAATAACATACCAGTAACTGGGAGGTTCGTTATCTATGCCACTGCTTTTAACATATTTCAGAGAAGTTGTTTGTTATGTAGTAAAATGTAACATGTTATATTTTCATAGGGATCTAAGCCTGGCGATTGATCTTGCTCTTAGCTGTCAACCAATACCATCAAATCAAAAGCCAAGGTACACTTGGATTTGATACATTTTTCTTCAGTTCTTTGTTTAGATTGTCTATAGGAAATGATCAACTGATACCCTGCATTTGCTATCTAAAGTGTTGGTTGCAGCATAAAGTGGCATCCAGAAACAGAGTCGTGAGCTAAGACATTGATTGTACTTGTAAACAGCATTGTACTTATAAACAACTGCGCAACATTATTATCAGGCAAGTCGCTTTGTTTTATATCAATTATGTTCCATAAACTCAGGTCCATAGTATGTCGAACCAATAAAATATCGATGAAAAGTGTTATAGTTTCTGTTTGATAGAGCTGCAAACTAAATTTCCTTTCATTTTACCAGAAGTAGAACTGTCAAGATTTTGCTTTTTAACATATAGAAATAGTAAGGATTTGTGAATGTTACAGGTATGTTCCAAAATCAAAACTGAAAGGAGAGAAGAAGGCAAAGCAGAAGAATTTTAAAAGCCTGGCCGCCAGAAGAACATAGAAAGTGTAAGTTGTATCCATTATTTGAGACTAATATACAGTAATCTACTCCACGTATCCTATTTCGTGGGATCGTTCATGTATGATATAACTTCATGAACAATATAAGAATGAGTTTTAGTGTAAATAGTACTTTTTCTATATTTAATAAATTAAGTATGTGTGATCAAAAAGAAAGAACCCATCTTCCTCTTCCTGGTCAAATCCCGAATCTGGTAAGATCTGTTGAACTCCAATTATCACCATTGACCATGAAGCTCCCCTGAGAAATTAACTGGTCTGGCTCCTCTGAGAATGAGCATTCCAGGATCTCTTGAATCTCTTTGTCATCGAGTAAACCCTGGAACTCGAAGATCTCCTCTCGATCTTCGTCAAGAAGTTGACCAAACCCTCGTTGATCTTCTTCGCTCTTCTGGGTTAGATTATTGAATTCTCCGTAGAATCCAAGATCCACGTCAGTTTCTTGGCAGATATCCCAACTCAAAGAATCAAAAGCATGAGTGGTTGTTGTTACCGGTGAATCTTGATCGGATCCAGTAGTATTATCTGTACTAGAAGGGCTCCGATCAGTCACGTACTGTGCGAAAACCGCAGCCAAATCAATATCAGGACCAGGAGGGCTGGACTGGAATCCATCATCTTGGTTAATAAGACCATCAGGCCGATTCTCGTTCCGACCAAACCTTTTGTGACTGTTCTGTCTGCTACGGCTTCTCTTGCGACAGCCTCCACCTACAGGAATGTTACGGAGAGAACCGCCTTTAGTCCAGTAACGACGGCAACCCTTGCAGAAGTATCTAGGCTGAGACAAGCTGTAGTTGTTGTAATAACAAAACTTGGTGTTGGACGATGCACAACGAGGACAAGCTGGAGCAGTAGTAGCCTCTTGCTCATACGAAAGCTTCCACTTCTCCGGAAAATCCATCTCCGGCGACGGAAACTGGTGCTGCTGGTAGCTGTTGTGTCCAATGTACGGCAACATTTTCATGTACTCTTTTGACTTTTGAGAATTTTGGTGTGAAAGATTGCGAAAATCTAGCAATTGGGCACTTGGTGTATATTAGAGTACATGTTAACTCTATATATATGAGTGTGTATGTGTGAATGGAGAGGTGAGGAAGAGCATGTGTGTGTGGAAGCAAATGTGCATCGATAAATGTGAGAAAGGGTTGCGAAGTAAACGTGGGCGGTTGCCGAGTCGTGCGACTTCTTTCCGTTTCGTCTTCGTCAAGTCACCTTAGAATTTGGTCCTTATTAGAATTAATTACCAATATAAAGCCCTAAATGTTTATTATATGATCATTTAATTTTTCTAAGTTTTGGTAAACAATTGGGTGTATTTCTCTATGATTTTTTAATTGATTCAACCTGAAATTTGTGTTTCATACTATCCAAGAACGAGTTGAAATCATATCTTTTCCTAACAAACCATTTTAATAAAAGAGTATATGAATTAGTGCAATCATTTGTTATCAAAAGATTATTGTTTAAACTCTAACTAAATTCGTTCTTTATTTGCTATCAAATACTATATCTATTGTCAAGTGGTTCTTGAAAATTTTCAAGATCACTAGTTCAACTCTATTTATGAAGAGTAATTCACGTTTGAAATTTAATATTATCAACGACTAGTCTGAGCATTACGGGAAATATCAAAATAATTTTGGTTGATGTAATTTTTTTGGGTTAACCTAACCTTTTAAAGATATATCCTACAATTACTCTCTTTTAAAAAATAAAATATTAATTAACGTAGAGCCATCATATTATATAAGTGTGTAGATGATTAGTCACTTACATTCTCAGCATCTTGTTCTCGTGAACCGCAAGACACCACTGAAATTTATTAAACAAAGCATCGTAACATTTGATCACTTGCACAATCTTCTACATTCTATCGTTTTAACACTTCCAAGCGTCGGTACATTATTATTATATTATCATTTTTGTTATCCATTTGCCAAGTTATATATTACTTAATACCGTCAAATCCAATAAGTTACTATTACATGCATAATATAGTCTTTGATAGCAAATTAAGTTCGAGTTTCTTATAAGAACCTGGATAGTTGTCCGATCAATTCAAATATATTGTTACAAATAATTTAGCATCTTGACCGATAGTTTTTTTTATTTTTAATATATTTGGATTTAATGAGTATGATCCTTGGAATAGCGGGGAATATTAGTATTATTTTCATTACAAACCAAAATGCTAAAGTACAAATGTAGATTAGTAACCGTTAAGAGCATAGATTATGTAACCATAATAATATAGTAAGATTAAGATAGATTAACGCCAAGATTAAGGGCCACACGCACGGAAGAACACGTGATTCGACCCTCGTGTCGACCTATGCTTCTCTTATTTCTCTCAATTCCTTCGTATCTACGAAGTTAAATTCTCTTTCTTTCTTATTCCCCCAAGTTGAATTCTCTTATGTATATATATATTTTTTTAGCATTTTATCATTATTATAACAACCCTTAATTGTTATTTTATCATCGTCGATCACCACCGATAAGTTTGATTGGGCAGCCTTAGAAATTAGATCTATGGTAAGCTCCGATCCCGATATTATTTTGGGTTGACGATACGATATATGTAGTGTAATGATTAAAAATAAATACAAATTACTTATAAATTGTGAATTAATAGGAAGTCAAACCTTAATTCTTTTTTTTTCGGATGGCATTTATTCATCCTATTATTAATTCAGATTTGACTCGAAAGTGATTTTGACTTAACTGTGATAGCAGTACTTGCGTATATTTATTTGATAATTGATACTAACAAAAATATAACTTGTTACAAGTTTGCAGCTCAATATATCAAGGAAAAAAAAGGGTTTAGATTACTCTAGTAGTAGAATATCAAAATTTACAAAAAAAAAGTATTTTGTTATCATAAAAGTTTTAGGTTTAGGATTTTAACTAGATCGAGTAAATAATTGTATATGCGATGCTACTTGCTAGCTACATTGACTAATCATTAAATGTCATATTTGTGAATTTATTCCACCAATCAATATTGATCTTCATGTTGGTTCGCTATAGTAAATGAATTGCGACAACTCCGTGGGATTATCGAAGGGTTGAAAATCCATGTGACAAATGATCTTGAATTCGTTGAGACGAGAGAGAATTAGGCGCTAGAATCGATGGCTAAGAACTTAAGGGCGGTTCATCAAAATCGATCTAAAGAGCAACAAGTTTACGAAAAGGTTGCTCTTAGACCCTCTTCATCATTGGAATGGCAAGCGGTTAGAATAAGATACAAAACTGTCATTAAGCTGATTGATAGGAAGAGCCACATCGTTGATATAAATGTCCCAAACCATTGATCAGGATCTGATCGTGTGAGGAAGCAAAGAATACTATGCCGAGACAGAGTAGAGACACGGTGTAACATGTACATGTATGGTATACGTAGTTCTAACAAGGTGTAATTTCTATTTTGGGCTTTTGGGCCCTAGCTACCTTTTTATTTTCATATCTTTGGACAGTCAAATTGCTCTTGTAGCATATTTATGTAATTTTGTTTCCTTTTTTTATAACATCATTATTATTACATGCGTAACTTATTTTGCTGATATATTTCAAAGGAAAAAAAAAGAAGAAGAAAGTGTATCGAAAAAGATATACATATATGGAAAAACAATCGGATGTTTATTCTTAGCAAAAGCTAGTTGGAAACAAAAATCTTACCAAAGCTATAAGCTTATTCAAATCAAAAGATAGCATCGATTTCGCCAATATTTTTCTCAACAATATTTTTTCATTATTTCGTTTTTGAATAAACGATATTAACGCAGATTTGGTATCCCAAAAATGTGGTAACAGACTAACAGTAATTGAATCCTCAAATTTAGCCGTAACATCAATTCAAAACTTGACAAATCAGTAAAACACATTAATAAGCTCGTTCTAATAAGGAAATAACTATTACTAACACACATTACATCCTTAAAAAATTCTCTAGAAATATCAAAACTTTCTAATTTTACAGAAAATGCCCTAATTTTTGTATAGAAACAAAATAACGAAAGAATCAAAACACAAAATTGTAATTAACTTTTGTATGTTTATATATAGTCATTATATCCCTATTCCCTAATCTACAGGAAACTAAAAGATACACTTAAATCTTCTACATTTTACATCTCTAGACTCTAGAAACCACCGTCGAGGATTTGTATTCTTAAGATTCGTGTTCTTGAGTGTAAAGATCGATCTTATCATTTTCATCTTTGACAATGTCACAACCAAAAACAAGTGGAAGAACCTTTGGATTCCTGAAACCATTCATGCGGCTGTGTATGTGCTTTGACGTGGCGGCGGAAGGTGATCAACTAGGAAGATCTAAGAAAGTGACAAGGAAGAGTAGCTCCATCCACTCAATAAAATCCTCTCCAGCTTATTCTTCCGGCAGTAGTTCGATGGTAGATGAAGACAGGGATGAGAAGATTAAAGATGTTATCCTTTATTGTAAGATGAATTCACCAATTAATTTCCGCTGAATTTTACACATTTTTTGGTCACTTATTCATTCACTCATAATGATGATGTTGTAGATTCTTCTAAAATGTTGTTCATTTTCCCAAAAATATTGCGCCTATAATCGGTTACTTCGTTTATACCATTTTTAATTGGTCCATGGCTGACTTTGCAGTATGTAGTCGATCAGTTTAGCTAATTGGCTAATGTATTGTTTGCTCTAGCGTTGTTCTTGTGTCACTCACCATCGAGTTTAAACCCAGCATGTTGTAACAAAAACATATGATATACTATTTTTTGTTTGGTTCTAAAATTGTTTATTGTAAAAAGTCATTTTAACAACTTACCCAAATTAAAACTCCTTGATTTTTTATATGTAAGCTTTTTCCTTTGGTTGGTATCAAGTTAATTTATTCGATTTGAATTGTAGCCTTGAAGAAAATACCAATCACAGTACACATAAGATAACTTAGATCTAAGTAGTTAAACTAGTAGGAAACAACGTAACAATGACAAATTCATACTTTCTAGAAGCATATTATTGCAACTCTTTGTATAGTATAGTATTAACAAGACTGTGTGTAATATTGTTCTTTATTTCTGTTTTGTTTGAGGAAAGATATTGTTCTTTATTGTTTATACTATATACTAACATACCGATGATACGCGTAGGACCTTTTAGGTTATACGCGTTCACTCGTATCTGAAGCTAATTGATAACAAAGTATGTTGCTAATCGTTGTTCAGCAAAAATTAGAATTATAGCCTAATTTATCAAAGAAAAATGGAAGAATCTATGGAGACTTTGAAAGACCAATCACTTTCGAGCTATAAGTAATAAAATAGATGGACCTTGTCATTTGGATATTCAAGTTTGACCAAAAATGGACTAAAAAACCAAACACAAGAGACTTTTTCTCCCTTCATGTCTATTTCCGCGTCTAGCAACATTGCAATTAGGCACTCTTTTCAGATTATCATGATTTTAAACTTTGTATTACCATTTTGGGGTTGCCGAGTAATAGTGTCTATACCATCTTGCCTTATTATAAGTTTTATATGTAGATGCAGTTTTAGTTTTTTTTAAAAAAAAACTAACTGAAATCGAACCCAAAAACATCAGTTAGATGAACGGCGAAAACTTCTGTATCAAATGTAGTAACATGTTGGTAAACCAAACAAAATCTAAACCGTAATGAACCGAAAACCAAACTTTACCCATATTGATTGTTTTTATTTTTTAATTTTTGGTTCAAGATTAGGCACATGGACTATAAGCATTTCTCATCTAAATGTGTATCTTCACAAATTGCCGAATCTAAATAGTTTGACAGTCGGACAAAAAAAAAACAAAAACAAACTTTCAGGTGTGATCTTTATACAGTATATGATTGTATAACTTGTCAAAAAAAAATGACTGTATAAGAAAGATAAGTCCACCTAAACCTTGACAGGACAATCAATCTTCTAAAGCGAAAATATTTGTCTCTTACATAAGTCTAGTACATTTATCTTGTTCTTTTTTCCTTTTCTTATTTTCTTAAAAAAAATTTTGTGTGTCGTTAAAGGTCTCGATTGTAATTAGAGGAGTCATACATGTAATTATGGGTCAACACAAATACACATCTTACTTTTGTCTATTATCGAACGCTTCAAGACTTTTAAAATTTTAATGATGTTTTTATTAATTTTGTTATGATGCGATTTAGCTATATAATTGTTAAAAACAAAAAAAAAAGCTTGTTTGTCTCTGAGACTACAAGAAGTAAATCCACGCGCACAACAGTCGAGTCATTTTATCTTTTTGAATTTTTTCACGTTACATTTTTTTTAATAACCGTGCTATACTAAAACTTGAACAGAAATAAATCAGTTACAAAGTGGACAGACCTAATTACTAAACTACAAAATCGTCAGACCCAGACATTTTACATATTTCTATATCTCAACATTCATTAGATTTTTAAATACGCCAATAGATATTATTAAACTTCTGACCACATCTAATTTTGTTTTGTATTGAATAAATATTGTTTGACAAGGGAAAATTTGTGTTGATTATGGTCCATAGACACAGGGACAGGGTCATGTCTGGATCAGCAGAACCGTGTAGGAGCTTTTACAAAATCATGCCAAGTCAGCTACCATTATCTGACGTGGCACTTCTGACCTCTTCTACGCTTTTGACTTCCTCAAGACGGGAAATATTCAACCCTTTATGTTCCATTAAGATGCAAACAAAAAGTACAACAAAACAAAAACATTTTAATGTAAAGTCATTTCTTCTATTTATTTATCTTTAAAAAGAGCAATTTAGTCTCTAAATTTTTGTTTACTAAAGAAAACAAAACACAACAACGTGAGCACCACCTAGATGTATCTATAATCTATCTCAACAATTTAATCAACCATAAACGTGAATAAATTGATGTACGAAAAGTAAATAATAAAAGTTGGAAGTCGTAGTTAAAAGCGAGTCATTTCTCACGACTGGAAAACTTTTAATCTTGGGTAAACCAAACCAAATCTTGGTAAGAAACATACTAGAAGAAACATACATACAAAAATATAATAATCAATACTAACAATCAAGTAGCCAAAGTTTACCACTTTTTAAGTAGGTTTACTCTGCTTTCTTCATTTGACTTTTCTCTCTCCTTCTTTAATACATACACAAATCATATATATACAAGTACTCATGTACCCTCCCTTTTCCCCTAATCATCACATAATCATTGTTCTTCACTAAAATCATCATCACACACACATACACATATCTATCTCTCTCTTTATATATACTATTCATCTCAAAGTGGATTCTATGGATAATAGATCGCCAAGATCAAGAGGAATATTGGGTCCTAGACCAACACCATTAAAAGTCCGTGGAGATTCGCACAAGATCATCAAGAAGCCACCACTGGCGCCTCAGCCGCAACCGCAACCACCACAAATCCATCAGCAAGAACCGTCGCAACCGCAGCCTCCACGTGGTCCCGTTATCATATACACCGTATCTCCCAAGATTATACATACACACCCTAATAACTTCATGACATTGGTTCAACGTCTCACAGGTAAAACCTCTACCTCCACAACATCATCCTCCTCTTCTTCATCTACGTCAGCACCAAAAGACACGTCAACAACGATTGATACATCTCATGGTTTGATATCTCCGGCGGCTCGGTTTGCTGTTACAGAGAATGCTAATACATCAAACGAACTAGGGACATTTGTGGGAGGCGTAGGGGCTATGGATCAATATTATTATCATCATCAACAACAACAACAACATCAAAATCGAGGTTTCGAAAGGCCAAGTTTTCACCATGCTGGGATTTTATCGCCGGGACCTACTTCTCTGCCGTCGATATCACCGGACTTCTTTTCCACGGTTGGACCAACCGATCCACAAGGTTTTTCGTCGTTCTTTAATGACTTTAACTCTATCCTTCAGAGTAGTCCATCGAAGATACAGTCTCCTTCTTCTATGGACCTTTTCAACAATTTTTTTGATTCTTGATTGAGTTATTATATCTAGTTGAACTAATTTACGAGTCTTATAGGAAAAAACAAAAAAAGGTTATATTTTACGTTTTTCATCATTTTTTAGAGACACTCGGATGGAGTTAGAGGGTTTCTACTTCTGCATTTCGTGATGATGACGTCATTTGTTTACATCAATTTGCCAATTTGATGATATGTGTATTCTTGTTTGGTGGGCTTCCCACATATACTTTAAAGTTTATGTTCAATGAATCTTGTCCCTCTCCTTAACTGCTATGTGCTCATCAGCTTAATTATCCAATAGTGGGGCATTAAATTAATTTACTTTGTATAATCTTCTGACTCTTGGGTTTGTAGGTAAATTTGGTTTTTGTTAGTATATAATATTCTTGAACATATGCGTGTGATTTGAAATCCAAATATAGATTCAGTGGACTAAATGAAACTACTTTCACATGTGTTATTGACTTTTGTCGCCAAAAAAAGAAACAATTTATAAGAGAATATGAAGAGCTCAAAGACAAAACAGTGACGGTGAAACAGCGAGAGGGTAAAACATGCGGGACAAATGGATAAATATGTGAGTTAAATTCGTTACCATCCGGTTTACAACTTGTCCCAAACCGGGTGATTTTTTATGACAGTCGTACGTTATATTTCTTGACCTTAGATTGATCCTCCCACCATGTATCTGCTTGATGCTCCTAAAATCTTTTTTCGGCTGCAGTTTAAAAAAAAACAGCCACCACCTATTTCACTTCAGACTACTACATTGAGAGATTCATACTAAAGTCTTATCTTATATAGCCGATAATGAGTAATACTAGTGAACTCTTGAATTAAGAAACTGCGAAGTTACAAGTACTCTGAAATGGTTATCAATCATCAATCTGGTTTCATTACTATATATTGCTTTTGTGGATCTAAGTATCTAACTACAAATCATTAGTAAAATAAGAAAACTTCGCAGATTCTTGATCTAAAAGTTCATTAGTCTTAATCATATTATCGGTTGTACTATGGATCAATATTATCATCATCAACATCAAAATCGAGCAATCAAACGCCAAGTTTTTAGTTTTTTTACTTACTTTTCTGCAGTTGATATAACTGGACTTTTTTGTTACGATAGGTCTGGCCCAAATAATAGGCGGGCTAAGCCCACGATTAAACCCATCGAAATTCTAAATTTTATGGAGCCACAATGAAAAAGACTCCCAAAAACAAAAAGGGTTGTGCACTAAAACTGTGCATGTGCCAGAACAGATATCAGCACATTCCTAATTAGACGTGCATAGAAAAAATCAAACTCTCAGACATAGTTTCTCTCTTTCTCTTTGTGAAATCATTACTTTTTTTACTCAAGAATCAAGATCATTTGATCATGCCACAAATCGATTTCTTAGCACCAGTGTCGAGGTTGATGTTAAAGGAGTGACTGATGATGTAGGAGAAGTTGTTGCTATTGGTGTAGGCGTATTTTTTATGAGACAAGCGATTCCAAAACACTTCTTACGTCTGAGATGTGAGGCCTATACATAGCATCTCCATCCAATCATTCATCAATTGATTTCTTCAGCCTTGGATTCGTCTCCCTTGGAAGCTCAAGCCTTTGTCCCTGATAAACACATAACCACAAATTAGACATTTCTGTCACAATTAGAATTATCTATAAGGATGGAGAAAAGTCATACCCGATAACACGCAAGGCTATGTGACAAATCGCTAATCTATCCAAAGTCTCACATGGAAGCTTAGCATCCGAAACTGCATAAGGATTGAAAATGTAACTACCATATTATTTTTGGGTAAAACAAATATTTCTCATAAATATTATTTTCTTAGGCATAAATTTGGTAAAACAAAACTGTAACTACAGTATTACTTTTTAAAAGTTTTACTTGAATAAATATTTTATGTAAACTCAGTAAAAGTTTGTTGAAAATGTATTATCTTAAATTTAAGTTAAACTTCAAAAGTAAATTTTATTTAAGTTAAACTCATTTTCTACCAGTTTTTAAGTTAAACTTATTTTCTACCAAATTTTTACATAAGAATTAGCCCAAAATTCAAGGCCTCACTTAGTTGTTATTTGTTGTATCCAACGGATCTAATCTATGAATTAACAGGCCCGTTAAATTGGCGCCAGAAGAAATTCCGGGTTTACTAAAAAAACGGGTCGGGTCGGGTCACTCAGATTCGGATCATTCGCTTCGGTTGTCGAAAGAGAATGAACCACGAGAAAACTCGAAACAATTGAAATTGAGCCGAATTAGAAATTTTGATCTGCACAAAGGAACGAGCAAGTTGCTGGGTAGAGTTTTGATCGATTTGGACCAAGTAGACCTGCCTTTTTCTTCAAATTAAGGATTTGTATTTACTAATTTTAGACTTGTGATCTCTCGATTTGTTGTTTCCGTCGCCGTCCATGAAAGATGGGTACTGGAATCAACAGAGACAGTACCAGCCTCCATTGTCGTCGACCCCTCACGGTGGTCCTCCTAAACGTCACCGTTCTGACTTCGGTAAGCTAAATCTCTCTTCTTCTTTTTCCCGCTCTGTGTTTCTACACTTGGAATCAAATCTCAATGTAGCTTTTTTGTTAGTGTGCATTGTTTGCTGATAGTCATACAGAATAATGAACAGTGTTTTAGGTCTAAAAATTGTTCTTTTGTTAGTGGGCATTGTTTGTTACATTCAGCTTGTATATAAACATGTACATGTACATTCATTCTAAGTTATTGAGAAAATACACCTTTATTTCTCCTCTTTCTATATATGATGCTATGTTAAAGAAGTTTGAGTGTTTGACCATCAATACCGGAACAGATTATCACTGCTTTGTAGTTGCAGATAGTGTATCTTGTGTACTTCTTTTTTTATGTGTCATGAGGTCCAGAGTTCTATATATTGCCCATACCTATCGATTTGTGAGTTTGAATTGTCTTATTTTTCTCCTTGTAGAAGGTACACAATATGTGATGCCTTTAGGCGATATGCACAGTTATTTATCTCGGGATGAGGATCGAGGTATCCCTCATTCAGTAAAGGATACCAGAACTATTGGATCAGTTTATGACCGCTACCTGCAGAGTGTGGTACAATCCTTATTCACTTGGTCTCTTCTTCGGTTTTTTTTTCTCTTCTTTCTTCAGTGGACTTCCTTCTAATTGCTCAAGAAGGGAAGTATCCCGTATCCTATATTCCTATCTAATGACTCACTACAAAATTATTCTTAACACCAATATTAATTTACTCACTTAAGTATGTTTGAGCTGTTCACTGTCCTTAACTGAAGTCTAGATATATTTCGGCCTTTTGTGGGATATAGAGAAGTAAGACTTGTGACCAAAGATTCAAAACATGTAAGATTCACTTGTTCCAACTTGAAGCATTGTTGAAAATACTCAAGTCTCATAATTTCATTAGTTTTGACTTTCTAAGGGGTTTTATGCAGAGAAGTGGAGATCCTATTGTTCTTTGTTTTGTTAATTTTGAAAACCCTGCCTGTGCAGCAACTGCTCTGAGCGCTTTGCAAGGTAACCGAGATTCTCCCTACTTTGGGGATTGTTAATATTTGGTCCAACACATTTTGAGTTTGTTTTGCATTGGTTTCTTGATATTTACTATCTTCATCTCAGTTATAAACACTATGCTAGAACATATAGTGCATCAAAGTTTGATTTTTTCCTGATGCAAGACACCAATCGTTCCGCTGGTTTAACTGATGCAACTATACATTTGACAGGCTATCGAATGGATGAAGAGGAATCCGATTCCAAGATTTTGCGGCTCCAATTTTCCGAATCCCAGGTCCAAGACCAGGACAACGTGGAGGAAGAAGGTGATCAGTAAGTGACATTTGAGGTACATCGACCAAATGGTAGCTTATTGTTTCGTGCTTCCATCTTCCCTCCGGGAACCCAAACACACTTGATCATATGCTCAAGGAGTAGTCTCACTCAAAGCAACAGAGATATATGGAGAGACAAAAGAGTCTAGGAGATGAGGTGATTGGAACCTAAAGTTTTTCTCTCTCACTTCATTTTATTTTTCCATCTCCTGGATAGATTTTGTGCATGATCTTATCAATGCTATCAATCAAAGCCCGAAAATTTATTACAATGTTTTGTTTTCTTTGTGGGGATTATACGGAAATGGGACTCCAATAGTAGTCTTAGGGATCAGTAGTTGTATTTGTTCATTTATAATCTTAGGACAAAATCCAAAATAGTGGCTCATATTACTCTTCTTTATTTAGTCAAAAACTTCATCTCCAGTTAAATGCTCTGTCTGAAATATAATCTCTAGAGTGAGAATTTGCCTATCGTGTATATGTTAGCAATTATAACCATGAGTAGTTTTACTTTCAAAGAAAAGTTACTATCTACTAGAGCTTTTAGTTGCTTTAGCTTCCTCGTAATATTATTATTAGATATACCTTTTAAAAAGTTAGAACTTTATATCTAGGATGTTAAAGGTGCTAATCAACTAGCAAATCAACATAGAAATTTTACAAAAAGATAAGAAATCATTGACACTAGGATTTATTTGGTTTGGTTGACCAAACATACCACACTGATGGGATCGGCGATGAAGAGAGGTGGGTATATTCGATATCCAAAGAGAGCAGATGCTTTTTTTCGCGTCCGACTTTAGATTTTTTTTTGGCTCTTATGTACATGCATAATTCAAGAAACTTCATGCTTTTGTCCACGTTAATAAGTTAGCAGCAATGTACAAATCAATCTTTTCCTTTTTTGTTTTATCCATCTTTTACGAAGCAGTAGATTGTGACTTTTGAGACAAGATTTGATTTCGTAATAAACTGATCATATTGCACATGTCTTTGTGATATTATTGATATTGGGTAAAGCCGTAAAGCCTTTAACAAAACAACTGGGTAAAGGTTAAAAAAAGAGAGTACGTCCTCTATAACGTTAAAAAAAAGTACGTCCCCTGTCTATCATAGCTATAGAACACAATAATACGTTACTAATTCATGTATTTATACAATTAAATGTTTCTAATGAATTGCTCAACGTACTCGATTAATTAGACTCGTATACACATATACTGTAAACAATGAGAAATAAATAAATAGATATATATATGTACTGTATGTAATTCGCAGTTTTGTAAAATGTATCTAATGTTTTGGGGGTTTTTCCTCAACAAGGTATTGCTTTTAGCCACTGGTTTGGAAGCTAAAACTCTGTTAAATAATTGAGAGGTGGCTTTCAATAATTAAAATACTACTACTATGTTAACTAATTGAGAGGCGTACTGGCTTTAAATATGCCATCGGTGGTTAGTTTGTATCTATTGTATTGGTTTTGTTTTCCTCAACAATGTACATATTGCTTTTAGTCACTGGTTTGGAATATCAAATAATTGAGAGGTGGCTTTAATTAATTGATTCCTTACCATGATAATAATTTATTGACTTATTTAAATATAGCATTTTATTGAAGATATTCTTGGCTCAAACAGAGACTAATGTTAGTAGACCGATCGGGTTATGAATAATGATTGAGGGTATAGAGACAAGTTGTTAAACAACAATTAGATTAGTACATTTTATACAATATTGATTCAAGTGGATCTAAAAGTCTCTGTTCTACATTACCTAATAAAAAACACTATATTATTTTAAGTATGATTGTAGATATAAAATAAATTACAGATTAGTGATTCTAAGAGATCTTACACTGGAAAATATCCTCTCAACTACTTTCTTCACTGTGTTTGTTTGGGTATTCTTGTATTTTTAGAACTCTCCTGGAAGCAATGACATCTACATTTGTCATATTGTGATATTTCTTATTTTCAATATTAATTCGTAGTAGCTAGTTTATCAATTACCATTACATACTATGAATTAATTTGTCATAGCAAATAGTTATGAAAATAATTAACAAATAAAATGGGATTAGAGAGAACCAAATCATGACGTCTAGGGACCATCTTGTGAATAAACAAATGACATGAGTTTTGAATTAAACCGAATATTATGTAAACTTTTTTGTCAACCGAATACTAATTTGGACGAGAGTCTTGTGTCGATTTTGTTATTGATATTATTTACGTACGTTGTTTTTTTTTTTTTGGTCAAACTCTAGCTATTATATACTTGATATTTTCTTCTACGACGAATCGACGATGGACGAAATGATGTTTTTACCTCAGCATTTTCTGACGCCCACAGGTCACAGTTCACACTGTAACGGACCTGACTACTTTACTAGCAAAAGACAAATCTAGTTGAAATTTTAAAAGTAAATGTTTGTTATACTTCGTTGTCTCTTTCTTAGTGTCACGTTAGTATCTAGTAATATTTTTATTTTACTGAAATATGAATAGTGTGAACAAATTTTGTGGTCAAATGGTGATAATCGTGGACAATGACATTTCCTTAGCCCCTACTGTGAATTATTGCAAAGTAGACGATGGACCATGGTGCCGCCGGGGGTTTTGGAGCTGGGGAAGTATGTGTGTTGATGTGAACGATTTCTCGTATGTTAGGGTTTAGTGGAAAGTGGAAACAGACGGGTCTCGAATCAATGGAGCCTAGAGTGTTGGTTAAGTCCCGTTATGGGAAGTTTGTTAGATTTGAATGTTTGATGAACTGAGGTACAGAGATTTTTTTTTTTTTTTTGCACTTGATTTTGATTTAGAAGTAGTTTGGATCGATGATTATGTTAGTACGTACGTTGTAGCTCATTGACTAGTTTTTCATGAATAATTTTTTTTATAGTATATATTATTCGGATCGATAAAATAATAAATATTGTTTTGGATTAATTCTTTTTTCATTGTTCTAAAAAAAATAACGTCGTTTGAATTCTAATATATTTTTGTAGGAAATATATATAATAAATAATGTATACAGAACATAACTCTAACAATAAGTTCTTTTATAATACATCGTATCTTTGTCTCGTACCCTTGATTTTTATTTAGCTTTTCGATAAAAACATACACTTGGCTTTAACCTTTTAACAAAAAACAAACAAACATACACTTGTTATTACATGAGAGATAATTGAACATATATATTCCATCGTAATATATAAGAGAAGTAGTTAAAACTTGAATTTAAAGATGTGTCGGCAGAATATTTCGAAGATATTTTCTACCTGTCTTTCTTATAGAATTCTAAATAAACTACTACAGTATTAAATGACTTTTCAAAGTGTACATTACATATGGCAATAAATGATTCCTTCATGAAACAAGAAAAAATTAAAATGAGCTGATTATTTGATAAGATAACATATCTTTTTTTTTTTCTAGCTAAAACATTTTTACACCACAGAAAATCAAACTAGAAAAAAAAAGAAAAAGAAAAGACGTATATATTAGCCAAGCCGCCTGGTCCCATAAAATCAATAAATCAACAAACTTCTTCAAACGCCTTACATAACGACGGACAAAATAGTAATTCAAAATAAATAATTACGATAGTAAGAAGAGAAATTCCTAAAAATGGCCCTAAAACAAGTTTTATTGACAATAATAACACACACTCCATAAACTTCCAAAAATAGCACTAGTTAACTTACTATTAGTGTTTTTGTTCTAAAAATTTTATCACTAGCTTTTTTTTTCAATAATACCACAACTTTTATATAAAAGCTATTCAACAAAATAAATTAGAAATAAATTTAAAATATTATATTTGGGTTCTCTATTTCCAATTTAGGGTATATATTTCTACCATTTAAAAGAGATTTTGATTCATTTTAATATTAGTTTATGATATTATATTTGGGTTCCCTATTTCCAATTTAGGGTATATATTTTCACCATTTAAAAGAGATTTTTATTTTAATATTAGTTTGTGGTATTATATTTGGGTTCCCTATTTCCAAATTAGTGTATATATTTCCACTATTTAAAACAATTTTGATTCAATTTAATATTAGATTAGTGTTTGCTCTCTTTTTTATTTTCTATCTTATATTTTCATTAAGTTTAATTGAAGTTTATGGTGCTATTTGTGGAACTTTTCAAATGAGGTGCTATTTTTGGAAAAAATAATTTTTTTGGGGCTATTTGTGTCAATCTCCCTAGTAAGAATGTTTTAAACAATTAGTGCTCCTGCTGTCAAAAAAAAAATATATATATTAGTGCTTCATGCTAATATAACGAATAATAATTAAAATCACATATGAAAAAATTTATTAGACAACAAATATTACCTTTAGATAGTTTGTGGGGATGAAAAATTTAAGAAATTAAAAAAAAAATGGTACAGTAATATATACTTTTGTAATAGAGGGATAGTGTTTTGATTGGTTTTAGCAGAAACACTCCGATCTTCTCTTCTTCTTCTTCTTCTTTTTTTTGCTGTTAAAGAGTGAAAGAATTTCTACAAAATTAGGCGACGATTAGACTTTTTGGATGGGATTTTGCTTATAAGTCATGCATTGGTAATGGTATCACTAAAAGCAAACTACGTCTATATTTGAAAACGATAAAAAAAAAAGAGTTGTGCACTAATTCAGTTGTTGTGTACTTGTGTTTGATATAGTTTTATCATATTAGTCTAAACGTGAACTAATTTTTTAGTTGCTAATTATTTTGTTCATATTATCTTCTATAGCGAAAACCACCAAACGCTAATCTCAGATCTAGCTAGGATTCTAGATTAGTTTGTTTTTCTTTTCTTTTTGCTCCAACAAATTTGGTTCAGCTAAACATATTTCGTTCTCACATGGAAGTTCGAATCTAACTACTCTTGGTAACATCTGTATTTTAAAAGTTCCAGTTAAACAACATATTTTTTTCAACTATTTATATCTGTCCCAGTAATGTTTTCAAAGATGCATATATAGTATTTTTTTTTCTACAGAGTTTTGAGATAAATTATATATAAAATTTTAAAATTGACTAACAAACTAAATAAACCTCATTATTATTATTATTAATTTGTTATTTTTTACAGCCAACCTCATTATTTCTTCTTATATATAATTATTTGTTTTTAACAAAATGTCAACACTTCAATTTTTGAATTATGTTAATTACAATTTTATAAATTTTAGTAGTTTTTAGCAATAATATTTAAAAAAACTGTAAATCCTTATGAACTAATGGTCTGTAATAATAGTACGTATATGAAAAGACACACTGATTATAGACTGCATATTGGGACACATTCGGCGACCCGACAAAACTGTATCTTACGACAAATAACGATTATGTACGTGTTTCCAAGAAATAGTCACAAAATATCTTTATTATAGATTATGTTGATTATCGACGTGTAGTCTTTCTTTTTCATATCATCTGAAAGGGATGAGCAATATTTTTATTTTATTTTGAAAAATACTAATAGTAAATTACGCGTAGCTAGTAGCTTTAGGGATCGAATATGTTTAGAAAAATATATCGAACAAAGAGGCCATGTTGCTTATGACTCATTGATCTATCATGCAATTACAATCTAATATCGCATATTTAGTATATACAAGTCTTTCTTTTTGTCGTCAATCAAAAGTCTATTAAACTGAATATATCAATTTTTCAAAAAAAATAAAGATATGGTAAGTCAGTGATGATCAAATCATGAATTTATAATTAACCTATCAATCTATGTAAAAAAAAAATCATTGACCACACAAAAATATATGTCTTAGAATTTGACTAAAGTTATATGTGGAATTAAAAAGTTTGTGTTTAAGATTAACAATTTTTTGTTTAGTCAAATTCTAACTAGTTTTCGATATCTAGAAAGGATAATATATTTTAATCATATTTTTCTGTTTGAAAAATCAAATAGCAGAAGAATTGTTACTAGCTATGAGACTAATATAAAAAGAAAAATCTAAGAAAAAGAAAAAGAAAATTTGAAATTTCCGTAGTTAATCCGTATATTCGTTAAGATAAAAGTTAAACCATGTTATTTAACTTTCTAAATGAAAGCAAATACTAATTATGTATATTTCTAATATATTTAAAATAATAAGCGCATAAAAATCTATTCAATATCGTAAAATCTCTATTGTTCTTCTGGAATTGTTATCTAGTCAAATGTGTACCAATATTTACTTTAAGGCCATCATCTTTCGAAGTGGATCAGATATGAGCTATATTTTACTAAAGGAATCTAAATATCTATAATTCTTTAATTATTATCATCAAAGGTAACTATTGTCGTGTTACTTTATTACAAATGACCAAATCAGTATGACGGTGATTATTCTTGCAATTTCTTGACGTCTCACCAACAAAGTCAGCTTTCAAGAATATGTTAAAAAAATATGTGAAGTTGTTAATTTGTCTAAGTCTTAATCCAGCTGGTTACTTATCCAGTTAGATGAAAATAAATAAAATTCAATTATCGAAAATCTATTTTGACTCTTGACCAAGCTTTTTTTATTGATTTATTTGTGTGTGTTTTTTTTTATTTAAATTCTTTAATTACTTTATTGATTTATTTGTTTATTTTGATAGAAGATGAACATGTAATCGTCTATGATTAAAATGAAGAATTTGGTGCACCGGAAAGAAAAAAAAAAGAACATTTTTCATCCTAGCTCATATTCATTCAGAAAAGACCGGTCGTGATAATTCATCTATCTTGTTAGTTAAATCATATTAACGTTTTCTTCTCTTGTATAATTGAAAGTATATTATTATAAAAAAAATTAAAGAGGACGAGAAACGTGTTCTAAGGTTAAACAAAGAAAATGTGAGGCAAAACACCAAATCGAAAATCGAACAATCACTGTCACGTTTGGCAGTGTCACCTTTAGGAGCGGTATTCGGATGTATGACGGACCACCTTCTCTCTTATTATGTTCCTTCCACTTCTAACTCGGCCGCCGTGAGTCAACGCGTTCATATACTCTCTCTCTTTTGTTGAAGAAGAAAAACATAAGCGGCTATAAAAAAATGAAGTAAATGCAAGCTTTCGATGAACATGTACATGTTACTTAGTTGGGGTTTATTATTAGTCGATCTAGTTTCACTAGATTAAAAACAATATTATCCAGAACTGAATCTTATAGGTAATAACTCAAAACTATATTATAGAGTTTTACGTTGGATAGTAAATTTGCTGTATAATAATACATCCAATAGAAACTGATTTTTGGCTTGACCGATCTGCATTAACTGCAATACTGTTGGGATAGATTAAAGATGAATATATTACATTGAATTGATAAGTTTTGTAATGAATATTGGATTGATTACATTTTGTAATCAAAGTGTAAAAGAATGGATGTGGTAAGCATCTTTGACCAGTAGGAAGTAGGTGAGATCGAAAATAAGTTGTTTAGCTATATTTAGCTGTTTCTGATTATTGATCTATATATTCACATTTCTATCTATGAAAAATAGCTGTGGTTGGTCCATTATATTGCCGAAATTACTTATGCATTAGGCAGATCATGCTCAAACTCAGACTTACAAAATTGGAAAAAAAGAAAGAAAGAATTTGAACATAACTTTCGATTGGGTATTCAAAATGAATATTGCAAATGCTTTTTCTAAAGTTTCAAATGCAAAGTTATTCGTTTCCCATTATTCATAAGGACTTATATAAGGAGCCAAGAAGAAAGTATCATCCGAGTACATTCAAAAAAAAAAAAAAAGTATCATCCGAGAAAAAAAAAGATGTATGTACTTTAACACAAAATAAAAAGATGCATGTAACAAAAAATAGAAAGATAAAAGCGGACTAAAATTTAGTAACTTTCTTAAGCAAAATATAAGATAAATAAATTTCAAATTAATAATTTGGACCATGTTATGACAATATACTCGCTGGTTTTAGTTAGACCTACACATAATGGATCAAATATCTACAAACATCTAATCTATGAACACAAACCTATATACGGCTGTGTACATAATTTCTGATATGGTTTTGTTATTTCTATATATATATGTTGAAAAATAAAAAAGTAAAGTATTATTCATGTGTGGTTAGTTTCATGTTTACATGTAACGTAGTCAGAAATGGTTTTCTCATGTTTCCCCCTTATAGTAAGAGGCCATCTCTTTATCAGAAACAACAAAACTTAGAGGCCATCTACATACTTTCTCTAACAACGTTTTACAATTATTTACTTTCTTTTTTTTTTTTTGGTAAAACAATTATTTACTTTCTTGTCTTTTGGGACATCGTATTATTGTTCTTAAGTGAAAATTTCACACACAAAAAAAAAAGTGAGAATTATCAAAAGGTGCATCATAAAAATCGCGAGATTCAGAAAACAAACGTTAGATCTAACGTTAGATATATCATGAAAAATCACGAGATTCGATACGTTGTTCGAACATGGAGAACATGTCAATCATCGACGGCTGAAACAAGTTTAATAATGAAGGTCGGAGAGACCAACAAACATCACTTCTTTCTATATATAATATTTAATATGTTTGGTGTACATAATTGCTTGTACTTTTTACATGACGTAATTTACCATTTTACAATGAGAGTGAAAAAAGTGAAATTGAAAAAGCTATTTAAAGGGTGTGAAGGGAAGACATTAAAGCACAAACCAAAAACAAAACAACCAATGGGGTCTCCAATGGCCTCTTTAGTGGCAACTTTGCTTGTCTTAACAATCTCTCTCACCTTTGTATCTCAATCAACCGCTAACTATTTCTATTCTTCTCCTCCACCACCGGTTAAACATTACACTCCTCCGGTTAAACACTACTCTCCTCCACCGGTTTACCACTCTCCACCACCGCCTAAGAAACACTACGAATACAAATCTCCACCTCCACCGGTTAAGCACTACTCACCTCCCCCGGTTTACCATTCCCCACCCCCACCAAAGAAACACTACGTGTACAAATCTCCTCCTCCTCCGGTTAAGCACTACTCTCCCCCACCGGTTTACCACTCCCCACCACCACCCAAGAAGCACTACGTTTACAAATCCCCTCCTCCTCCGGTTAAACACTACTCTCCTCCTCCGGTTTACCACTCCCCACCACCACCCAAGAAGCACTACGTGTACAAATCTCCCCCTCCTCCAGTTAAGCACTACTCTCCCCCACCGGTTTACCACTCCCCACCACCACCAAAGAAACACTACGTTTACAAATCTCCTCCTCCTCCGGTTAAGCACTACTCTCCCCCTCCGGTTTACCATTCCCCACCCCCACCTAAAAAGCATTACGTCTACAAATCTCCACCACCACCAGTGAAGCACTACTCTCCTCCCCCCGTTTACCACTCTCCACCACCACCAAAGAAACACTACGTGTACAAATCTCCTCCTCCTCCGGTTAAGCACTACTCTCCTCCTCCGGTTTACCATTCCCCACCCCCACCAAAGAAACACTACGTGTACAAATCTCCTCCTCCTCCAGTTAAGCACTACTCTCCTCCCCCGGTTTACCACTCCCCACCCCCACCCAAGAAGCATTACGTTTACAAATCTCCCCCACCACCGGTTAAACATTACTCTCCCCCTCCAGTTTACCATTCCCCACCACCACCAAAGAAACATTACGTATACAAGTCCCCTCCTCCTCCGGTTAAGCACTACTCTCCCCCTCCCGTCTACCATTCCCCACCACCACCAAAGAAGCACTACGTATACAAATCCCCTCCTCCTCCGGTTAAACACTATTCTCCTCCTCCGGTTTACTACTCTCCACCACCACCAAAGGAAAAGTACGTGTATAAATCACCTCCTCCTCCTCCAGTCCACCACTACTCTCCTCCACACCATCCTTACCTCTACAAATCTCCTCCTCCTCCATACCACTATTAGAATTCTCTATCACGGTAATTACTCTCTCAAGACTTACATCTACACACCTTGTTAACTCAATAATTAAAAGCCTACGTGAATAATCATGCATGTCAATAATTATATTGTATATTTTATATACTTTACAGGAGAACACGATGTACACAAGAAGACAAAGACAAGACGAAACCATTACTGGTGATTGTAATAAGAGAAACAAAAGATGAAAGAGAGAATCCAAGCAGATAAAGCTTTCTCATCATTTTCAAAGCATTTTTAGATTTTTATTGTAATAAATTTGAAACTTATGTGTGTTAATCAATCAATGTTTCATGCATGCAATCAGTAGTCATATATGTTTGTAAGTTTAATTATGTCTTGTTTCTTTCTGATTTTTTCATGTGCAAGTTTGCTTTGTCCCAATTAATAAAAGAGAGTTTCTTAATACATAGTTTCTTATTAAAATAAAAATAAAAATAAGTTAACAATAATAATTCTCGGAATGTAATAATTTAGTTTTCTTCCATTTCTCATGCATGCACACACGCGCTCCAGTACTAATTCTTCAGGATCCAATTTAGAGAAATCAGCCACTATATTTAGACTAACACTATTTGAATTTTACTTTCATGAAACAAACATTGTTTCTCGTACATATTAGAGAATATTGATAGTGTTGTTACAACTTTAGTGAATCTCAGACGATAAAGAGGAACATGTCAACAATAACCCGTCTACGAATTTAGTACAAACTTGAACTGGAACATTAGTCTATAATTGTACCTTTCAAAAAAAAAAATTCGGGTTACCGTTACATTAGTCCTTTTTCTTCGTAGTTTAATTTATAACCAAATGGAATATATATATTTAGAAAAAACGCTTGATTATTGGTCCGGGAAAAAATATTTAGAAAAAAAGTTAGAAGAATGGTATTACAGACAAAACTAAATCTCACCTACTCTTAGTCTAATCAGAAAGGTTATGTTGTTAGACTTGTAAAAGAGATGGACCCTTCCCTTAACGAAATTATGCTTTCATGAGAGTTATATTAGTGCATGGCTATTATATCAAATCAAAATCTCCATTTTATTTCGTTCGTTTGTTTCTTCTATTTGTTTTATTTTTCTTGGAACAGTTTCTGCTAAGCTGCCATAATTTTTTTTTTTTCTCCACTAGAGTCTCGATGATATCGACCCATTTGATAACCTAATTTTTGCCAGCTTCTTCTTATTTTCTTTTCACCACTTTCGCATCTCTTTCCTTTTTGTTCATGTATCTATCGTTTCGAGTCTAATTAAAAGTCAATAATAGAAGTTATAATTAGTTCGATTTTTAATAAACATTGTAATATTTACTATTTTTTGTTTTAGTTGGTAACCTTTTATCCCAACAGTAAAATATAATACTATTTTATGGGTTACTATTTACCCCTAATATAATACTAATCAAGTAACCATAAAGACAGAAAAATATTTACCGTATCAATATTAATCTCGTCTTTAACTTGAGGTGAAAAATAAGAGGTGTGTTTGACTAATGACTTAATGCTTGTAAACTAACAATTGAGGATTAAGGATCTCATGGTCCCTGAAATTTTTGGGCTCAGAAGGGGAAATTAAAAGGCCCATTAAATCTCAGCTTCCTTGAGCCTTTTACTAAACGACAACGTTGTAAACTTTTTTTCCCTAAGATAAAAAAGTATATTATAGATTTACTTAGGGAAAAGGTAAACCCTAGAAACAAAACTTGAGAGCAGCTACAATGGCAGAAAGTATGAGCCTATCTGACGCACTCGATTACGATTCACCCTATTATCTCGATGAAGATGAACATCCGTACCATCGCTCCACAATTATACTCAGCCAAGCCGAAGACAACTTCGCTATCTGGAAACTTTCTTTTACTCGTTTACTTCGAATCAAGAACAAACTCGCGTTCGTCAACGGTACACTTGAGAAGCCGGACGCTTCCTCGCCGCTTTATAAACGATGGGAACGATGCAACGCGTTGGTTATGTGTTGGATGTGGAATTCGATGACCGAAGAACTTAGTAAACGTGTGACATTTGATGAAACAGCGCATAACATGTGGGAACATCTTCGACGTATATTCGTCCCGAACGTTGATTTGAAGATCTACCAGACTCGTCGGAAAATCATGGAGCTGAGGCAAGATGGTGACACGGTAGAGAAATATTTCAAAAAAATGAGCAATGCTTGGCTGGAGTTGTCGGAGTATGATCCTGTGAAAGTGTGTTCGTGCAGCGGTTGCGATTGCGAGATCACTAAACGAGCAAAAGAGGCGAGAGATAAGGAGGAGCTTTACGCTTTTTTGATGGGTTTGAACAAAGACCTTATTAAGAAATCAAAAATCAAGCGTAAGAAACCTCCTTTGTCTCTTAAAGAAGCCTATGATATGGTTGAAGAAGTAGAATTGATGATGAAGTGGACCGGACTAAGCCTTTAGGACGCAGGTTGATTATGATGATCATAAATTTTCTCTATGTTTTCTTTAGATTTTAATATTTTAGCAAATGAGCCATTGTTTTTTTTTCTTTTGGTATGCATGAGCCATTTCTTTAAGTGAGAAAAGAGACACACAAAAAATTAAACATACACGATTACACGAATCATGTGTGTGACTTCATGCTTGTAATGTAAACCAAGCGATGATTTTGACCTATCCCTGAAATTTTGGGGTTAGGATAGAAAATCTAAGGCCCATTTAAGCCCATCTGATTAAATTCTGAAAAATTATTGTAGACTAAAAGGTCAAAATCGAAATGGATGAATACAAAGCAAAGCCCTAGAATTAGAGAAGTAGAGCACAGAGCAGTGACAACTGACAACAATGGCGGAAACTATGAACAACAGCTTATCTCCAACACCCTACACCAAATCACCCTATTATTTCAATCCAGATTTTCTTCACCAATTCAACATACTCACCAATACATTCGATAAACTCAGCGAAGCCAAAGACAACTACGTCATCTGGAAATTGCGAGTTTTCGATCTCATTCGCTTCACGAACAAAGTCAGGTTCATCGACGGTACTCTCGCGAAACCAGACCCTTCCTCGCCGCACTATGAGCCATGGAAACAAATAAACAATGCAACGCGATTGTTTTGCATTGGCTGAGTAATTCCGTGACAGAGACGCTTCAAAACTATGTGTTGCAAGCAGAGACTGCGCATAAAGCGTGGGAAGATCTCAGACGTAGATTCGTTCCATGTGTTGATTTTAAGATCTACGAGCTTCTTCAGAGACTCGCGACGCTGAGGCAAGGTGGTGACTCTGTGGGGGAGTATTTTGGGAAACTGAGTAAAGCTTGGATGGAGTTGTCAGAGTTTGATCCTGTACAGGAGTGTAAGTGCGGTGGTTGCGGTTGCGAGAGTACGAAACGAGCTAAAGAGGCGAGAGAGAAAGAGCGGCGTTACGCGTTTCTGATGGGTTTGAACAAAGAGTTTGACTATGTGAGAATGAAAATTATGAACAAGAAGAATCCTCCGTCTGTTCACGAAGCTTATGAGATGGTTGTGCGTTCAGAATCGATCATGAAGTGGAACAGGAGCTGAAGAATTTAGGAAATTGCAGGTCCATGATCATAACTTTTCTCTTTAGATTCTAGTGTTTCTTCTTGAATTGTTTTTATAAGCCATATGGGTTTATCAATGTCATATGGAATTAGATGAAGCAGGTCGATGGTCATACTTTTTTCTCTTTAAATTTGAGTTGTTTCTTCTATTTCCGTTTATAGTATATCAGTATCATATGTAATTAGATTCATGAACTGAAAAATTTGCACAAGAGCTCTAAGTTTGGTTATTGACTACTGGTTAGCATATCAACTGAGGGGAATTTCTTTTTCAAAAAGAAAAAAAAAAACTAAGGGGAATTATGAACATGATTATTGATGATCTTCAAAAACATCTTTCAAAGCATTATTGATGATTTCAACAAACAAGTGGCTTTCTCAAACAAAAGAGATACATGTCATTTTGTTAATGCATTTATATCAGCGTCCAGCTTTAATGTCTAATTAGATCAGCATACTGGCATATATACCACAATCACTTGCCTCTTCCAGATTCTAGGAAAAAAATGAAATCGAGAGTGCTAGGGATGATCAAATATGTATAGCGAGACTAACCTATTAGACCCATCGGCGCCAAAACTCTTTATCGTCTGCCATTCAATGGAGCCAAACTCTTCTGATGTCTTTTTTCTACAGTAGAAAATTAAGAAGGGTTGAAGAATCAAGAATGGGTGGGAGAGATTTTGGTGCAAAAATGATTTCACCAGCCTTGTTGGTGCCAGGGGAAGTCATATTGACCAAAGGGAAGGGAAGCTCAAATGTTTGCTTGGACCAATGTTTCTTGCATCCTCTAGTATCCATAAATCAAAACTAGAGAAGCTCAAAGGGTTTCTAGCAATGGAAGCTAACTTCCCTTTGTAATCTATCAATATTGATTCAAAGTCCCGAACTACAACATCCCTAGGGGCTTTGATAAAACTTAGCCTCTCATATCTAACATCAAAACACACAATCACCGGACCATTCATAGTCTAGGGGCCCAAGTACCATAATAGATGGAACCATTGATGCAAAGTCCCTTGGTTACAGGGTAATAAGGAGCTGTGGTAAACTGGTTACGTGTTTCTTGTCCTCCAAGTGTTATAACCTCGTGCACTAGAAAACCAAGATACAGGTCAGGAGAAGACACCAGGTTCAACGCTTTGAACCAACAACATCATATCCCAATGATGCCCGGGGTCCTTTAATTTGGTAAGGTAATCCCTAAAACTTTGGGCTCGGGAGGGGAAATACAAGGCCCATTAAGCCCAACTGTTTATAAAAGGATATTGCGATTTTCTTATTTTGGAAAATTATTTCTTTATTTGAGACTCAAAAAGTCAAAATCGAAAGGGATAAAAAGCAAGCCCTAGGATTTAGAGAGCAGAGCTCAGAGCAGTGACGACAATGGCGGAAACTATCAACAGTGTATCTCCAACATCAGACCCCAATTCACCGTATTATCTCCCTCCAGATATTCATCATCCCGCCGATTTCTCTATCCAAAAACTCAGCGAAGACGAAGACAACTACGTCGTCTGGAAAATTCGATTTCGCTCTTTCCTCCGAATCACGAAAAAAATCAGGTTTATCGACGGTACTCTCCCGCAGCCGGACCCTTCCTCGCCGCTCTATCAGCCATGGGAACAATGCAACGCAATGGTTATGTATTGGCTGATGAGTTCGATGACCGAAAAGCTTCTAGAATCTGTGATGTACGCGGAAACGGCGCATAAAATGTGGGAAGATCTCAGACGTAGACTCGTTCCTTGTGTCGATTTGAAGATTTACCAGCTTCGTCGGAGACTCTCGAAGCTGAGGCAAGGTGGTGACTCTGTTGAGGAGTATTTTGGGAAACTGAGTAAAGTTTGGATGGAGTTGTCAGAGTATGCTCCTGTACCGGAGTGTAAGTGCGGTGGTTGCAATTGCGAGAGTACTAAACGAGCTAAAGAGGCCAGAGAGAAAGAGCAGCGTTACGAGTTTTTGATGGGTTTGAACCAAGGCTTCGAGGCTGTGACGACAAAAATCATGTTCCAGAAACCTCCTCCGTCACTTCACGAAGCTTTCGCTATGGTCAAAGATGCAGAATCGATGATGAAGTGGTACAGGAGATGAAGAATTTAGGAACCAGGTTCATGGTGATCATAACTTTTCTCTATGTTTTTTTTGGGATTCTAGTGTTTCTTATTGACTTGTTTTTGAAGGTGTATTAGTATATTATCAATCTCATATGGAATTAGATTTTTCTGAATTGAAATTTAGCACAAGATTTTTAAATTTGCCAAAAACCAGATCGGTTACTGGTTAGCATACCAAGTAAAGGGAAATATAAACATGATTATTGATGATGTACAAACAATCTCTCAAAGCATTAATGATGAAGTAACAAAGAAGTACTGGTTTTCTTTTCTTACAAACAAAAGAGATACATGTGAATTTGTAATATCAGCGGCCAGTTTCAATGTCCAATATTGCTACATTCTTGATGCTGTCATAGCCAATTCTGCTACTCGTTTCGCCTTGTGATGACAAGAGGTGACCACCAATCAAGTGTTCATTCTCCTCAGGATACTGATCCGACCACTTTTGTTTGGTTGTTTTGACTCTCAAGGCTTCTAGCTCTGCAGCTACTTCTTTCATCTTTGGCCTTTCCTCTCCCACCACTCTTGTACATTCTGCAGCAATTCTTGCAACTTCCTGGATCTCCCTCAGATTATCCTCGTTCATCACTTGGCTGTCAGTTATCTCATCCAACCTATTCTCTTTCGTGGCAGACGTAAAGTAACTCACCAGATGTTTTGAGCATTGTGGCCGTTTAAAGCACAATGCCTTTTCGCCTGATAGCAGTTCCATTAGGACTACCCCAAAGCTAAAAACATCGCTCTTTTCATTTAGAAGCCCCGTGGTAAAGTATTCTGGGTCGAGGTAACCTAGAGTTCCTTGCACCATAGTTGCAAGGTCTTCTTTATCCATTGGTATCAGCCTTGAAGCACCAAAGTCAGCTACTTTTGCAATTAAGTTTTCATCGAGAAGAATATTTGCAGTTTTGACATCCCGATGGATGATTGGAATAGAAGCAGAGGAGTGAAGATATGCAAGAGTTCCAGCGACTTCTATTGCTATCCTCAGACGGTGTTCCCATGTAAGCGAAGAATCAAACATGGAACCATGCAAGTGATCGAAAAGGGTGCCATTAGTGATGAACTCATAGACCAACAAGGGAACTTCAGTCTCTAAACAGCAGCCCAAGAGCTTGACCACGTTCCTATGGTTGATTTGTGAAAGCACTAGCACTTCGTTGATGAACTGCTCTACTTGGCTACTGTCTCCAAGCCGAGCTTTCTTTATAGCAACTATGGAGTTGTCCGGCAATATCCCCTTGTACACTGTTCCTTGGCCTCCCTGACCCAGGATCCTGCTCTCATCATAACCATTAGTTGCTTTCTTCATGCCTTCCTCAGTAAAGATTTTGACATCAACATTTGACGGCCCTGCTCCTGAGAGTCGCTGTGTCAACATGCCGCCACCATTTTGCTCGAAGAATTGTTGTCGGAGCTTGGTGTCCTCCTGGTGCTTCATTTTCTGTTGTATAAAGCCAACGCCAAGCAGGATGACCAAGAAGCCGATGGTGGTTACTGATCACACACATCGTATATTCAGAGAGATGATTATAGTGAGTTGATCTGGGAAACATCAAGTCCAGAATCAGTGAGGGAAACTTACCAAGAAGAATTGTAGTCCATCCAAACTCTTTACGCTTGCAGCTCATAGTGGTGGTATCTAAGCGGTAGCCAGATTTGCACTTACAATAGAAGCCTCCAACCTTGTTTCTACAGGTATTGGGGTCCGAACAGTTATGTCTATGGATAGTACTACTAGTAGTACACTCATTGACGTCTGGCCCATGGAAAAAGAACGCAAGATTCAACAAGATATGTAATGGGAAAAATATTAATACTCAGAACATGAAAGAAATAAGAACCTTGGCAACCAGCGGGAAGGTATGGATTCCCATCAAAGCCTTCATTGCATCTGCAGATATACCCGGTTCTAGTAGTAGAATCGAAACAAGTGCTGTTCCCACCGCATATGCTTGTGTTTCCAACTTGCTCGCATGTCTGACTTCCAATAGACCAATCTACTAACACAGGGAACCTCCTGACATTTCGCAGATTCTTAAGATCATCTGAAGAACTGAAGTTGAACTTATCATTTTCAGTGAGAAAGGCGTAGGTGCAAGGATTAAACTGATGCACAGCAGTATGGTTGTCAAAGCTATGTGGTTTTACTCTGACAAAAGAGCTTCCTCTAGGGACAGGGGTCTGGCAGCAACCTTCACCAGAACATGATCCTTTTTTCGATGGGACAGAATCACACATTGACATGCATCCAGTTGAGTAATTTTCAGCTCCAGATGTGCGGAGAAATGCGTAACTGTTACAACCTACTACAGTAAATTTGTTGTGTTCAGAGAGAGTGAAACTAGCCAGGGAGGTCCTCCGGGCCCTGTAGCCAGTCTTTTTTCCTTGACTGTCGTAGCAAACTTTGGATCTAACAAGCAGAACACGAAGCTGGCCGCTGAGAGAAATGTTGATGACTGGCTTGTGGCCAAACAAGAGCTTCTCTTTCTCGTTGCAAGTAAGATTGAAACTATTATCTTCGGGATAGAAGCAACCTGGAGAAGTGCCAAAAGGGTACTCAACTGAGACATTGCCACATTTAGTTTGGCAATCGTTGCGAGGTTGCGCCTTCACCAGCTGCGTATAAGCAAGGTAGAAAATAGCCACCAAGAACACACCCTCCTGTGCCTTCATCTTCTACCTCTCTTCTCTCTTTCTTTCTCTCTCACTCTCTAACTTTGTTCCTCTTTTGAGTTTCTCGCGAATCTCCTTTTTCTTATAAGAAACCCCTGTAAATATGAAACGTTCTCTTCACTCATTTTCGCAGGCCCGTTCCCATTTTCCCATAAATTGCAAGAAGACTAAAATTCAGTGTAACCAGTGAACTGTGACAACTATATTTTAACAGTGACATCTATAGGTCTTGGTCTTCCTGTATAGTATTTAAACAGTGACAACTATAGGTCTTGGTCTTCTCGTCTTTTCTTGATATCTTGTTTGTTACTGAGGAAACCAATTTGGTTTTGTTAACAGTGACACTTATTTTCTTACTATTCAAAGACTATGACAGTTGCAACTTGAAAGGAATTTTCAAATGTGAAGACCCTCTTAGTCAACTTCAGTCTTGGTCCTCTCTTATTTTCTCGACATTACAAGGCAAATTTACTCTTATTAGTGAATTTCACATTCAAAACAATTTTTTTGATTACGAGTTGTTTTTTTCCCACATTATGACATTTTGAATAAAAAATTGTTTTGAATAGAGCATGTTGTGATCAGGATTTAGGTTTTCCAAAAGATTTACTAGCCCAAAACATCCGCAATGGCTTAATCTACATAGATAAACGAGCTTCACGGTGACTATCTGCAGCATACAGTTCAATGAATTCTTGTGCATATATTACCTTCTGAGCAAAAGCAAACAAAAACACTAAAATATGAACAACAATAAAAGAAATACACATGTCATAAAATGCAAATCATCAGTGGTATGATAACAAACTAGTTTGCTTGGTGTTGAAAAACCAACGCTTAAATAGTTAAATATTTGAATAAAAGAAGAAAAAAACAGAGTCTGTCAAACTCTTACATTAAGGTCCTTAAAAAAAAACACATTACAAGGAGGCAGGCAATACTTTCAACGTGTTCGGGTGAAATAGAGACGCACATATCGTGTATGAGTCTATATCGGCGACAAAACTCTTTGTCGTCTGCAATTCCATGGAGCCTAACTCTTCTGATGTATACATTGAATTGAAGTAGAAAATGAAGAAGCGTTAAAGAATGGGTGGGAGAGATTTTGGGGCAAAAATGATTTCACCAGCCTTGTTGATGCCCGGGGAAGTCAAATGTTTGCTTGAACCAATCATGTTTCTCGACATCCTCTAGTATCCATAAATCAAAACTAGAGAAGCTCAAAGGGTGGGTTTCTTGCAATGGAAGCTAACTTCCCTTTGTCTTCTAGCAATATTGAATCACACTCCAGAACCACAACATCCCTAGGGGCTTTGATAAAACTTAGCCTCTCATATCTAACATGAAAACACACAATCACCGGATCCATTCTTAGTCTAGGAGCCCAAGCACCATAATAGATGGGACCATTGATGCAAAGTCCCTTGGTTTCAGGGTAATAAGGAGCGTTGGTATACTGATTGCGTGATTCTCCTCCTCCTCCTCCAAGTGTTATAACTTCGTGCACAGTGCACTAGAAAACCAAGATACAGGTCAGGAGAAGACACCAGGTTCAACGCTTTGAATTGATGACCAACAGGATCATATCCCAATGTGCGCGGGGTTCTTTCTTTAATGGGTAAGGTAATCCCTGAAACTTTGGGCTCCGGAGGGGAAATATAAGGCCCATTAAGCCCAACTGTTTTCGAATATTGATTTCTTTATTTGGGACTAAAAAAGTCAAAATCGAAAGGGATAAAAAAGCAAGCCCTAGAATCGAAAGAGACACAGTGACGACAATGGCGGAAACTATCAACAGTGTATCTCCATCATCAGACCCCAATTCACCGTATTATCTCCCTCCAGATATTCATCATCCCGCCGATTTCTCTATCGAAAAACTCAGCGAAGCCGAAGACAACTACGTCATCTGGAAATTTCGATTTCGCACTTTCCTCGAACTCACGAACAAAATCGGGTTCATCGACGGAACTCTACCGCAGCCAGAACCTTCCTCGCCGCTCTATCATCCATGGAAACGATGCGACGCATTGGTTAAGTATTGGCTGACGAATTTGATGTGCGAAAAGCTTGTAAAGTCTGTGTTGTACGCGAAGACTGCGCATCAAGCGTGGGAAAATCTCAGACTTAGATTCGTTCCATGCGTCGATTCAAAGATCTACGAGCTTCGTCGGAGACTCGTGACGCTGAGGCAAGGTGGTGACTCTGTGGCGGAGTATTTTGGGAAACTGAGTAAAGTTTGGATGGAGTTGTCTGAGTATGATCCTGTACCGGAGTGTAAGTGCGGTGGTTGCAATTGCGAGAGTACGAAACGAGCTCAAGAGGCGAGAGAGAAGGAGCAGCGTTACGAGTTTTTGATGGGTTTGAACCAAGGCTTTGAGGTTGTGACGACAAGGATCATGTTCCAGAAACCTCCTCCGTCACTTTACGAAGCTTACAATATGGTTCAAGGAGCAGAATTGACGATGAAGAGGTACAGAAGATGAAGAATTTTAGGAACCAGGTCAATGATCATAACTTTCTCTATGTTATGCATTTTTTTTTTTATAAAGATTGTAGTGTTTCTTATCGACTTGTTTTTGATGCCATATTGGTATAACATCAATGTCATATGGAATTAGAATGATGAACTGATAATTGGTAATTTGCTATTTTGCTATTTTGCAAAAGAGTTTCTAAGTTTGCCGATAACCAGATTGGCTACTGGTTAGTATCCCAAGGGGAATTATGAACATGATTATTGATGATTTATAAATATTCTTTCAAAGCATTATTAATGAAGCAACAAAGAAGTGCAGTAGAGTTTCTTTTCTTACAAACAAAAGAGATACATGTGAATTTGTAATATCAGCGGCCAGTTTCAATGTCCAATATTGCTACATTCTTGATGCTGTCATAGCCAATTCTGCTACTCGTTTCGCCTTGTGATGACAAGAGGTGACCACCAATCAAGTGTTCATTCTCCTCAGGATACTGATCCGACCACTTTTGTTTGGTTGTTTTGACTCTCAAGGCTTCTAGCTCTGCAGCTACTTCTTTCATCTTTGGCCTTTCCTCTCCCATCACTCTTGTACATTCTGCAGCAATTCTTGCAACTTCCTGGATCTCCCTCAGATTATCCTCGTTCATCACTTGGCCGTCAATAATCTCATGAAACCTATTTTCTTTCATGGCAGAAGCAAAGTAACTCACCAGATGTTTGGAGGACTGTGGCCGTTTAAAGCACAATGCCTTTTGACCTGAGAGCAGTTCCATGAGGACTACCCCAAAGCTGTAAACATCGCTCTTTTCATTTAGCAACCCTGTGTTGTAATATTCTGGGTCTAAATAGCCGAGAGTTCCTTGCACCATAGTTGCGAGCTCTTCTTTATCCATTGGTATCAGCCTTGAAGCACCAAAGTCAGCTACTTTTGCTGTTAAGTTTTCATCCAGAAGAATATTAGCAGTCTTGACATCGCGGTGAATTATTGGAATAGAAGCAGAGGAGTGAAGATATGCAAGAGTTCCAGCGATTTCTATTGCTATACTTAGACGGTGTTCCCATGTTAGTGAAGAATCAAACATGGAACCATGCAAGTGATCGAAAAGAGTGCCATTGGTGATGAACTCATAGACCAACAAGGGAACTTCAGTCTCTAGACAGCAGCCCAAGAGCTTGACCACGTTCCTATGATTGATTTGTGAAAGTACGAGCACTTCGTTGATGAATTGCTCTACTTGGCTACAGTCTCCAAGTCGAGCTTTCTTTATAGCAACTATGGAATTGTCTGGCAATATCCCTTTGTAGACTGTTCCCTGGCCTCCCTGGCCCAGTATTCTGCTCTCATGATAACCATTTGTTGCTTCCTTCATTCCTTCCTCAGTGAAGATTTTGACATCAACTTCTGATGGCCCTGCTCCTGAGACTCGCTGTATCAACATGCCGCCACCATTTTGCTCAAAGAATTTTTGTCGGAGCTCAGTGTCCTTTCGGTGCTTCATTCTATGTTGTATACAGATAACGCCAAGCAGGATGACCAAGAAGCCAGTGGTGGTTCCTGATCACACACATTATAAATACACAGAGATGATTAGAGTGAGTTGATATGAGAAACAGTAAGTCCAGAATCAGGAGGGAAGCTTACCAAGAAGAATCATAGGCCATCCAAACTCTTTACGCTTGCAGCTCATAGTGGTGGTATCTAAGCGGTAACCAGATTGGCACTTACAATAGAAGCCTCCAACCTTGTTTCTACAGGTGTTGGGGTCCGAACAGTTATGTTTATATATAGTGCTACTAGTAGTACACTCATTGACGTCTGGCCCAAAGAAAAAGAACGCATGTTTCAACAAGATATGTAATGGGAAAAATATTAATACACAGAACATGAAAGAAAGAATAACCTTGGCAACCAGGTGAAAGGTATGGGTTCCCATCAAAACCTTCATAACATCTGCAGACATACCCGGTTCTAGTAGTCGAATCGAAACAAGTGCTGTTCCCACCGCATATGCTTGTGCTTCCAACTTGCTCGCATGTCTGATTTCCAATAGACCAATCTAGTAACACAGGGAACCTCATGACATTTCGCAGATTCTTCAGATCTTCTGAAGAACTGAAGTTGAACTTATCATCTTCAACGAGAAAAGCGTAGGTGCAAGTACTAAAGTGGTGAAAAGAAGTCTGGTGCAGGAAGCGACGTGAGCCAAATTGGAATTCATAGCTATCCAACGGGAGAGAAACATCCGTTCTGCAGCAACCTCTACCATCACATTCTCCATTAGCCTCCGGGGGAGAATCGCATAATGACATGCATCCAGTTGAGTAATTTTGCATTCCAAAAGTGGCCAGAAGTGCGAAGGCGTTACAGCCTACTGCAGTTAACTTGTTGTTGCCGGAAAGAGATAAATTATCCAGTGTAAGAGATCTGTAATCTGACATAGTTTCATTTCCTTGCTCGTCGTAGCAAGTAGATGATCGATTAAGCAGAACTTGTAGCTGGCCGCTGTGATTAAAGTTTGTCACTTCAATGTCGCTTAAGACATGTGGCCTATCTTCCTTACAGGTGATACTGAAACTTTCATTTCCGGGATAGTAACAACCTGAAGAAATGCCAAAAGGGTACTCGATTTTGATGTTGCCACATTTAGTTTGGCAATCCTCGGGAGGTTGATGTTGCCCCTTGACCAGCTGCGCATACGCAAAGGAGAAAAAAGCCACCAAGAACAAACTCTCCTGCACCTTCATCTTCTACCTCTCTTCTCTCTTTCTAACTTTGTTCCTCTTTAATTTGAGTTTTGGCTAATCTCCTTTTTCTTATAAGAAACCACTGTACTTGAAATGTTCTCTTCACTCATTTTCGCGGGCCCCTTCCCATTTTCCTAGAAATTGCAAGAATACTAAAAATTTAATTGCACAACCAATGTAACCCGTGAAGAGGACGTTTATGTATGCTGCTGCATATTCCTGTATAGTATCCTAACAGCCACGTACGTTTGCTTCTGTTAAACAGTGACAACTATAGGTCTCGGTCCTCTCGTCTTTTCTTGATATCTTGTTAGTTAGTGAGGAAACCAAGTTGGTTTTTTTAACAGTGACACTTATTTTCTTACTATTCAAAGATTTAAGACAGTTGATAGTTGCAACTTGCAAGGAATATTCAATGTGAAGACCCTCTTAGTCAACTTCAGTCTCGGTCCTCTCTTCTTTACTCGATATTACAAGGCAAATTTACTCTTTTTCTTAACAGTTAATTTCACACTCAAAACAATTTCTTATTCAAATATGAAAATTGCCTTAGTTATAGTGATGAGGTAGGAAATTCCTACATGCTCCTGATCACAACATGCTCTGTTTTTCTTTTATTACGAGTTTTTTTTTTCTCAACAATATGACATCACATTCAGACATTTTTTTGAGTCATAAATCGAAGTTTAAGAACTTTACATGTAGATACCACTTTACGATGAGATGATTAAACAAAGATGAAGATGATCGATATACATGTAAATAAGTTAATATATGTTTTTTGGGATCAGATTAGTAATAATACACCCCATCCTACTAGAAAGAAATCGATCATAGTGATCATCTGATATGTCCTTGAAGCGTTTCAACATTTCTTCCCTCATGTCACTGTTTACTCTTCAAGACTTTGGCAGACCATACATTTAAAAGGTCTTATAGAGGTAATTCTATCAACTAAATAAAAGAGATCTTTATTTCTGAAGCAAAATGAAATGAATTACAAGATTGATCTTTTACTCCATAAGAAAGGAAACATATACATAATCTTACGAGTAAAAATGTAGCTAATGTTAACTGAATAAGTACCAAACTGACGTTAAATACCGATTACTCCATGTTTCTCCGGCTTGTGGGACATAAGTGGCTCACTTTGATTGTCTTGTCAACTAATCTCAATATGGAAGTTATAGTAGGAACCCTCATTACTAAACATCATATATTTTGACAAAAACAAATTCAGAGATTTGATGGGATCAAGCAAAATCTTGTGCAACAAGAATGATAAGTTAATTTAGAAAATGCATATACTAAAATTTTAGATGAGTAACGAAAATAGGTCAAGCTGTCATTTATTTTTTTGAGTTTATCAAGCAACAAACAAGAATCATATGGTTTGGTTTGAGATGGTTTATAACTTTTGGTTCAGGAGGAGATATTGAAGGCCCATTTAAGCCCAAATATCTAGTTTTGACTTTTTTTTTGTTTCCTTTATTTTGAAAAAGTTATATTAAAAAAAAAAAAAACACAAGATCGAAAGGTATTAGAAACGAACAGAAACAAAAAAAAACTCAAGAGCAGTGACAATGGCGCAAAGTATCCCAAATCTCCTTATTATCGCCATCCAGATGAAAAACCAGACTACAATCCGACGATACTTACACTCAGCCAAGCCAACGACAATTACTTCATCTGGAAGAATGAAATTCACTTTTTCCTTCAAATCAAGAACAAAACCGGGTTTATCGACGGCACCATCGAGACACCTGACCTTTTCTCGCCGCTCTTTCATCTATGGAACCGATGAAACGCGATGATCAAGTGTTGGATGATTCATTCCTTGAGCAAAGAGCTTCAACACTATGCCTTTTACGCTGATTCGGCGTATAAATTGTGGGAGGATCTCAGATTGTTATTCGTTTCGTACCGAGTGTTGATTTAAAGATTTACGAGCTTCGTCAAAAATCGCGATGATGAGTCAAGATGGTGACTCTGTGGATAGATATTCCGCGAAATTTAGGTAGGCTTGGATGGAGTTGGCTGCGTACGATCCCGTGCCGGAGTGTTCGTGCCAGAAACGAGCAAAAGAGGCTAGAGAGAAGGAGAAGGGTTACGCGTTTCTGATGGTGATGGGTTTGAACAAAAGTCTAAGCAATGTGAGAACGCAAGTCTTGCTCAAGAATCCTTCTCCGTCTCTTGACCAAGCTTACTCTCTGGTTGAGGAAGCGGTTTCGACTATGAACTCGACCAGGTGCTGAAGATTTCGATGATCATATTCATAGTATACTTACTCTCCTCTGTTTTTGACGCCTACTTTAAATTCTAGTCTTTCTTCTTCTCGAGTTATTTTTTTTTTTTTTTTTAATTAAGCACAATTATATATTAATGTCATATGGAATCATATTTATGACTCTAGCTAGATTTTCTAATACCGAATCGGCTACTGGTTACCATACAAAGTTATAAGAGAATTGTGAACATGATTATATATGGATGATCTACAAGGATCTCAATGTTGTTGAATGTCATGTTTTGATATTCTGGTTTTTAAATGGTTAGAAAGACAAAGAGGAGATAAACAATACTTTTTCACAAACAAAATTTATCAGCGGCCAGCTTCAATGTCAAGCAATGCTACATTCTTGATGTTGTCATAACCACGACTAATGGTATCGCCTTGTGCAGACACGATGTTACTACCAAGAAAGTGTTCATTCTCCTCTGGATACTGATCCGACCACTTACGTTTGGTTATTTTGACGCTCAAAGTTTCTAGCTCTACAACTACTTCTTTCATCCTTGGCCTTTCTTCTCCCATCAGTCTTGTACATTCAATAGCAACTCTTGCAGCTTCATGGATTTCCCTCTGATTGTCCTCGTTCAACACTTGGTCGTCAATAATCTCATGCAACCTATTCTCTTTCGTGGCAAAAACAAAGTAACTCACCAAATGTTTTGAATTCTGTGGCCGTTCAAAGCACAATGCCTTCTGACCTGAGAGCAGTTCCATGAGGACTACCCCAAAGCTATAAACATCGCTCTTTTCGTTCAAAAGCCCTGTGGTATAGTATTCTGGGTCTAAATAGCCGAGGGTGCCTTGCACCATAGTTGTTAGCTGCTCTTTATCCATTGGTATCAACCTTGAAGCGCCAAAGTCAGCTACTTTTGCAGTTAAGTTTTCATCCAAGAGAATATTTTCAGTTTTGATATCGCGATGGATGATTGGAATAGAAGCTGCGGAGTGAAGATATGCTAGAGCTCCAGCGACTTCTATCGCTATCCTCAGGCGGTGTTCCCATGTAAGTGAAAAATCAAACATAGAACCGTGCAAGTGATCGAATAGAGTGCCACTGGAAATGAACTCATAGACCAACAAAGGAACTTCAGTCTCTAGACAGCAACCCAAGAGTTTGACCACGTTCCTATGGTTGATTTGTGAAAGCACGAGCACTTCGTTGATGAACTGCTCTACTTGGCTACTGTCTCCAAGCCGAGCTTTCTTTATAGCAACTATGGAGTTGTTTGGCAGTGTCCCTTTGTAGACTGTTCCTTGGCCTCCCTGGCCCAAGATTCTGCTCTCATCATAACCATCAGTTGCTTCCTTCATGCCTTCCTCAGTAAATATTTTGACATCATCATTTGTTGGCCCTGCTACTGAGAGTCGCTGTATCAACATGCCACCACCATTTTGCACAAAGAATTGTTGTCGCAGCTCGGTGTTTTTCCGGTGCTTCATTTTCTGTTGTATATAGCTAATGGTAAGCAGGATGATCAGGAATCCGGTGGTGGTTCCTGATCACATGTCAGACAAACAAAGATCATAAAGCCCAAGTCTTTCTGGAAACAAATGAATCAAAAACGAGTGAAGAGAGCTTACCAAGAAGAACAATAGTCCATCCTAAGTACTTAGGCTCTTCTTCTTTAGGTGTGTCAGTGCAGCTGCTCATAGTAGTGGTATTTAAGTCACGACCAGATGGGCACTTACAAAGGAAGCTTCCAAGCGTGTTTTCACAGGTGCTAGGATCCGAACAGTTATGTCTACGAGTTGTACACTCATTGATGTCTGGTCCAAGGAAAAATAGCCCAAGATGCAACAAGAAATGTATGTATGAGGAAAGCAATTAACACTCTAAAGAAAGAAGAAAGAAATGAATATGAAGTACCTTGGCAACCGTCTAAAAGGTATGGATTCCCATTGTAACCATCTTTACATTTGCAGATATAACCCTTTCCACGAGTAGAATCAAAACATTTTGTGTTCCCACCGCATATGCTTGTGCTTCCAGCTTGCTCGCATGTCTTGTTTCCAATAGCCCAATCCAGTGCCACAGGGAACCTCGTGACATTTCGCAGATTCTTAAGATCTTGTGAAGAATTGAAGTTAAACTTACCATCTTCAACGAGAAAAGCGTAGGTGCAAGGATTAAACTGATATACCGAAGTATTAAATAGATCTACGGATTTAATAGTTTGGTTCCCCAAGCGAGCTGAGCCATATTGGAATTGATAGCTATCCGACGGGACAGAGAAGTCCTCTGTTCTGCAGCAACCAACACCATTACATTCTCCATTTGCCTCCGGTTGAGAATCGCATAATGACAAGCATCCAGTTGAGTAGTTTTGCTTCCCAAAAGTGCTTAGAAGTGCTAAAGCGTTACAGCCTACTAAAGTAAACTTGTTTCTGGGGGAGAGAGAGAAACTACTACCTAGCCGATACCAGATGGAAGTTTCATTAGTCTCATTTCTCTGCTCGTCGTCGCAATCAGAGGATCGGTTAAACAGAACACTTAGCTTGGCGGCACTGTGATTAAAGTTCACCACTTCAACGTTGATGCCTATGAAGAGCTTCTCTTTCTCGTCGTCGCAAGTGACATTGAAACTATCATATTCGTCATAGTAACAGCCTGGAGAAATGCCAAAAGGGTACTCTATTTTGAGGTTGCCACATCTAGTTTGGCAATCGTGGCGAGGTTGATGTTGCCCCTTCACCAGCTGTGTATATCCAAGGAAGAAGAAAATAGCCACCAAGAACACACCCTCCTGCAACTTCATCTTCTACCTTTCTTTTTTGTTTTTTTTTTTCTCTCTAAATGTGTTATTTCTCTTTGAATATTCTCTCGTTGCTTATTCGCATCATATAGGTTGAAAACAAACCCTTGTTTTGATAACGTTGAATTATCTACCATACTAAAATTCAATCAAGACAATGTCAATGTAATGTTTAAGTATACCACTCCATCTTCTCATGTTATATATCCCAACGTAAGTCTGCTCCCAAGTTTAAGTCGTCTAAGTGACTTTTATTTTTGCAGCCATGCAGGACTCAAATAAATCTTCAAATGTGAAGAAAACTAGAAAAGTAAAGATTTTAGACTCATACGTTCAAGAAATTTAAATGCGTCAACTTCAATCTCTGTCCCTTCTTTCTTTTCTTGATTTTCCACCTCATAACAATTTATTATTTTGGTGAAAAAAGAAAAAGAAAAAAATTTATTATTCAAATATGAACACTGCGTTGTAGAGACAAGGTAGGAGGAATATATAGTTTTTTTTTATTTTAATACTGAGTTTATAAATGTCAACAAATTCTCGAAGCATTCGAATAGTTCTTGCCTGATCATGTCGCTGCTTACTCTTTAAGAGGATCTCTATTAGAAATTTCCATGCAAACCCACCACTTTCACCAAAAGAAACCAGAGTCACTACAAGAAACTGCGAAAAAATCTTGAGAAAAACTTAAAATACACTGTTTGATGATTACGACAGACCAGACATAGAGACTATAATAGATCTAACTACCTGAAGTAAAATAAAATAAAATGAGTTACAAGATTGATTGTTTACTTCATAATATAATAAACATAAATTTTCAGTTCTAGTCTTATGAGTATAATATATCTACTATTAAACGAATAACTACTGAAATGCCGTTTAAATTTTGATGAAAACCGGCTATTTCATGATTCTCCGATGATGATGGCACATTTTGATATATTAATGTCATATGGAATCATATTTATATGAACTCTAGCTAGATTTTCTAATACCGAATCGGCTACTAGTTAGCATACAAATATAGGAAACATGATTATGGATAATTTACAATGATCTCAATGTTGTTGAATGTCATGTTTTGATATTTTGATGTTTAAATGTTTAAAAGAACAAAGAGGAGATAAGCAATAAAGAAATAACAATACTTTTTCAGAAACAAAAGATATACATGTGAATTTATCAGCGGCCAGCTTCAATGTCAAACCTTGCTACATTCTTGATGCTGTCATAACCACGGCAACTGATATCGCCTTGTGCAGACACGATGTGACCACCCAGCAAGTGTTCATTCTCCTCAGGATTCTGATCCGACCACTTATGTTTGGTTGTTTTGACTCTCAAGGCCTCTAGCTCTGCAGCTACTTCTTTCATCCTTGGCCTTTCCTCTCCCATTATTCTTGTACACTCAACAGCAATTCTTGCAGCTTTCTGGATCTCCATCTCATTATCCTCGTTCATCACTTGGCCATCAATAATCTCATGCAACCTATTCTCTTTCGTGGCAGAGGCAAAGTAACTCACCAGATGTTTTGAAGTCTCTGGCCTTTCAAAGCACAATGCCTTTTCACCTGATAGCAGTTCCATGAGGACTACCCCAAAGCTATAAACATCACTTTTTTCGTTGAGAAGCCCTGTGGTATAGTATTCTGGGTCTAAATAGCCGAGAGTGCCTTGCACCATAGTTGTTAGCTGCTCTTTATCCATTGGTATCAACCTTGAAGCGCCAAAGTCAGCTACTTTTGCAGTTAAGTTTTCATCCAAGAGAATATTTTCAGTTTTGATATCGCGATGGATGATTGGAATAGAAGCAGCGGAGTGAAGATATGCTAGAGCTCCAGCGACTTCTATCGCTATCCTCAGGCGGTGTTCCCATGTAAGTGAAAAATCAAACATAGAACCGTGCAAGTGATCGAAAAGAGTGCCACTGGAAATGAACTCATAGACCAACAAAGGAACTTCAGTTTCTAGACAGCAACCCAAGAGTTTGACCACGTTCCTATGGTTGATTTGTGAAAGCACGAGCACTTCGTTGATGAACTGCTCAACTTGGCTACGGTCTCCAAGCCGAGCTTTCTTTATAGCAACTATGGAGCTGTTTGGCAGTATCCCTTTGTAGACTGTTCCCTGGCCTCCCTGGCCTAGGATTCTGCTCTCATCATAACCATCAGTCGCTTCCTTCATGCCTTCCTCAGTAAATATTTTGACATCAACATTTGATGGCCCTGCTACTGAGAGTCGCTGTATCAACATGCCACCACCATTTTGCACGAAGAATTGTTGTCGCAGCTCAGTGTTTTTCCGGTGCTTCATTTTCTGTTGTATATAGCTAATGGTAAGCAGGATGATCAAGAATCCGGTGGTGGTTCCTGATCACATGTCAGACAAACAAAGATCATAAGGCACAAGTCTTTCTGGAAAACAAATGAATGATAAACGAGTGAAGAGAGCTTACCAAGAAGAACAATAGTCAATCCTAAGTACTTAGGCTCTTCTTCTTTAGGTGTGTCAGTGCAGCTGCTCATAGTAGTTGTATTTAACTCACGGCCAGATGGGCACTTACAAAGGAAGCTTCCAAGCGTGTTTTCACAGGTGCTAGGATTCGAACAGTTATGTCTACCAGTAGTACACTCATTGATGTCTGGTCCAAAGCAAAATAGCCCAAGATGCAACAAGAAATGTATGTATGAGGAAAACATTCAACACTCAAAAGAAGAAAGGAAGAAAAAGAAATGAATATGAAGTACCTTGGCAACCGTCTAAAAGGTATGGATTCCCATCAAAACCATCTTTACATTTGCAGATATAACCCTTTCCCCGAGTAGAATCAAAACATTTTGTGTTCCCACCGCATATGTTTGTGCTTCCAACTTGCTCGCATGTCTTGTTTCCAATAGACCAATCCAGTGCCACAGGGAACCTTGTGACATTCCGCAGATTCCTAAGATCTTGTGAAGAATTGAAGTTAAACTTACCATCTTCAACGAGAAAAGCGTAGGTGCAAGGATTAAACTGATATACCGAAGTATTAAATAGATCTACGGATTTAATAGTTTGGTTCCCCAAGCGAGCTGAGCCATATTGGAATTGATAGCTATCCGACGGGACAGAGAAGTCCTCTGTTCTGCAGCAACCAACACCATTACATTCTCCATTTGCCTCCGGTTGAGAATCGCATAATGACAAGCATCCAGTTGAGTAGTTTTGCTTCCCAAAAGTGCTCAGAAGTGCTAAAGCGTTACAGCCTACTAAAGTAAACTTGTTCTTGGGGGAGAGAGAGGAACTACTACCTAGCCGATACCAGATGGAAGTTTCATTAGTCTCATTTCTCTTCTCGTCGTCACAATCAGAGGATCGGTTAAACAGAACACTTAGCTGGGCGGCGCTGTGATTAAAGTTCACCACTTCAACGTTGATGCCTATGAAGAGCTTCTCTTTCTCGTTGTCGCAAGTGACATTGAAACTATCATATTCGTCATAGTAACAGCCTGGAGAAATGCCAAAAGGGTACTCTATTTTGAGGTTGCCACATCTAGTTTGGCAATCGGGGCGAGGTTGATGTTGCCCCTTCACCAGCTGCGTGTATCCAAGGAAGAAGAAAATAGCCACCAAGAACACACCCTCCTGCAACTTCATCTTCTACCTTTCTTTTTTGTTTCTTTTTCTCTCTAAATGTGTTATTTCTCTTTGAATATTCTCTCGTCGCTTATTCATTCGCATCATATAGGTTGAAAACAAACCCTTGTTTTGACATCGTTGAATTATCTACCATACTAAAATTCAATCAAGACAATGTCAATGTAATGTTTAAGTATACCACTCCATATTCTCATTTTATATATCCCAACGTAAGTCTGCTCCCAAGTTTAAGTCGTCTAAGTGACTTTTATTTTTGCAGCCATGCAGGACTCAAATAAATCTTCAAATGTGAAGAAAACTGGAAAAGTAAAGATTTTAGACTCATACGTTCAAGAAATTTAAATGCGTCAACTTCAATCTCTGTCCCTTCTTTCTTTTCTTGATTTTCCACCTCAAAACAATTTATTATTTTGGTGAAAAAAAGAAAAAAAAATAAAATTTATTATTCAAATATGAACACTGCGTTGTAGACACAAGGTAGGAGGAATATATAGTTTCTTTTTTTTTTTTTTTTTTTTTATACTGAGTTTATAAATGTCAACAAATTCTCGAAGCATTCGAATAGTTCTGCCTGATCATGTCGCTGCTTACTCTTTAAGAGGATCTCTATTAGAAATTTCCATGCAAACCCACCACTTTCACCAAAAGAAACCAGAGGATCACTACAAGAAACTGCGAGAAAATCTTGAGAAAAACTTAAAATACACTGTTTGATGATTACGACAGACCAGAGACTATAAAGGTATAGACGTATAGTAGAGGTAGCTTTGTCAATTTACTAAAATAAATCTAACTACCTGAAGTAAAATAAAATGAGTTACAAGATTGATCGTTTACTTCATAATATAATCATACATATAAAAGTAGGGTTTCACTCTCCCATGATTGGTCCACTTGGCATTTTTATTTTTAAAATATAATATTTATTTTAAATTAAACTTAAAATATAAAACATTTAATCTATACATTAATCCACACTTTAAATCCACACTTTACTACTCAATTGTAACTGAAATTACATAATTGTGAATTGATTATTTTTTTCTCTATTCATTGTCATTTAAACACACTATAATTATAATTGTAACTCCTATAATCTAATTAGTTTAGAAATGTAACTTCCATCACTTATTTTCCTATAAATAACCACTCTCACATCCTCCTCCACTATGTCTCAAATCCTAAATATTCTCTTTGTTTTGTTTATGTTTTTACATGGGTTGAAAACTCAATTAAGATATCATTGTAAGAGTTTAATTATATGTTTTGTTTAAAATATATCTTAAATTCTTTTCAGTTTTATTTCTTCTTTGTTTCTATGTACTTCGTCCTTCATTCTTTGCATTTTTATAATATTTTTTAATTTAAAATAACATATGCATAATATAATTTTGATGACTATGACAAAAATTACCTTATTGATGCAGATTCAAAAATATTAATTAGGACCATCGCAAAATAAGGGAATCATGCTAAAGAAACTATCTCCATTTTTTTATTTTTGATGTTTGATTATTTCTTACATATTCATGTATATGTATTTTATTTTTAAAAGTATGCAATGTTTTAACGAAATAAGTTTTTGTAATACAATTATCAAATTAATTTTCCTTAACTCTCTCTTACCTCCAAAAAAATTGTACTACATATAATTAGTATACTAATCATTATATTTAGTTTTTTTTTATTCAACATATATTATATAAAAATCATTAAAAATTGTATTTAATTCAAATTTTGTAGTGTAAAAAGTTTGCTATATATAAAAAAAAATTGATATTCCATTTCCAATCTAGCTTGTACTACAAATATGAAATCATTAGAATTAAACCTACCAATATAACTTAAATTAAGAGGAATATAAAAAGAGATTAAACAAGGGAAATTGTTAATAATGCCACTTTTTCAATGCCACTTTTCAAAAATACCTCTTTTTTAAAATCTTATAAAAAATGCTCTTAAAAATATAAGATTTACCCAAATATGTATGTAATATTATTAAAACATACACAAACTACATTTCTATGTATCTAAAATATTATAAATACTTTATAAATACCTTATAAATACTTTTTAAATACCTTTAAAATATCTTGTAAAACCTTTGAAAAACCTTTAAAATCCTTTAAAATAACTTGTAAAACCTTTAAAAATACCTTATAAAACCGTATAAATACTTGGATCGAGTCTTCAAGTAGTAGTTACAATCCATAAGTACCTTATAAACCTAATAAAACTTTATAAAAATTTCAGATTTAAAAAGGGGCATTTTTGAAAATGGACATCTAAAAGGGGCATTTTTGAAAAGGGGCATGAGAAAAGGGGTATTTTTGCTAATCCCCCATTAAACAATGATAGTTAATCTTTGGGATTTTTTTAAAGCTTTTGATTGCTTTTCATATGATTTTATAGGAAATATATTTAATTTGTTATTTACAAAATAATTTGGAAAATGTAAATCCTATAATTTATTTTTAACGTAACTCCTATAATTTTTTTTGTAATTGTAACTTTTTAATATATGTTAATTGTAACTTTTTAATATATGTATCGTTATATTTAGTTTTTGTGATCTAACAGATAATTATATAAAGATCGTTATAATATTTATTTTATTTAAAATTTGAGGTTTAAAGGTTTTTCTACAACAAGAAGAAATTTGTTAAAAACAATTTGGTCCTTAAAATTTTTTTAAAAAAAGAAATCATATCTTTCAAGAAAATTAAATTTAGTTAGAATAAAAAATGAGACTAAAACCTAGCTATATTAAATAGAGTGAAATATAGGAAAAATAACTATAGTTAAAACAAAAATCATTTTATTAAATCCTATAAAGATGAAACCATTAGTATGAAATGTAGCACTAGAATTTAAATTTATGAGTGAAATTAAAAAAAAGATAAGAAAATGAAGAAAGATAGAAGTTATCATTGAGATATTTTAAAATTAATATTTATATTGAAGTTCATATGATTTTTATAAGAAAACAAATTTAGTTTGTCTCTTACAAAATAATATGAATTTGAACTATTATATAGAAGTTTATATCCACAAATGAACAAATTATCTCTGAGTTTATATCAACAATTTATTTTATAAAAGTAATATATGATATATGTTTATTAATGTTTACATACATAAATAACAGTAAAGTAAAAACATCTAAAATATGAGCAACTGCAAAATATCAAATCTTAAGATCCTTTTTTTTCAATCATACTTATATTGAAACAATTTATTTATAAAAAAATATCCCGCCGCGTAGCGCAGACTTTTATCTAGCCAACATAAATTTTCAGTTCTAGTCTTATGAGTATAATATATCTACTATTAAACGAATAACTACTGAAATGCCGTTTAAATTTTGATGAAAACCGGCTATTTCATTATTCTCCGATGCATGATGATGGCACATTTTGATATATTAATGTCATATGGAATCATATTTATATGAACTCTAGCTAGATTTTCTAATACCGAATCGGCTACTACTTAGCATACAAATATAGGAAACATGATTATGGATGATTTACAATGATCTCAATGTTGTTGAATGTCATGTTTTGATATTTTGATGTTTAAATGTTTAAAAAAACAAAGAGGAGATAAGCAATAAAGAAATAACAATACTTTTTCAGAAGTAAAAGATATACATGTGAATTTATCAGCGGCCAGCTTCAATGTCAAGCAATGCTACATTCTTGATGCTGTCATAACCACGGCTACTGATATCGCCTTGTGCAGACACAATGTGACCACCCAACAAGTGTTCATTCTCCTCAGGATTCTGATCCGACCACTTATGTTTGGTTGTTTTGACTCTCAAGGCCTTTAGCTCTGCAGCTACTTCTTTCATCCTTGGCCTTTCCTCTCCCATTATTTTTGTACACTCAACAGCAATTCTTGCAGCTTTCTGGATCTCCATCTCATTATCCTCGTTCATCACTTGGCCATCAATAATCTCATGCAACCTATTCTCTTTCGTGGCAGAGGCAAAGTAACTCACCAGATGTTTTGAAGTCTCTGGCCTTTCAAAGCACAATGCCTTTTCACCTGATAGCAGTTCCATGAGGACTACCCCAAAGCTATAAACATCACTTTTTTCGTTGAGAAGCCCTGTGGTATAGTATTCTGGGTCTAAATAGCCGAGAGTGCCTTGCACCATAGTTGTGAGCTGCTCTTTATCCATTGGTATCAGCTTAGAAGCGCCAAAGTCAGCTACTTTTGCAGTTAAGTTTTCATCCAGTAGAATATTAGCAGTCTTGACATCGCGGTGGATGATTGGAACAGAAGCAGCAGAGTGAAGATATGCTAGAGTTCCAGCGACTTCAATCGCTATCCTAAGGCGGTGTTCCCATGTAAGCGAAGAATCAAACAAGGAACCGTGCAAGTGATCGAAAAGGGTGCCACTGGTAATGAATTCATAGACCAACAAGGGGAATTCAGTCTCTAGACAGCAACCCAAGAGCTTGACCACGTTCCTGTGGTTAATTTGTGAAGCACGATCATTTCGTGGACGAATTGGTCTACTTGGCTACGGTCTCCAAGCCGAGCTTTCTTTATAGCAACTGTGGAATTATCTGGCAATATCCCTTTGTAGACTGTTCCTTGGCCTCCCTGACCCAAGATTCTGCTCTCATCATAACCATCAGTTGCCTCCATCATGCCTTCCTCAGTAAAGATTTTGAAATCAATGTTTGATGACCCTACTCTTGAGATTTGCTGTATCAACATGCCGCCGCCATTCTGCTCAAAAAATTGTCGTCGGAGCTTGGCGTCCTTCCGGTGCTTTGTTGTGTGTTGTATACTGATAACGGCAAGCAGGAGGACCAAGAAGCCGATGGTGGTTACTGATCACATAATACATAGATGATTAGATGGAGTTGATTTAAAGAAAGAATCTAGAACCAGTGAAGGGAGTTTACCAAGAAAAATTTGAGTCCGTCTAAAGTATTCGGGCCTCGTGCACTTCATAGTGGAGTTTATAGTGGTAATTAAGTTGTAACCAGATGGACACTTGCAATCGAAGCCTCCATCCCTGTTTTTACAGGTTTTGGGATCCGAACAGTTATGTGTATCAATAATACACTTAGGAATGTAGTCGTGGGTAAAAAAACCCGGCCCAGCCCGAACCCGAGTTGAGCCCGTCCACGAAAAGCCCGAACTCAAAAAACCCGATGGGTTTCGGGTTCTTATGGGTAAGCCCGAAAAAAACCCGAGCGAGTGTGGGTAACCTGTGGGTACCCGAATTTATATTACCATATTTTTCTTTCTTTATTTGGATTTATAAATATTTGTATTTTATATGTATTTGTATTTTATCCTTTTTAATTTATTAATTCTAATACAAACTTCCTATTAACTTTATTATATAACATTTGAAATTGTAGCTGAATTCAATTTAGTAATCATTATAAATTAATTAGATAAACATAAACGTAACTACTTGTAATGATTGTTACCATGAAATAATTATTGATAAATTGCAGTTCTGTCTACTACGTTTGCTTCTACAAAATACACACAAAATAAAGCATCAAAGGCTCCTTAAAAGCTTGTCTACTAGATAATGTTCTCAGAGGAATTTCGTCAAACACCTTACAGGCAAAAACATTATTCTGTGTAAACTTCAATTCAAGAGGCTTACTCTACTACCCATTTTATAAAGCTACTAAATTTCCAAAATTGAATCTGAAATGAGAACAAATAACAGCGAAGAAACGAGGAAATCAAACAATTCACGGCAGAAAAACAATTCACATTTCCAGTTCAAGTTTTTATAAGTCAGTCATTATTGATAAATTGCAAAATATAAACACACCATGGAACACCACAAGTCACGGAGTTACAAGAACCAAATCTCAAACATAAACCAAACCCATGGAAGTAGTAATCACACCACAAGTCACGGAGTTACAAGATTAGCAAACACAAATCATATGACACAGAAAAATCGTGTCTCTGAAAAGAAACACGTCGTTTTTGTTAGAATGAATTAAAAAAAAAAAACCCACGGGTACCCATAACCCGATAGGGTAAACCCGTATAAGATTCTCTTTATTCGGGTACCCGGCCCGTTTTAAACCCGCGTTTTTTTAAGATAAAAAGTAGATCCATGGGCTTACTATTTGACGTGGGTTTCGGGTACCCAGTGGGCTAAAGCCCAGAATTAACATCCCTAAATACACTCATCGATGTCTGGCCAAAGAAAAAAGTGAACAAGAGGCAACAAAAAACGTAAGAAAAAAAAGAATTGACACTTGAAAGAAAGAAGAAAGAAATTAGTATGAAGTACCTTGGCAACCGTCTGGATGGTAGGGGTTCCCATGGTAACCGCCTTTACATTTGCAGACATATCCGGGCCTAGTAGTAGAATCAAAACATGTGCTGTTCCCACCACATATGCTTGTGCTTCCAGCTTGCTCGCATGTCTGGTTTCCAATAGACCAATCCAGTGCCACAGGGAAATCTGTGACATTCCGCAGATCCCTAAGATCTTCCGTAGGAGAGAAGTCAAACTTACCGTCTTCAACGAGAAAAGCGTAGGTGCAAGGATTAAATTGATATACCGAAGTATTAACTACGGAATTATTAATTTGGTTTGCTAAGCGAGCTGAGCCAAATTGGACTTTATAGCCATCAAAGACGTCTGTTTGGCAGAAACCTACACCATTACGTATTTCATTTGCCTCTGGTTGAGAATCGCATAATGACAAGCATCCAGTTGAGTAGTTTTGCTTCCCAAAAGTGCTCAGAAGTGCTAAAGCGTTACAGCCTACTAAAGTAAATTTGTTCTTGGAGGAGAAAGAGAAACTACTACCCAGCTGATACTCGAGGGCAGTTCCATTAGTCTCATTACTCTGCTCGTCGATGCATTCAGAAAATCGGTAGAACAGAACACTTAGCTGGGCGCTGTCATTAAAGTTCACCACTTCGACGTTGATGCCTATGAAGAGCTTCTCTTTCTCGTCGCAGGTGAGATTGAAACTATCATCTCCGGGATAGTAACAACCAGAAGAAATGCCAAAAGGGTACTCGATTGTGATGTTGCCACATTTAGTCTGGCAATCATCGCGAGGTTGATGTTGCCCCTTAACCAGCTGCGTATATGCAAGGGAGAAGAAAATAGCCACCAAGGACACACCCTCCTGTAACTTCATCTTCTACCTTTCTCTTTCTTTCTCTCAAAATGTGTTTCTCTTTGAGTTTTCTCATCGCTTATTCGCTTCTTATAGCTTGAATTCAAACCCCTGTTTTGACATTGTTGAATTATCAAATGTGAAGAAAAGTAAAGATTCAGACTACTACACGTTCAAGAAATTTAAATGCGTCAACTTCAATCTCTGTCCTCTCCTTCTTTTCTTGATTTTACCAGGAAACGTAACCCTTTTCGTAACAGGAATTTCCACCTCAAAACAATTTATTGTTCAAATATGAAAGTTGCGTTGTAGTGACAAGGTAGGAATAAGACTCATGATCACAACATGCTCTGTTTTCTTCTGCTGTCATAATGGTATATGTAGTTTTTTCGTGTGTGTGGATGATATTGAGTAATAAATGTCAACAAGTTCTTGAAGCATTTGAATAGTTCTTGCCTCATGTGTCATGTCGCTGCTTACTCTTCAAGACGTTCTCTATGAGAAATTTCCATGCAAATCCACCACTTCCACCAAAAGAAACCAGAGTCATTCCAAGAAACTGAGAGAAAATCTTGAGAAAAACTGAAAATACACTGTTTGATGATTAAAATAATCTTTAACAGACCATACATAGAGATTTTAAGGTTATAGTAGAGGTAGCAAAAGAAAATTTAATGGTTACAAAACCAGAACAATCTTATGCAGCAAGAATGATAATTTGATTTAAAAAATGCAATATTAAAATTTTAGATACAGTGTATATGAGTGAAGTTGTTGATCAAATAGGAAGTTTGAAGCAAATGAGCCTTTTGGAGTTACGTGCATACCACGCATCTTGAATTTAAAGATTTCTCGTTTACTAGTTTTTACTTCTCATGTAGTATTACTGATCTGATTCCAAAATCATATATTAACTTGTTTACATTTGTGTCTTCGTCTTGTTGCTCGAGGATATATATATAACTGCATCTCTGTAATCATTTCATCATAATATCGATCACGTTGACGGAGAGTGTTTCTCTCAGATCCACCAAATTTCCTTATGTTTTCTCAAATTTTCTTATGGTTAAAGAACATAATTTTTTAACAAAAAAAAAATGTCATGGTTACAAAACCAGAGCGATCTTATGCAGCAAGAATGATAAGTTAATTTAGAAAATGCAATATTAAATTTGAGATAACATGTGACAAATAATATATGAGTCAAGCTGTGGATAACCTAGTAAGTCTTAAGCAACTGAGTCCTTTAAATTCGAGTTATTGTTTTGCAACCACAACAGTATATCAATATCTCTGCTAATAGATTCATGAATTCATAATTTTCTCATACCGCCTTACCAATCTAATGGAGTTATAAACAGAATAATTGATGATCTACAACAGATCTCTCGAGCATAAATGTTCTTGAAGATCATGTTTTGATACTCTGTTTTTTTAAGTGTTATGAAACATAGGACATAAGCAATAAATAAATGGCTTTACTTTTTCACAAACAAAAGATTGATAAATATCAGCGGCCAGTTTCAATGTCCAACCTTGTTACATTCATGATGCTGTCATAGCCAATGCTACTGGTATCACCTTGCGCCGATAAGATTTGAACACCAAGCAAATGCTCCACCTCCTTGGGATATTGATCTGACCACTGATGTTTGGTTGTTTTGACTCTCAAGGCCTCTAACTCTGTAGCTACCTCTTTCATACTTGGCCTTTCCTCTCCCGTAATTCTTGTGCACTCAAGCGCAAGTCTTGCAGATTCTCGGATCTCCCTCTGATTATACTCGTTCATAACTTGACCGTCAATAATCTCATGCAACCTATTCTCTTTCATGGCGGAAACAAAGTAACTCACTAGATGTTTTGAGGTCTGTGGCCGTTCAAAGCACAAAGCCTTTTCACCTGAGAGCAGTTCCATTAGGATTACCCCAAAGCTATAAACATCGCTCTTTTCGTTCAGAAGCCCTGTGTTGTAGTATTCTGGGTCTAAATAGCCAAGAGTTCCTTGCACCATTGTTGTGAGCTGCTCTTGGTCCATCGGTATCAGCCTTGAAGCACCAAAATCAGCTACTTTTGCAGTTAAGTTTTCATCCAGAAGAATATTAGCGGTCTTGACATCTCGGTGGATGATTGGAATAGAAGCAGAGGAGTGAAGATACGCAAGAGTTCCAGCGATTTCTATGGCTATCCTCAGACGGTGTTCCCATGTAAGCGAAGAATCAAACATAGAACCGTGCAAGTGATCGTAAAGAGTGCCACTGGAAATGAACTCATACACCAACAAAGGAACTTCAGTCTCTAGACAACATCCCAAGAGTTTGACCACGTTCCTATGGTTGATTTGTGAAAGCACTAGCACTTCGTTGATGAACTGCTCAACTTGGCTACGGTCTCCAAGCCGAGCTTTCTTTATAGCAACTGTGGAGTTGTCTGGCAGTATCCCTTTGTAGACTGTTCCCTGGCCTCCCTGACCCAGGATCCTGCTCTCATCATAACCATTAGTTGCTTCCTTCATGCCTTCCTCAGTAAATATTTTGACATCAACATTTGATGGCCCTGCTCCTGAAAGTCGCCGTATCAACATGCCACCACCATTTTGCTCAAAGAATTGTTGTCGCAGCTCGGTGTTTTTCCGGTGCTTCATTTTCTGTTGTATATAGCTAATGATAAGCAGGATGATCAAGAAGCCAATGGTGGTTCCTGATCACATGAAAGACAAACAAAGATCATAAGGCCCGAGTCTTTCTAGAAAACAAATGAATCGAAAACGAGTGAAGAGAGCTTACCAAGAAGAACAGTAGTCCATCCTAAGTACTTAGGCTCTTCTTTAGGTGTGTCAGTGCAGCTCATAGTAGTGGTATTTAACTCATAACCAGATGGGCACTCACAATGGAAGCTTCCAAGCGTGTTTTCACATGTGCTGGTATCCGAACAGTTATGTCTACGGGTAGTACACTCATTGATGTCTGGTCCAAGGAAAAAGAACCCAAGATGCAACATGAAATGTATGTAAGAGGAAAAAATTCAACACTCAAAAGAAGAAAGGAAGAAAAGAAATTACTATGAAGTACCTTGGCAACCGTCTGAAAGGTATGGATTCCCATCAAAACCATCTAAACATTTGCAGTTATAACCCTTTCCACGACTAGAATCAAAACATGTGCTGTTCCCACCACATATGTTTCTGCCTACAACTTGCTCACATGTCTGGTTTCCAATAGACCAATCTAGTAACACAGGGAACCTCGTGACATTTCGCAGATTCTTAAGATCTTCTAAAGAACTGAAGTTAAACATACCATCTTCAACGAAAAAAGCGTAACTGCAAGGATTAAAGTGCTTCACGGAAGTCATGTTTTCGAAGCGAGTTGGTTGAGTTTCAATTCTATGGCTATCCAACGGGATAGAGACCTCTGTTCTGCAGCAACCAACACCATTACATTTACTATTTGGCGGCGGAGGAGAATCACATAATGACATGCATCCAGTTGAGTAGTTTTGTAGTCCAAAAGTGCTTAGAAGTGCCCAAGCGTTGCAACCTACTAAAGTAAACTTGTTGTTGGGGGAGAAAGATAAATTATCCAACCGAAACCAGAGGGACTCGAATTCATTATTTGTTAGCTCGTCGTAGCAAACAGTGGATCGAGGAAGTAGACCGCGCAGCTGGCCGCTGTGATTAAAGTTTATCACTTCAATGTTACGTAAGACATTTGGTTTACCTTCCTCACAGGTGATATTGAAACTATCATCTCCGGGGTAGTAACAACCTGTAGATATACCAAAAGGGTAATCAATTGTGACGTTGCCACATCTAGATTGGCAATCGTGGCGAGGTTTCCCCTTGACCAGCTGCATATATGCAAGAGAGAAGAAAATAGCCATCAAGGACAGACTATGCACCTTCATCTTCTCCCTTTTCCTCTCTTTCTTTCTTTTTTTCTTTCTTTCTTTAGTTCTCTCTAACTTTGTTTCTCTTTTGAGTTTTTTTTTTCACCATCTCTTTGAGGTTTCCTTTAATAAGTAACACCACAGTCTTGAGAAGCTTTCTTGATTCGTGTTCGCTGACCGCGTTCCCATTTTCCAACAAATAATTGCAGAAATATTTGCAATACTAAATTCCAACTACACAAGCAAGACAATGTCAATGTAATGCAAAGGAGGACTTCAAATATGCTCCACTCAATATTTCCATATTACATCACAACGTCTGCGTTTGCTTCCGTTTAACAGTGACATTTTTTTTTGTAGTATTTAAAGATTAGGATGGTTGGTACTAGCAAGGAATCTTCAAATGTGAAGAAATGTTAAATATGCAGACTATAAGCTTAAGATATTATTATCAAATAGTAAACCATATATATATTTTGATACTTGATAGAAACCATTTGACAATTAAAAAAGAGTAGTGGACATTGGTCAATCATTTTGATTATCTTCAAGAGACTAACTCTATTCGATATTTTAATGCAAATCCACCACGTTTTGCCAAAAGAAGCCGGAGTTATTTCAAGAAAGTGCAAAAAAATCTTAAGAGAGAAACTGAAAATTACCCTTCTCTGATGATCATTAAATACATAGAGGTATTGTAGAGGTGTTGATCAAATATGAAGTATGAAGCAATCCTTTAATTTTTTGGAGTTACGTACATACCACGCAACACACAATTATCAATTGAGGCGGGAAGATGAAATAAGCCCTGAAATTTTGGGCTCAGTTGAAGACATCTAAAGCCCATTCTAAGCCCATCTATTTATATATATAGAAATCGAAAGGAATAAAAAAGCAAACCCTAAAATCAAACAGTAACGAGAGAGCTCAGAACAGAGTAAGTCACCGTAACAATGGCGGAATCTCCAACACTGGATCCGGAATCTCCCTATTATCTCGATCCAGATTATCAATCCAACGAGAATCTACCAATGGCTATACTAAGCAAATCCGAAGACAACTACTTCATCTGGAAGAATGATTTTCTCCTTTTCCTTCAAAGCAAGAGCAAAACCGGGTTCATCGATGGTACAATCGCGAAACCGGACCCTTCCTCACCGATCTATCATCCATGGAAGACATGTAACGCGAGAGTCAAGTCTTGGATGATGAGTTCGTTAAGCGAAGAGCTTCGAAACTATGTACGGTTTGCGGAGACTGCGCATAAAGCTTGGGAAGATCTCCGAGTGTTATTTGTACCGAGTGTTGATTTTAAGATCTACGAACTTCGTCAGAGACTCGCGATGTTGAGGCAAGATGGTGACTCTGTGGGTAGATATTTCGCCAAGTTTATGAGAGCTTGGGTTGAGTTGTTGGAGTATGATCCTGTGCCGGAGTGTTTGTGCGGTTGTTGTAACTGCGAGATTGCGAAACGAGCTAAAGAGGCGAGAGAGAATGAGCAGCGTTACGCGTTCCTGATGGGCTTGGATAAAGGTTTAAGCTATGTGAGAACGCAGATCATGCTTATGAATCCTCCTCCGTCTCTTCATCAAGCTTTTGTTCTGTTAGATAAAGCAGAATCGATGATGAAATCGACCCTGAGATGAATAATTTAGGAATCAGGTCGATGATCATAATAGCTTTTCTCTATGTTTTCTTTAAAATCTGAGTGTTGCTTCTTGAGGTTTTGTTTTGTAACTACTATGGTTTATCAATATCTCTGCTTAAGTTAAGGATTGATGATCTAATAGGATCTCTTAAGCATAAATGTTGTTGAATGTCATGGTTTGATGCTCTGGGTTTTAAATGTTTAGGAAGACAAAAGGGAGATAACTAGATAAGCAATAAAGAAATGACTTACTTTTCACAAACAGAGGAATCAGGTTTCTTTTGATGCTTTGTTTAGAATCTCATAAATTCATAATAAATACAGTCAAGTACCAAATCGGATACTGAAGTGAATCATACCAGTTAAAAGGGGTTTATATACACAATGATTGATTATCTCAAACCACCATACAATTATTGAATGCCATGTTTTGATACACTGATTTTTACATGTTTTGGAGGAGAGAAAGGAGATAACAAACACAATATATGTTGATAATTGTGTTCAAATCCGAATTTAGTGTTAATGCACCTCTGGAGACTTAGTACCAGCAAAAGAAAGAATTGATGCTGAACTGGGCCAGACTATCTCTCTGCAAAAAGTCTAAGAATTAGGTTCCTAATCATAACATGCTCTGTTTTCTTTTGATGTTTATCTTTAGAAACATAAGCTCTTGTTTATGCTGTAGTTTCTCACTATGACCTATATGAAATATAGATATTCAGATTCATGAATTCCAACTTTTGAGAAAAGAACAACTAGACAAGAATCCCTAAAGTATAAGGACTTCATAGCAGAAAGAGGAACACGCCTTTAAACAAAGCTGCTGCTGGAGACTGCATTTGTTTGCTTTTGGCTTGCTGTAGTTGTTGCTTGATTATATGTAAGCCAGTTTGGTATCAAAGCCGTTCACAAAGATATGAAAAGTCTGAATTGCAGAGAGTAGATGCCGGAACTCCATGGAGAACATGTCCTCTCTTATCTTATCAAATTTCAGGATGGTCTTGTCAGGGTCAGACTGATCCAACACTGCAGCTGCTTGTGCCACCTCGGTGACTTGTGATATTCTCATCTATGCCTCTCTTACCACTTCATGGGGGACCTAAAATGTCAGAAAACTAACAGCTTCTAAACTTGATGGAGTAGTAGACAGTAGAGGTTGGTGGTTAATTATAAGGAATCTTCAACTGGGAAGAAAAGGTAAGATTCTGATGATGTGCTTTATATATTACAGAATGAGAACTCATTTCACAGTAACTAAAACTGATATATGATAACTTGATTGAACATATTTTGGATTATCTTCTTTTTCTTTTCAGACTCTTGAGTGTAAGAAAAGTATATCATAAAACTCTTTGAATTTGAAACTTTGAACAAGGACTCTAAAATTATTACCAAATCTGACCGAAGGTCAAATACTTATTAAGGGGAGTTATAAACAGTTAAACACAATGATTGATGATCTGGCGAAACAATAATCACTCAAAATACAAAGGTTTTTGAATCATGTTTGATTATCCCTAATGTTTAGGATGAGGAGGAGGGAAGAAACCTGATCATGATCAAACGGGAAATGGCCAACTGTCGAATCTCTTAGTGAGAGATAAATGAAATTATCAGCGGCCAGCTTCAATGTCCAGTATAGCTACATTCTTGATGCTGTCATAGCCAATGCTGCTACTGGTTTCGCCTTGTGCTAATAAGTTTTGGAAACCAACCAAGTGTTCAATATCCTCTGCTTCAGGATACTCATCTGACCACTTATGTTTGGTTTTTGTGACTCTCAAGGCCTCTAGCTCTGCAGCTACTTCCTTCATCCCTGGCCTTTCTTCTCCCGTCAATCTTGTACACTCAACAGCAATTCTTGCAGCTTTATAGAACTCCCTCCGATTATCCTCCTTCATCACGTGGCAATAAATAATCTCATGCAACCTATTCTCTTTCGTGGCAGAGGCAAAGTAACTCACCAGATGTTTTGAGGTTTGAGGCCTTTCAAAGCACAATGCCTTTTGACCTGAGAGTAGTTCCATTAGGACTACCCCAAAACTATAAACATCGCTTTTTTCGTTTAGCAACCCTGTGTTGTAATATTCTGGGTCTAGGTAACCTAGAGTTCCTTGCACCATAGTTGCGAGATCTTCTTTATCCATTGGTATCAGCCTTGACGCACCAAAGTCGGCTACTTTTGCAGTTAAGTTTTCATCGAGAAGAATATTTGCAGTTTTGACATCGCGATGGATGATTGGAATAGAAGCAGAGGAGTGAAGATATGCAAGAGTTCCAGCGACTTCTATTGCTATCCTCAGTCGGTGTTCCCATGTAAGAGAAGAATCAAACATGGAACCATGCAAGTGATCGAAAAGGGTGCCACTAGCAATGAACTCATAGACCAACAAGGGAACTTCAGTTTCTAGACAGCATCCCAAGAGCTTGACCACGTTCCTATGGTTGATTTGTGAAAGCACGAGCACTTCGTTGATGAACTGCTCTACTTGGCTATTGTCTCCAAGCCGAGCTTTCTTTATAGCAACTATGGAGTTGTCCGGTAATATCCCTTTGTAGACTGTTCCTTGGCCTCCCTGACCGAGGATTCTGCTCTCATCATAACCATTAGTTGCTTCCTTCATTCCTTCCTCAGTGAAGATTTTGACATCAACATTTGATGGCCCTGCTCCTGAGAGTCGCTGCATCAACATGCCTCCACCATTTTGCTCGAAGAATTTTTGTCGGAGCTCGGTGCCCTTGCGGTTCTTCATTTTATGTTCTATACAGCTAATGGCAAGCAGGATGACCAAGAAGCCGATGGTGGTTCCTGGTTACATCACACAGGATGATTAGAGTGAGTTGTTTCAGAAAATAAAGAATACAGAACAAGTGAGGGGAGCTTACCAAGAACAATTCGAGTCCATTCAACGTATCCAGGCGTGCCTTTAGGTTGGCAGGCATTAGTGGTGGTATTTAATTCATAACCAGATCGACAATTACAACGGAAGTGTCCCAACGTGTTTTCACAGATGCTGGAACGCGAGCAGTTATGTTTATGGATAGTATTAGTAGTACACTCATTGATGTCTGGCCCAAGGAAAAAGAGAATCAAGATTCAACAAGAAATGTAAGAGGAAAACAATTAATTGAAGTGATAGAAAGAAAACAAGTTGTGGAGTACCTTGACAACCGTTTCGAAGATATGGATTCCCATGGTAACCGCCTTTGCATTTGCATTTATACCCAATTCCACTAGCAGAATTGGAACATATGCCATTCACACCGCACTTCTTTTCTCCAAGTTGCCCGCATGTCTCTCCCTTAATAGACCAATCTAAGACCACAGGAAACCCAAACCCCACATTCCTATTCTGCAGATAAGAATATATTTCCGAAGCATTATACTTAAACTTGCCATTTTCAACGAGAAAGGCGTAGATGCATTGACTCTTAAAGATAGGTTGCACGGACGTGTCGTTGTCAAAGCGATATGATCTGACAATGAACCAATTGTTCCCTGCAGGGACGGGGTTCTGGCAGCAGCCTTCACCATTACATTCTCCATTTGCTTCATGGGAAAGATCATCACATGCTGATATGCATCCAACCGATTGTCTTCGAGTTCCATTAGAGGACACAAAAGCGTACGAGTTACAGCCTAATGCAGTAACCGTGTTGTTGTCGGAGATAGTCAAATTTCCCAGATCCATATAGTAGTAAGTGCCATTAGCGAGATGTCCGTTGCTGTTGTAGCAAACGTAGGATGCAGGAAATAAGAGGCGTAACTGGCTGCTGTGAGAAATTTCGACCACTTCAACGCCCTTATAGAATAGCTTCTCGTTCGTACAACTGAGGTTGAAAGTAGGATCTTCGGCACGCCAACAACCTGGAGAAGAGCCAAAAGGGTACTCAAGTGTAACGTTGCCACATTTTTCGGGGCAATTAGGCAAGGTTTCCCCCTTGACCAGCTGCGTATAAGAAAGGCAGAAAATAGCCACTAAGAACAGACGCTGCACTTTCATCTTCTTTATTTATTTTCTCTCTAAACTTGATCGTCTTTGAGTTTTCTCTCATCTCTGTGACGCTTCTTATATAAAATGAACAAAAAAAAAATCATCTATTTAATTTCGGAGACCCATTCCCATTTCACCTTTTAGTTCCAAATTCTACAATTAATAATCCATTGTCCAATTACAAAGCAAAGACATTTTCTACTTTAATGTTAGTTAAGTTGAAGTACATGCCATATAATAATATTTCAACGTCTTCGTTTGCTTCCCTTTAACAATTTGCTATTTTTTTTCTTTTTCTGAAGGATTCAAATACCGTAACGGTTGGTACCTTGTACAAGAAAACACCAAATGGGAAGAATAGGTATGCTTCTGACCACGGGATTTAAGATAATATAGAATAGAAACCAATTTAACAAATAACGAATCAGCCATTTGAGCTCTCGTCAACTCTAGTCTTTGTCAAATTTACCTTTTTTAAACATTGATTATCACATCAAAATGATTTTTTTCTAAAAGTATACGTGTAAACTTAAAGCACCACTGGAGAGATTTGGTTCCTAACCATAACACGCTCTGTTTTATTTTCATGTTTACTTTCGTTTGTTCAATTGCTTGCAAGTCAGTTTGGTGCCCGGAGCCGCTTAAAGAGATAGTGAAAGCTTGAAATGCAGAGAGTGGATACAGAATTCCTACCTTGGCAGGGTCAGACTAATCCAGCTAAGCTGGATTTGTGGTTGGTTCGCCACAAACAGGTGGGAGTTGTTGAATAATGCAATTGTTACACGTCTCCAGTACTGCAGCTGCTCATGCCTTGATAAGCGTTGATTGCATTTGGATTTGCTTTCAGCGTGAATGGAAATACATACTCGGTGTAAAGAGTTCTTCTTCTGGTGCATTTTTGCGTATTGAAGGAACTTCCTGTTTTTAAGCAACAAAGCATAAACACCAAGGCAGATACTAGACTTCCTTCCCTTCTGGTTCCTGCTACAACCTCAGGTCATAACTACGCCTTGATTGACTTTGCATCACTAACCATGCTAGGAAATGAAACTTTTCAAGGTTCTAATTTCACAGGTGTATGAAGCAGCGAGTCAAAGATGTTTACACATAACCTGCAGACCAAAAATATGAGTTTGTTTCAAATTAGAGTTTTCTGGATACTTAAAAGTTAATACCGAAGAAGCCCTTTCTTTGTTAGTAACTATTAAGTATCCAGAAAACTCTAAATTAAAACAACAGAAAGGAAAGAAGGTTCTCATCATTAACCAGCCAAAAATTAAAACATTAAAACTGAAAAGAGAAGCAAGCAAGAGATGGAGGACCAAAAGCAGGCAAACACAACAGGCTTTTTAGTCAGTAACATCTTTACATTCATGTTAAAAGCGATAAAAGACGAACATGTGACTTCAAACTGAAAGAAACCTTTCGAATATAGCTTCAAGATTCTTCAGGAACATTCAACATCGTCAAACTGAAGAATCTTCGAAACAAGTTAAAAAGGCAGAAAAGCAAACGCAGCTCTTGGGACACTGTCTAATTCATTTTCCAGTAAAGAGTTCTATGATTCAAGTATAAACTGCGTAAGGTTCCATGTGGAAAAGTATTTAATCTTCTTAGAAGCAAATAGTTAGCAACAACTCATTCTCAAACTGGCTTAATTTGTTACACCCCAGAAAATTGGATTAAGATGTTGAAAATAATACAGCAGAATGATGAAGGTAACCAGTTAATTACTGAAAGGTTGTGTGGAAACAAACCTTAGAGAGCTACTTATATTACTACAATTCATCACTGATGCAACCACAATGATCTCTCACATCAAAGTCTCGAGATCATTCCAAACAAAGCAAGCTTACAAAAGCAGAAAATGAGACTTCATTTAGCGAAGGTATATACCAATCAAGAGAAGTGAAGCCATTTCCGTTATAATTCAACACCCAATTCCCTTTGTTTCAACTCCAAGCCCATCCGATCATTCTCAAGTTTCATCCTTTCATTCTCCATCCTCATTCTCTCGAGTTCTTGATCCCTTTTCTTACTAAACCTCTGCCACCTGAATCTCTGTTTCTCCAATTCCAGCAATTCAACTTGGATCTGAAGCTTCTGCTCTTCTAACTGCAGAGTCCGCGACTCAATCCACTGCTTCTGCACCGAAGCTGTTCTTCCACTCTCTGCCCCACCTTGATTCACATCAGCTTGAGAAAACGGTACTTGAGGTAAAGAGACTTTATTACACTCCAGAGAATTCACATGACTCGGATGGTCTGCATCTTCATGGCTATGACTTTGTCTTATCTTCTTCAAAGGACCACCACCACCTCCATAATGATTTCCCCTACACTCTCCATATGAATAATGTTGCTCCTCATACTCATCATGTTCATCACCATCCCCATCATGATCCTCATCATCAAGATCCTCCATATGATGTTTCCTAGAGTCATCATTATCATGATCATCTCTATTTCTAAGCGCCAACTGCAAAGAACGCTGCAAAGCAAGATCATGAGGCAAATGCAATCTGTTCCCATTATGGTACGAACACATCTCTTCATAGAAAAGATGTTTAGAACTCATGATTTTCCTAACATCATCCTTCTCTTTATCATTCAAATAACCAATCGAATCCAAAAGCGCAGGATTCTCAACAACTTGACAAGAAGTTCCTCTACCAAGCATATCATTAAGCTTCTTATACCGCTTATTCAAATCATTAAACTTATCCTCGCATTGCTGCGGCGAAACATGATAACCCCTCTCAGCCATAACTTTAGAAACAGATTTCCACTTCCCCTTCTTCTGCAAAACAGCAAACTTCCTTCTACTACCACTGTCCATAGTCGAATCATCGCCTATATAAGAAACAGCAGTAATCAACAACTTCACCATCTTATCAGTCCATTTCACTCGTTGCCATGGTGATCCTTTAGTTGATTTATCACCACCTTCCTCTGTAAAACTTGGCTCATCATCATCACTCACTGAATTCTTCTCTCTTTCACCTTTATGTTGCTCAGTCATAGACATGTTCTGATGATGATCACAGGTTTGACCTGTAACCATAGTAAAGGGAAGACCTTCATGAAGTGGTCTAGAATTAGGATTGTGTCGATGCTGCTGATTCATGGAATCTTGGTGTTGAACTCTCATAGAACCTTGTAAATCAAATCCACCATAAGAAGAAGCTCCACCACGAACTACACCTCCTTGTGGAAAATTCCCTTCCATTTTTTTTCACCAGATTTCTTCCTAATTCATCAGAGAAATTGAAGAGAAAACAGATCTCAAAAAGTCAAAAGTCGATTTTGAAAAGTATAAACTTTGTCAACAAAATTAGTACTGGATCTTGGGGACATTAAAGATCGAAACTTTAGTAATGAAAAAGCAGAGAGGAATCGAAGATGAAGAAATTAAAGCGGTAAATATTTGAGAGATGAGTCAAAGGAAGTAACTCACAGAAAAAGTTTGGAACTTGTTGCTTTCGTCTTCTCCGGTCAGCTTCCTCAGGTTTCTCTCTCTCTCTCTAAACATACGAGTAATATGACAGAACACAGAAGGCTTAAAGAAGAAAAAAAGGAAAAAAAAGTGTAATGAAATGACAAATTGATACCTTGTGATTGGACTTTCTAAGTTTCTATTGTTTTTTTTGTTAAAGGATTATTGGACTTCTATTGTTTGTTGATACCTTGTGATTGGACTTAATATAGCTAAATTCCACTAACCATGATTCATAATCATGGGCAAGAATTTCTTTCCAAGCTTCTAGATTATTTGCTAAGATGATTTATTATCTTTAAATTACTTAATAGACAAAAAAAGAGAAGAAATTTGATAATATCGATTATTCTTGTTTATATCTGTAAATTTGTTTATAATTATCGTCATGTGAGATTAGTTGAGTGAGATACGCTTTTTTACCGTATTTATTTACAAGTTGATAAAAGAAAATTATACACTTAAAAAAAAAGGAGCTAGCCATATTGGGCCGATATGAGAGCCCAAAAACATAGTAAAAGGCCGAATCGTAAGGTATTGGTTTGAAGTTTTAGAAACCAACGGTGGTGATTGCTTGAGCTCAGTCAGAGAGCTACTACTATTCTTCATCGCAATTTCAAAACCCTCGGAGAAGTTTTAATCAGAAAAATGTCCGTCGAGGAAGACGCCACCGTTAGAGAGCCACTCGATCTGATTCGGCTGAGTATCGAAGAGAGGATCTATGTCAAGCTCCGATCTGACCGTGAACTCCGCGGCAAGCTTCACGTACGTTTTTTAACCACTCGGATTCCAGAAACCAGATGTGATCTTGGTTTCGATTTTGAGCTCCTTTGAATTCCTTCTTCGTTGAATTTAACACTAGTTTTATACTTTCACAATATTAAAATTTCAAGATTCTCACTTTTTGTGGTGTAGGCTTTTGATCAGCATTTGAATATGATTCTGGGTGATGTTGAAGAGGTTATTACGACTGTAGAAATTGACGACGAGACATACGAAGAGATTGTTCGGGTATGTAATTCTCTTAGCTCAATAAGGGGAATTGGATGATCTAGGCTTTAGTAGTAAGAGGACGTTTTTGTGTTCAAAATATATCAGCTTTCACAGTATCTTATTGTCTATGTCTTAGTTTGAGTACTCATGTACAAGTTAATAGTGCTGGTTACTTAGGGTGTTCATTAGTAAATCTGTTTAGTTTCTCAAACTTGAATTTTGTTGTTTGTGCCCCAAATGTGATGTGTTAACTTCTCAGTAGACTGGTGTAGAATCATACGTTCTTTTCCTGCTGATGTAACTTTCTTTTATCAGACAACGAAGCGAACGGTTCCGTTTCTATTCGTGAGAGGAGATGGAGTGATATTGGTGTCACCGCCTTTGAGGACAACGACTTAAATGTTCTTGTGTACTGGGATCTGTGTTAACAAATCTGGAGCTGAGTAAAAGCACTTTTTTCTGATTACTTGGCTTTTGAATTGTAATTGTGTGGTATGTTTTTCTTTGTTGTCAAGCATTGAAACCGAATGTAGCATTCGAATTCTGGTTATGGGCTGCTTCGTTATAGTAGAAGCACTGTAACATACTTCGTATTGTGACTTTCTTACCGTTTATGATCGGATTTAGTTTCATTTTCTGGTTTGGTGTAGTTTTCTCTAAAGATTTGTATTCTTTCTCAAACTCATTGATTTCATTCCTCTCTCAGCGAAAGAGATTAGATGTGTAATCCTAGGAAAGACAATTTGATTAACCAAACCATCAAATTGATTCACGGTTCAGGAGGAGGAGGATGAAAACGCAAATAAGATTGATTTCATGAGAAAAGATTAATGTAATTGTAAACATGTAAATTTACAGTAAAAAAAGATTAGTGATGCATAGCCAATTAGAACGAATATAGTATTGAGATTAAAAGTTGAGGTATCTGTAGGAAGATAAAACTTGTCAAGATCATTAACATGCTTCGAGCATAGTAACAATGGAGAAGAGAAGTCTTATCTTCGTCTGGGTCTTGCTTGAACCGGAGAACCCACTGATTGCGACTCTCTATAGTTTTTGCTTGGAGAATCAGTCGATGTTCTGGAGTAGGCCGCTTTAGCTACTGACATTGGATCCAACGGAATGGTCTCAACGAAACATGCACTGTTCAAACGGGTCTTCTCTAGCTCCAATTGAAGCATCCCACTTGTGCATTGCTGTGCAAGAGCCTAAAGCAGCAACAATAACAAAGCAGAACCGCTTTTAGCTGAATCTGTAAGCGGTATTGAAGATGGTAAATATCAAGTGGTGGTTAAGGAGAAATGGTCTTACAAGGAGATCATCTGGTGATACGGATGATTGTTTGTCATCTGAAATTGCATCTTCACTGCCACGTGTTGGTTTCCGCTGATGCCCTCCCGGGTTGTTCTCGACTGTCTCGCTTATACTCTCTGTAGCTTTCTCTAACACAGCTCCTTGCAGAGATTTTAGGGACTCGGTTGCATCGACAGTCAAATATGGGTTCAGTATAGTCTCAAAATATTCGAGCTGCATCGTCAATTTGTGAAAACAGATAAGCATCATAGCTAGTTATACTATTAACACATTCACTAAAATAAAGTCGAGAAGACTGACAAGTTTTACCTCAAGCATCAATTGGCAGAAACCATTTGCATCTATTGAGCTTAGGTCGTCAGATCTGTTTTCTTCCAGAAGACTGAGAAAAGTATCAATCAGACCTTCGACCAAAGTGCCGAGAATTTTGTCCAGAAGTGGTTTGGCACCCGCAAATACCTGAAATTATAGTTCTTTAGTATAAAATTAACGGGTTTTGCACTAGGAACACTCAACTGTGGTAGTTAAAACTAGAAGAAATGGTTATAGAAATTCAAATGTCTAATGGTTAAAAAAACTAAGTATCTTCATATAACAAAGCAATGGTAATACCTCTGCATGGACAGCAACCAGAGAATGTAACAGCTCAACAGCAGCATCTCGAATGCCCTGAAGGAAAGATTTAGTTATCGTTTCTTGGGTTTCTTTAGACAAGAGGCTAAAATGTTCTTTTGATTCATCTAAGGCACAAGTAAGTCACAGCTGAGAGTGGACTTTCGACTTACTTTTACTGGAGGCGCTGCACCCCACTGAATACCAGAGTCCAGCAGATAATTCGTGGCGGCTGTTCTGATCAAATTTGCCTGGGTACAAGCGAAATAGATGCAAACTTAGTGAGAAGGGTTTAGAACAAGAACATTCCTTGTGCCATTTTTCAATGGATGTGCATCAATTCTCTAACACAGCGACAACATTACTAAACTATCTAGCAGATTAAACGTTACCTTAGCAAAAGTGTAATGTTCGAGGACCTTCTCTCCAAGACCAGAGAAAGACATTACTAGATCTTGAAGATCGCTGATGTCTTCATCATTTCTCCTGCAACATTTAAGAGACACAATGGAGTAGCCAGTAAACTATAACACCATATACTAATTCTTACGTCAACATTCAAAATTTTGATTAGGAAAGTTCAGATATTGGAACCAATTATCATGGTTGAGACATTTAACCATGAGTGTGTTTGTCATTCAGACATTGGCACTAATTATCAAGGTTATGACAGTCTAAGCATGACTGAGTTTATCCAACTTCTCTGCGATTGTAGCAGAATTGGAAAATCTTGATATTAAAAAAGGCACCAGTGAATTCAAATAAGAAAGAAACTCACCTAGACTGTAACCAGGTATATTTGTACTTGTTGTAAAGCTCAGAGGCAAGTTCGTCTTTGCAGTAACCTATATTACTTAAGATCATCAACAACTGCCTGTGAGGATCAACAACACTTTCAGGAGCATTGATTGATTGTTCTTCCTGGTGGTCGTTGGAGTATCCATTTTGCCAACTCTCTCGCTTTGAGGTGCGTTGAGAAAGGTCAGCACCAATTTGCTCCAAGTGAGCTGATATGTGCAAAAATCAGTTAGCATATCAACATAAATATTTCCTTTTGTCTGCCTACACATTTATGTGGGCATCTGTATACATGTACTTTCACGGAAGTTTGGTGTAAAAAGCTTACCAGCAAAATCCAGAAAGCAGTTCAGAAAGGCAAGTCTAACAGATATCAGGATTTCTTCAATATGTGCAAACATATCTTCGGATCTAGCAGCTTCACCTTTTAAAGATAGAATCATCCTGGAAAAGCATATACAGAAATATGCAGCCATGTAAGGCGTAATGTCTAGCTGGAATCACAGATATCTAGAAACTCTTACAAAATAATAGCAAAAAGTTGTAATTATTAAGGTACACAAAGTTAACTATTTGTAGATACATGTAACAGCAAGATGCTAGAAACTTACATATTAATTTGTTCCATCCCAGAGACAATAATTGAACGAAATGCAAGGGGCAAGTAAGAGATGGAATATGGAGATCTGTTCCTTTCAAGAATAGAAACTGGGATCCACGTCTCTTCCTTTGATATTCCTTCTGTAGACGCTCTCATCCAAGAGCAGAGCCTTTGGATGTATATTTTAGTGATTTCCACCTTAACTTTTCTTAGTGCCATGACTGCCACAACCAAAAAGTTACATAATCTCAGTATACTTCAGCGAAACAACAAGCTCAAGCTTAAGACGAAATTCAAATACCAGCACTATGGGGAGCTGACTCTTTGGCCTCAAAAGCTTGGCATGCTTTTGATACTTCTTTGATGGTATCACTCATATATGGGTGGAGAATGTATGATTCGTCAAAATCATGAAAAGTGCTTTGCACCTACAAAAAAAATTATAGGGGAAAATATATTAGAACAAATACAAGGAACAAACGGCAGGGTTCATTTTTCCAGTATGGCAAAGAAAGCTCTATTGATAAAAATTCAGTAGACAAAAGAGAGACAAGGAGAAGACCTTTGCTTCATAAACAGAAATGGTATTGCGTATCATCCCAGCAATTTCTTCCAAAGAATGACTTGAATACCTCGCTTCTTCCGCCTTCTCCTCAGCTTTACTGGCTGAAGTATCATTAACTTGGGAAGACTGAATTGGTCAAATTTAAATCAAAGTAAAAATGTACCTCCATTTGAATACAGGAAAAAATATGTAGTACCCTCAGCGTAACGAAATTATAATACAGAGAGGTAATCTACTGCAGGAGCAGGGCACATAGGAGTATCATGTACCTTGGCAAATTTCCCATTAAAAATAGAAAGAGCTGTTTTCCAAAACGTAGGGAGATGATATACGATTACAGCAGTCAATATTTTGATGTATCTTCCCCTCAAAGCATCCTTTTCTCTCCCCGCTGACTCTTCTGATGGTTGGTCAACTTGAACTTGATTATCTTCCATAGAAGACATGTCATCTGACTGAAGGATTGAAAAGAAAGTAAAAATTGTTAACACATTTTAACCTGAATCTTGCTTATCTTGCAATAATATAGCTGCCTTCACAGTTGAACTCACAAGTTGAACACCATTTTGTTGAATTTGTCGCCACTTCGCGTCAGAGAGAGCTCTCTCATGTACCTGGTTGCGCAAAATTTCCATCCTTGCTTCATGATCAAATGTACACTTTTCAAGCAGCCCATGGATCCTATGATTCTGATAAAGAAAGAACCAAGCCAGAAAATTTTATATACATAGTCTGGGAAACCATATATAATGTGTGTTTCTGAAGAGGTGTCAAGTAAGACCACAATCATGAAAGAAAGAGATGCATAATAGCAGAGGCTAAGAGAGAAACCTTCGGATATTAAAATCAAAAGTATCAGGAATTCAAACACTACTCAGCACTAAACTTAGGAAAACCGTAGTGAAAAGAAAAACATATAATACACTGACCTGAACATTTAAGTAATGCCAAACAGGATCCGATTCAGGCTCCAGCTCCAGCAAAAGCCTCACGGTGTTTTCCAGCTAAATTAAGCAAAAAAGTTTTAGCATTAAGCAGAGGAACAGAATGGGGAGACAAGATACATGAATGTCTATTATAACATTAACTGGTGACTCATAGTCTTACAAAAGGGAAGCATGAAAACTTCAATCATTGTACACTTGGGAACTGATGGTGATATATAACAAAAGAACCAGGATCCCAAACATATTTCAATGATGGAATGAACGGATTGTTCATTCCATTAGTAATCCACATTAGAATAGAAGTGGTAATAGTGAACTTACACTCGTAAAATCTATTTTCGGATCTTCCATAGACCTGTAAAGGGTGCCTTTAAACTCCTGCATCACTTTCTCAACCTCCTCGAGTACGCGCTTGAGTAAATTTACCTGTAAGCAACGTGTTACTCTATGGTTTCAAGAGCTTTGTAATGCAAGTGAATAAAATGGTAACAAGCGAATGCTGGGAGAAACATGAGTGATATCTGTTTGAAGGGTTGGATCAATGGGGCATGCATACATGAGAAGGGAGAGCAATAGACTTCGCCTTCTTGTATTCCCGAACAGCCAAATCATACTCGCCTTTGCTAATACTACTACGAATTATACTGGGTAAATTGAAGAGTGTACGGAATCTCTGAAGCATTCCTTGTACAGACCTGATCTTCTCAGCTTGGGCCTATGAATAATGGTGAAAACAGTCTTAAGCAGATAGCAAGAGGCTAGAACAACACCAAAAAACAATAGTACGTAACCATACAAACCTGTCTCTCAAAAAGTGGCTCAAAAGCACGATTAGCCCGTGATGTCACACTCTTCATACAATTAAACAAATGAGTAGTTCCCGATCCGTCTGGGTCGTCTTCGATCCGTTTCAGTTTTGATTCAATATCTGTAAAGAAAGGCAGTAATGTTCACATCAACAGGAGAGAAGATTAAAGTTAAAAAAATAAGCCAGACAATTGAGTGTAATAATGCATACCATCAATTGTTGTTTTACACGAGACAAAGCAATCGAAATTATCTTTCACCAATTGTCTCCTTTGTAGATTACGGCCCTTTAAGTCACTTTTCAGGGCAAGGGCACCGGATTCCAAGTCTGCTGCACTTGTCTCTTGGTGAATGCGTGAAATAAATAGCTTGGGATCGAAATGGTCAGAGATGTACACCAACTTTTCTGCAAATTCTCAGAGTAGTTAAATTTAGAAAACCGGAAGTACATCGAGTAATCCCGCATAAAGTTCAAATCAACTCCAGGTTGCAAGTATAGTGATGAAGAAATACATACCCCTAAGTGCATTATCCACTTTCTCAGCTTTTGAAAGACTTTCAGATGACTCAGTGATTAATCTCAGTGTCTTGTTATCTATTATCCTACAAGGTACACAAAAATCCATATTTAGATACGCCCTACCATATCATGTTCTCCAAGATAGAATAAAAGTATTCGAATGACGGTAGAGGTGAGAAGCACAAACGAGAGGAAGTACCCCAATTTTAGTGGATCAATGCATTCCATGCCACGAGGGAATGATTGCAAACTGGTAAGAACCACTTTCTTGTCAGCTCCAGATACCTTCCTATCAAGGTTCTGAGTCACAGATGGTGCTGTTCTCGACTCCCGCATATCACGAACCCTGCGTGCAAGCTGCCAAATGCCATCAGCATTTAAGTAAAAGTGTTCATATTCCCAACTAAATTTGCGTAATGCCATGATTCAAACGTAACTAATGGCCTTGATCTGAGGTCTGCTACATCTCAATTCCATGAACAGATAATTCAAGGTCATACAACTGATATCACATATACCAATTTATACAACTGATCAAAGAAGCAAAGATTACTTAAGACTACTTCAAATAAAAAAATGCAATTGAAATTCTTAGGTCGAAAATTTCACGCATAATCTCTTCCAAACTCAAAATTGAATCCAGGTAAATTCAAACATGATAGATAGTGAATCCCTACCTCAGCTTCATTAACCCGTTTCCAGCAATCTGGCTCCACTCCATCCCAAGCTCTATCGTCTTCCTTCCGCGCTCTTCCTCTCTCCTTACCACTTCCACCTCTTCCTCTACCTCCGCCACCGCTACCACCACCACCACCACCTCTTCCCCGATCATTTCCCTCATCCTCATCCCCGCTCGAAATGCTAAGCAATTCCACCTCCGATTCATCATCCTCATCCATCGATGGCTTCCTTGACGCCTTCGCACCTCCCTTCGGCGGAGGAGCTGTCGCCGTCTTCTGTCTCCGTGGCTGCTGCACTAAATTGGTGACAGGCTTACGGGAATTAGCGGAAGGTGGCTTCTGATAGGTAAGATCTCTCTGAGATTGCTCCTTCAACGCCATTTGAAGTAGCTCATCTTCGTCGCTATCGCTCGACATTGTTATCTCTGAATCAGATGATCGTCTTTCTCTTCCTCTCCTTGAGCTAATCGCAGAGATCTGTGCTGTTTTAATTTGAATTTTGTTTTGCGACTTTTTCCTTTTTTTCCGTGTGAAGAATTTTTCTTCTGTTATTTATTTATTTGTTTTCTACTTTTCCAATTTTACATTTATTAATGAAATAAAAAAAAGGAGACTCAAACACAGTCGTTTTGGTTATTTTAACCTAAAGTTATAAAATTCTATCTCAAGCTTCTTCGATCGAAATCTATAAATACGAGGCGACAAACCCAAATTGCGTTCAGAAACCCTAAAGCTCCCAACTTTCTCTGCAACGAAGAAATTCACCTGCTTTCTCTTCTCCCTAAAAGACCTAATCCTCTTCGGTGACTTGTTTTCTGTTCCTTCAATCTCCCTAGTTTGTTTTTGCCTAATATGAAGCTAAACCCATTAAAGATAAAGGTACTCGTCTCTCACCCTGAATTTATTGTTGTTGATTGTTGATTTTATTGTTATTGATTCTAGAATTATGTTCGGATACCTTATTGTTTGTTTGTTTTTTCGGTGTTGGGTTTAATCATCAGGCTATATTCATATTTGATTTTTATCAATGGATCCGAGGAATTCGAGTGCGTGGGGTGGGGAAGATGATCTCTCCCTTGTCTCATCTATGGGAAGTGATGAATCTAAGAATAGATGTTGTGTGATTGACGGCGTTGGCTCTGTTGGTACGAAGCTATGTGAGAAACCTAATGTGGAGAAAACTGTAGCTCAACCCTCTGCAGATGGGGCTGGTGACAAGGACGGAGAAGAAAAGACTGTTGAGTCTTCTACAGCGAAGAAAAAGAAAAAGAAGAAGGACAAGGGCAAGAAAGCAGATGCTTCTGTAGCTAATTCTTCTGTGGAGGCTAAGGAGGATAAACTAGAGAATTCAATATCTGAGCCCAAGAAGAAAGATGTAAAGGTTAAAGTAGCCGAGAAGAAAGTTCCTAAACATGTTCGAGAGATGCGAGAGATTATTGCGCGGAGGAAAGAAGCTGAAGAGAGGAAGAAGAAGGAAGAAGAAGAGAGACTGAGGAAAGAGGAAGAGGAGCGCCGCATAGAGGAAGAGCGAGAAAGGGAAGCTGAAGAGATTAGGCAGAAGAGAAAGATAAGGAAAATGGAGAAGAAGCAAGAAGGCCTGATTCTAACAGCAAAGCAAAAGCGTGAAGCTGCTAAGAATGAGGCTTTCAGAAAAAGGGTGTTGACTGATGCTGGAAGTCTTCTTGTTGCAGATAAAAACGGTGATTCCTCAAAACGTCCCATATATGGCAACAAAAACAAATCAGCTTGCAAAAAAGCAAACGATTCTGCTTCTGTCCAGATGAAAGGTGATGTAGGAACAAAGGAAAATCATGCAGCTGATGAACCAGGTACTTTGCATGACTTGGTTTCAGTTGACGACAAAAGGGTTGGTATAATCGAATCAGAAGAGGCACATGAATCTGTTGATGTATCGCAAGAGAATGGTGATGAGGAAGATGTGTGGGATGCAAAAACTAATTTTACCATCAAGGGTGATTCTGATGATGAGGAGGAAAAAACTCAGCATGTGTTTAAGAATGAACTAAACGACACTGCATCAAAGGCACATGATTCAGGTCAGTAGAAACACTTGAGGAAGAAGAACCTCAGCCTGTGGTTTCTTTATCTTTTGTCCGCTTTATCTAATTTCGGGTTTCAATACAGGTCATGGCGCAAATAGACCAACAGTGAAGCCTGGAGTTGCTGGCAAGCCAAAAACAGATGCCAAACAAGCTATGCCTAAGGTGGATGGTGCTACCTGGCCGAAAGATACTTCTAAAAAGGGTGAAGGCTTAGTACTGAATGAAGTTGCTGAAGAAGTAGAAGAAAGTCTTCGCTCTCCCATTTGCTGCATCATGGGTCATGTTGATTCTGGTAAAACAAAGTTGTTGGATTGCATCAGAGGAACAAATGTTCAGGAAGGTGAAGCTGGAGGTATTACTCAACAGATTGGTGCAACATATTTCCCTGCAGAAAACATCCGTGAGAGGACCAAGGAGTTAAATGCTGATGCTAAACTCAAGGTGCCAGGTCTATTGGTTATCGATACACCTGGACACGAGCCATTCACAAATCTGCGGTCAAGGGGTTCAAATTTGTGTGACCTTGCAATTCTAGTGGTTGACATAATGCGTGGTCTAGAGCCACAAACCTTAGAATCTCTGAATCTTTTGAGAAGAAGGAATGTAAAGTTCATTGTTGCCTTGAATAAGGTGAGACTTCTTGTCATTCTGTTGGCATGTGTTTGATATTCTTTATTGTCACTGACGTATGGCATAAAATCTCCAAATTTCAGGTGGATAGGCTATATGGGTGGAAAAAAAGCAAGAATGCTCCTCTAATGAAGACAATGAAGCAACAATTGGGATATGTGGTTGATGAATTTAACAAGAGAGTAGAACAAGTAAATTCTATGTCTTAGAGTTTTTAATCTTTTAGGGTGAATAGGATGTGCGTGTTATAAACTTATTAACTAATATTGTTTCATTGGTGTTCCAGGTTAAAACCCAGTTCCAAGAACAAGGACTCAATAGTATGCTTAATTACGAAAACAGAGAAATGGGAGAAACTATCAGTATTATACCTACTAGCGCTATTAGGTCTGAGATTTTTTTGCTATCTTCAAATTGTAGTCTAGCATAGAGGTCAACCGTGCTAACTAATGGATTAATTTTGGATATTGATATTTCAGTGGGGAAGGGATCCCAGATCTTTTGCTGTTGTTAGTTCAATGGGCTCAGAAAACAATGGTGGAGAAACTCACATATGTTGAAAAAGTGCAGGTTTGTCTCATTCCTCTTTTAGGTAATGAATCGTTTCTTCACTACTTCAGCTTTCTTATCTTGTCTTAAAATGGTTGACAGTGTACCGTCCTTGAGGTCAAAGTTGTTGAAGGCCATGGTATTACAGTTGATGTTGTTTTGGTCAACGGTGTACTCCGTGAAGGTGACCAAATCGTTGTTTGTGGGTCACAGGTAAGTAGAAAACTCATGGGTCATACCTAAACATGTAATATGCCAAGTATATCATAAAGCTGGAAACTTGATGTTATTGATTTTTTTTCCTTTCTTCTATTCCAGGGACCAATTGTAACAACTATTAGATCATTATTGACTCCTTATCCTATGAACGAGACGCGGGTGAAGGTACTTTCAGATAGTCCATTTTTTGCCTCTTGTTACCATTATTCCTAGGGGAACATGGTTTATACAAATAGCTTTCTACATTCTTTTTTTAGTACACAATGACAATTTTTTGGTCTGATATTTCAGGGTACATATATGGCACACAGAGAAGTAAAGGCTGCGCAGTGTATCAAAATTGCAGCACAGGTAATTGTCTCTGACATTGCAATTACTGTTATTTTTAAATTGATCTTAATTACCTGGCACAAATGAGGACATCCTGAACAAATGTTTCATATATTTTTGGTGTTTATAAAAGGGTCTTGAACACGCCATTGCTGGTACTGCCTTGCATGTGATTGGACCTAATGAGGACATGGAAGAAGCCAAGAAAAATGTCATGGAAGATATTGAATCAGTTATGAAACGCATTGACAAAAGTGGTGAAGGAGTTTATGTACAAGCATCTACATTAGGGTCCTTGGAAGCATTGCTTGAGTTCTTGAAGTCCTCAGATGTAAAAGTACCTGTCAGTGGTTTTGGCATAGGACCTGTGCATAAGAAGGATATCATGAAGGCCGGGATAATGCTAGAGAAGAAAGAAGAGTTTGCAACGATTTTGGCCTTTGATGTGAAAATAACTGCAGAAGCTCGGGAACTTGCAGGCAAAATGGGAGTAAAAATCTTCTGCGATGATACCATCTATCGTCTCTTCAATAAGTTTAAGAGTTACATCGAGGGTATCATAGAGGAGAAAAAGAAAGAAACAGCTTGTGAAGTAGTTTTCCCATGTGTCCTTCAGATTTTACCAAACCATATCTACAATAAGGACCCAATCATCCTTGGAGTAAAAGTCAATGATGGAATACTCAAGGTATATGCTATTTTCTCATTCAGGATCTGAGTACACTTGTCTTCTGGATCACAAAAAATTTAACAATACCGTCTTGTTGATTTAGGTTGGAACTCCCATTTGCATTCTCAAAAGGATTAAGAAAGTAAGAGTGATTATGAACATTGGGCGCGTTGCATCTATTAAAAATAAAAACAAGGAGCCAGTTGATAATGCAAGGAAAGGACAGGAAGTGGCTATTAAGGTATGAGATCCCTTTCTCTTCATCATTAAAAACTTTTCTAGTTTTTCTGCAATTGACCTTGTAAACAAAAATCCAATGTTTGTTTTCGTATTAGATCATTGCTTCTAACCCAGAAAAACAGAAAAAATTTGGGAAGCACTTTGGTATAGAGGACAGGCTTATCAGTCACATTTCTAGGCGATCCATTGACGTACTCAGAACTTACTATTGGGTAAGTTGTACAAAATGAGGTTTTAACAGTAACTTGTGTTTTATTAAAGCTTAAACTGATACTCGAAACCTGATTGCAGGAGGAGTTATCTGACGACGAGAAGAGTCTTGTTCTGAGACTTGAAAGGAAATTCAACATACAATGAAGATTTTAGAGAGGTTTGAGAGGGAGGGACATAAACTTATGTGTTTCCTTTTTCTTTTTTTTTTCTATTTTGAACTGCTGATTTTTATTATTTTTCATCGTTTTTGATATTATTGAACAACTCTTTTAATGCCCCTAAATACTTTATGCAATCAATTAAACCCCAAACCCCTCTTGTTTTTTCTACAATTGTCTTTGGTTTTTGACTCCCAATATTATAGAAAATATTTTGTTGTCCATATAATTTACAAGATTATAACCAAACTTGGGCATTATGCGAAAGAAATTGAAGGATTGTATTATCTTACCGTAATTCAAACAAAATATCTTAGTTATACAATCTGTATTTTGTTTTCAAACTATAGTTTGACATATTTGGGTTATTGTGTAACTTAATAAAATTTGAGGCGAATCTGTGAATAAAGAGAAATAAAGGACCTATAATGTTTTCGTTTTGAGATATCCCGTACTCTTCCATCGTCGTCGCATTTTTTATTTTGAATCGATTATTTTACTTACACTCGTGTATGAGCCAGTCCTTCGGATTTAGACAACATCTCCGTGAGTCTCTGCGAGATTCTTCGGCTCTCAAAGGTATGTCACGACGGTGTTTTAGCTCTATTCTCTGTTGAGAACCAGATTTTTCCGGCGAATTTGATTATTGCAAAGTTGGAGTTTTTGTTTAGAGATTTAGAAAAGAGACTGCTTAGGGATTCGTATTCATGTCGAGCTTATTACACAGCAGAAGGGTTTGTTTAATTTCTTCTCTCCGTAGAAATGTCAGAGATTGTGCGTTTACTTCTTCTTCCTCTGTTAGTCGTATCGTCAATTTAGGGTTTTTGGTGAGTAGAAGAAGAACGGTTTGTTCAGTGTCACAAGTGAAATCAGAGAATCTCGAAAAGCAAACCCAATGTTTGGAATCTTTTACAGTTTCTTATCTCGTGGATTCTTGTGGACTGTCTTTGGAATCTGCTAAATCGAATTCCAGATTCGTCAAATTGGTTTCGTCCAAGAAACCAGACTCTGTTCTTGCTCTCTTCAAAGACCATGGCTTCACCACTGACCAGATCACCAGTGTCATCAAATCCTTTCCTCGTGTTCTGTCACTGAGCCCGGAGGATGTAATCTCGCCCAAGCTCATGTTTTTCAATTCCATCGGGTTTTCGACCTTTGATACTGCGAAAATGATCTCTTCTTGCCCGAAAATGCTGTCATATAGCTTGACCAAAAGATTGATCCCTTGCTATGATTCCCTCAAGAGCATACTTGTTGAGGAAGAAAACGTTGTCAAGTGTCTCAAGCGCGGGTACAGATGTTTCTCTTTTAAGATTACGCATTGTGTGTCTCCTCGTGTCTCCATTTTAAGAGAGCTTGGAGTTCCTGACAAAAGCATCAAGTGGTTGGTTCAAGCGTCTCCATTCACTTTTTTCTCTCTTGAGAGAAGATTCAACGAGCTCTTAAACAGAGTTTGCAGCTACGGTTTTGACCCCAAAAAGGCGGTTTTTGTTCACGCTATGGTAGCCTTTGATTGCACGAGTGAATCAACAATGGAACGGAAACTTAAGTTGTTCCAACGTTTTGGTTGGTCTAAAGAAGATTTCGTCGCAGCAATCATGAGATTCCCAAACTGTGCGATGGTTTCAGATGAGAAGATACTGTACACGATGGAATACCTTGTAAACAACATTGGCCTGCAGGCTCGTGACATTGTTGCAAGACCAGTGGTGTTAGGCCTGAGCATGGAGAAAAGAATCAAACCAAGGAACCAGGTCATCTCTTTGCTTCTCTCCAAAGGACTTGTGAAGAAGGAAGACATCAACTATTTCACTATACTAAAGCTGAAAAGCTCTGAGTTCATGGATAAGTTTGTGCTGAAACATCAGAATGAGATGCCACAACTTTTACAAGCATGTAATCGATGAGTCTAAAATAGATTGCGGTTTTGCCAGATTTCGCGAGTTTGTTCTATTAGAGAAGTGAGAACACAACACTACTGCTGATAACACATTTTCTTGTATCCGATCATGTTTTGATGAATGTTGTTGTGACATTTAGTTTGACATCATAAAAAGATTTACCTATATTGCTTTGCTTATGGTAATTTAATTTTGTTGGTTCTGTTAATTGTGTACAAAGAAATATCTATGATGATGATACTATAATGTTTTCATAGATAAAGCCACATGTTGCATTTTCCTTTCTACAAGGATGTGAGAGTTTACACGCAATCTGGTGCAAAAGTAGGCATTAAATTTAGCTTTATAAATCGGAACACGACAAGGATTCCTAAAGTAGCTCTCTTTCTTTTTATGTTTTTTCCGGAGATCATTGATTTGTCATGACGAGAGCTTTTATACTCTCCAACACGATCAATCTTTGTGTAAAGGATCTGTGTGGTGTCGTTAATATCTTTTCTTTTTGGAACGAAATGGATAAATATAGTTAGGCTCTAGTTGGGGATTACTTAGTTATAATTTCTAACAGGTTCTAATAACTACCAAGAAATTCAGTGGTATTTTGGCGGATTAATTTGGCAGATTAGTGGCATATTTTTAGAGTTTAGTCTATTGAGTTAAACTGTTTACGATATTATTCATTTCAAAAAGTCAAATTTCTGTTTTTGCTTATAGTTTATAAATGTTTATTATTTCGATAGTTTAATTGTACAGAATAATTTTCTAAAACAATATATAATAGTTTACTATAGATATACAGTTCATATGTGTATCAATGAGGATTTCTAAACTTTTCGAACTGAATCAAAACAGATGACAGATCTAAGCAAATTTTATGGATATATTTTGCCCAATCATATATAGTTAAAGTCATAAGTGTTAAAATAGACTCTCAAGTCTCAACGAGCCATTAATTTTATCATTATTGGGGAAAACTCCAGTTGACAGAATTTATATTAACACATTAAGTTTCTTACAAAGAGATCCCATTACTATCAAATTCCCACGAAATAAAACAAGTCACCAAAAGTCCATTCCACACTTTCTTTTCTATAAAAAAAAAAAACGTAACCGCTTAAACTGTGTTGCATGAAGCATGAAGCATGAAGAAGAGTTTACTCACGTTACTCACGTATGTAAGTAAACACAAACATATCACAGACTATGTGTCCCAATCAGTTTTGTCAAACCAAAAGTAACGGCCATAGCTAACCAACCTCCGATCAAAACCCTAGCCGACGACTTAAACACCGGTGCTTTCCCCAAAACCGCTCCTAACCACCCAAACATCACTAACGCCAACGTCACCGCCGCCACGATCGCTCCGATTCTCACGTGATAGTCTTTCACAAACGCAGCCGCCATTAAAGGCACAATCGCCCCTAAAGAAAACGCTAACGCAGATGCCGCAGCCGCTTGCATCGGACTCGGAAGCTTCTCTTTCTCCACTTGTCCTCCGTTTTCTCTCTTCATCTGAGCCACCTCGATGTCGTACTGAGAGTAAACGGAGACAAACTCTCCGATCGCCATGCTACAAGCACCGGCGACCAAACCTGCGAAACCGGATAAGATCATGACTTTGACGTCTTGTTTTACCGCACCGACACCCATCATAAGTGAAGCCGTCGAGACAAGACCGTCGTTGGCACCAAGCACGGCGGCTCTTAGCCATTGAGCTCTTTTGGAGTAGTCGAAAGCCTTTTCTTGATTCATCTCCATGTCTAGGTTCGAGCTGTTGTGTGATTCCATGGTTAAGTGATAAGTCTTTTGATTTGGTTTTCTTTTTGGTTATGTGCTGAAATAAGAAGGTAGAGAATATAGGTGAAGTGTGGAGAACACACGCCTAGGTCTATTTATGGAGAGATTGTGTGAGTTTTTAGCTTTTTTATTTAACATTTTAAAATAATTTATGTGGTGGAGTCGACGATTAATATATGGGGAGCATCATCACCACTAACGGAAATACTTTTATTATGTCTTTTTCAAAAATTTAGATTAGGCAATCGAATTAACAAATATCTAATCGTTTTTACACTATGATTATAAGTTTGAAACGAACAAATGAAGTTTAGAAAAAAAATATAAAGTGGATTGCCGCGTACCATCGGTAAAGATAAAGCATAACGATTGATATAACTATACCCCCAAATGGATCTCAATTGAATTAAATTCAAAAGAAACTTAATACTTTTTCAAATAAAAATAAAACTTATAAATAATGAAACAAAACGGAAAAGAAATGTGAAACCACACATTTATGTGTCTTTTTCATTTCATTTTATTCGTGAAGGACAGAAAACAAATATCACAATTTGAGAGACCGAAAGGAGTAGTTACATACTTACACTATGGAGTTGTTCAGTCTTATTCAAGATCAAAGCCATATGCATATATGTCTTCTTGGCGAAATAAGGATACAAAATAAATAAAAATGAAATCTCAACCTCCCAAACGATTACCTAATGCTAATGGTACACGAAATCTGTTGGCCAAAAGTTTATAAAACAGATGTTACTTTAGTTATCTTGGTTTTGCTTTTATTACCATGTTCCCAAATTAACATTTCTTTTGGCAGCTGTATTACTATATTGACTCGAGAACATCATATTCAAATTTGGCAAATGCTTTAATTTACTTTCTTCAATAATCAATTGAGAAAATGAAATATTCAGCAACTTCGTACTGTACATTGTATTTTTCTTTGAAAAAATAACGTTTTGATCGGAGTTTGGTTGGTAGTTACATGCATTTTTTGGAAGAAACGTAACTTGAAATAATACATCAAGAGCTTTCTAAAGTTTCAGTTTTTGTCTTTTTTCTTTTAATTTACATAACTTGAAACAAATCAAGAGCGTATGTTGTGTCATTTTTTTTTTTTTTATTTTTTTTTTTTTATTTTTTTTTTTTTTGTTGTGTCATTTTTATTTTATACTCTCCTTTCTCCCCTTAATTTTAGAACACGGAAACTGTGAAAAACATTCTTCTAGTTAAATAAAAATGAAACAACAATCTCATTCTTTTACTTTCCTGTTTATTTTTGTTGGTTCATTATACTTTTTTCTCGACAAAGAAACAATCCCAAAACAGAAGGGGGCGAAATCAATCACACACACTGTTTAGAGTTTGACCAAAAGTGATCAATGGATAATCTATTTATTGATAAGACATTGTTAGATTTTGGAATTGTTTGATAAGTGTAATCATATTTCTACATCTTCTTTTCATTAAATTTAATAAAAGGGGTTCATTAATTAGGAAGAAAAAACAGGTCAAAAAACATGGATTAATTAATAAAGCTCCTTACTGATAAACAGACACATAATGGACGATTAAAATATGAAATAGTAGAATCCAACTATCTTATATATGAAGGGGATCAAAATTGAATCAGATGCTTTTCACACTATAGATTCTTTGATCCAGCTAGAGCCGTATGTAAGTGAAAATCATAAACAACAAATTAATACTAGATAAATGCACACATAAAAGTTAGGATTTTTTATCTATGTATATAAAATAAAAATTGATGGATTAATGAATTGGAAAGCACTGAGATTATAGATATATGGTGAGATAAAATAATGGAAAGAGTTGATAATAATAATATAAAGAAAGAGGAACGAGTGTGGTTGCCACACGAATAGCACCACATTTCAACATCATCATCACTTGTTTGCACACACACATACGTAGACATCTACGTAGATATTTGTTCATGTGTATGCATGCATACGTAGTCGCCTACGTACATATATGCCAGCATATTTTTAACATTCCGGAATTTTGAATTTATATCTCATATCATATGAGTGCAATATTTTTTTGTTTTTCTCTATGATTCACACACTACATTCAAATATATAACGGATATATAGATTAATCGGAAATAATTACACAATGAAGACACTAGTCGATATTAATAAATTACAAACCGTTTACGAATTATGATATCACGTATGTTATTATGAATTCAAATTGATATCTATAATGTTAGAATACATGTCTAAAGTCCACTATCTCAAATATTTTAAAAGCATTGTGTAAAGTGCTGTAGTCTTTGTAGAGAGGCTTGAAAAACAAAATTTAATCTGGTTTTCGTAATTTGGATTAGAAAAATGATCCTAAAATAAACAATAATCTATATGGATTTTTTTTTGAAAATAATAATCTATATGTTGAATCAATGTATATCCCTTAGTCTCTCCCTATGTAGTGAAAAGTATGTTATTATATTGTGCCTTTTATATTGAAAATGAAGGAAATAGACATAAGGATTTCAACTTTACTAGTGTGGTCCAAGTCCTAGTCCTACTCATGAAACGCTAAATATCATGAAAATTCGGAATACTTTCTGTTATTAACAGTTTAACACGAACTTAATTTTGCTATGTCGATGGTTAATCTACGCGTAGCATAGAGACTCGAAAGTCGAAACCTGTTTAAGAAAAGAAAAAAAAAAGCATAGAGACTCGAATAGATAAATTTTCTGTAGGCTTGAAAATAAAGAGTCGGGTGGCTGGTGCAAATCATTTTCAAATGATAGCCAACTTACAAGAATATCCTATCAAAAATATAAAAATTACAATTCTTGTCTAAATAAGTTAAGATAGCAGAAAATTTGAAACTTAACTGGGCCAAACATAATGGGCTTAACATATGTGGATTGATGAATGGGCGTAACGTAACACCAATTAATAGAGAAATACATGTAAAGCCATTTCCAAAATATTGACCCGTTTTCGAATGTGATAATAATTATGGTCGCATCTCTTTTTGGAAATATAAAAATAATTAGAAAAAGACAAGTTGACAAGTGTTCATTGTCCATTCTGATCCGAAAATCAATCTGCTGCTTCGTGAAATGACTCTTTGGGAAGAGTTTGCCTTGCCGTGGGACATGCTTCTCCAATCTGAAATAGACAGGTCTGTGACGTCTTGGAGCTGTCTTCACTCTTGGCCGAGACACTTGTGCAGTCAAGATGGACACACCTGAATTAATATCCACCTAAACATATCTTTGTATGAATATAATTACCAAAACATTTAAATAAAGACATTTCACACTCTCTATGTCGATGGAAACTGTTTATTCCGGAAAGTCTTGAGAAGCTCAAAACCAAGAAATGTT